CCAAAGTCATTAAAGTCAATCAAATGACTAATTCATTGACTTTATACTATCCATTCTGTTAGGACTAAAACAAGAATAAAATAAAGAACAATAAAATAGTTCAACGTTAAATGTATTCCATATACATGTCAAAACTATAGTAGTAGCCAATGAAATGGCTAGCAATCCATTCTATTTCAATGGATGACAACCTTAAACTAAGTGGTCGAAAAAATATACACAATCATGGGTACAAAAGCGATGATATATTATTGTCATCGATATATGATATCAAGTAATCCGTAATGTCATAAATATTGCGGAAAAAAGGCAATTAAAGTATAATAGCTGGTGTTGTATGACATCTTTCAAAGTCGAAAGTGTACAAGGATAGCCAAAGACGACAATTCAATTACAATCATAGTGACCATTTATCTATTATTAAGTCAAAAATGAAACCTAATCATAATACTTCTCCAAGCTCGAAAAACCATTACGTAAATATCAACATGAAGAAAATTGAACTACTATGGCAAATAGAGAATAACCATATTACTTGATCAATTAATGCATTGATGGATCATGTGATACAATAATCGGGATTATGACGTCCTTTCCGCCAGATCTGCCATGATAAATTATTTTACTTCCAATTAATTGCTATGATTTCTATTATATTGTCAATACTCTCTAGCCAACCTTTAAGTGTGAGAAAGAGAGAAGTCTTGACGGATAATTAAGAGGTGAATAAGATTAAACAATGTTGTCAACGTAAGAAAATTTATAATACGTAGAGTTAATTATCAAGCAATTTATATTTATCATAACATGGTGTCTTTTATCTCCGACAACATTGTACTATTACGGCCACAATTGCTAAATTAAAGGCTGTAGTTAATTTCTCGCGATATCAATGCGAGTCTCGATACTATCATAATATCGACAGGAGATCAAAAGAAAAAACTATGGAAGAGAATTATGAGGATATAACATCAATGGCACCGGCTTGTTACTGATAATTGTAAGCAATAGTCATAAAAAAGAGTCATAAATTAATTTTCGTATTAATAAAAACAGAAACATCTAATATAATACGATTTAGTAGATGCTGAAGTAATCATCAGCAATCAATCGAACGCTAACATACAAAGGAGTATTAAATTAAAATTTTTTTAAATAATATTGCAGAGCCTACCACTGCTTAATAAAAGCTGCATGTGGGGTGATAATTTCTAGAAAGTACTTTAAATTAAATTTCGTAATAAAAGAAAGGCATTAAATATATTATTTTATTCTAATAGACTTCAAATTATTATAATTCATTAATATACAGGCGTAATCATCATGAATTCCGTACAAAAAGATTTTTGAAAGAAAGTCATTTGTTAATAAGATAAATAATTAATTATTATACTAGTATTTCCGCGACTAACATAGGCCGATAATCATTAACTACAGCATGTAATACAAATTCCTAAAAGGATTCTAAATTATTTTTATTGTAGTAAGAGAAGATAAAAATATAATATTCTCAATAGACAGACTTCAAAATAACTATAATCCATTGATATATATACACATTGTGGAATCTCTATACTGGTAATAAGAAGTTACTCCTGAAAAGTTTATAGATCACGCTATTTATACCGTACTTTAAGAATTACTATTAATTATATCATGCCGTAACATTCCTAGAAAATAATTAAGTATAATAGTGCTAGAGCTAGATATCGAGATTGTTATTTTAGTACTATTAAACCGGTGGATCGAATAAGCGAGTACAAATCCGTGAGTTTTCTCAAATAACTTAGAATAAATTGATATATTATGGTATCTGTCAGTCCAATTAAGAGGGATAAAACAGCTTATTCTGTATAAAGATATTCCAGAAGAACGCTAAAATTGAATATTGAATATTAAATAGCAAATCATATATCAGTAATTTCTAACTGCGTGTAAGAGAATACCATAGAAAAGAATCATAAATTAACCCTATGCCAATAATTGGAGAAAAGTTAAAATTACAACAATAACCTGCAATAGACAGATTTCATAATTACTAGATTGGAATAATGTAGGTAAATTGCTATCCATATGTTGCAGAACTACGCATTCACGAACGTAGTAAATTAGAGTACATTAGTAAGGACAGGATGATATTATTAACAGCGCTTATCATTAACTATTTCTGAAGCTTAGTAACGTGCAGTAAATCTGCGTGTATGTTCATATTACGCAGATTCTATAATCTGATTACTAAAATCAATAGTGAATGGCTAAAGGTACTCAATTAAATGATTTCCTCACATGTACGCCTATAATTTCTATTTTATAAATAATAATAGACTGTAGACATACTCGTATACCGAAATCATTACAACTCTCCATGCATTTCACTTTCTGGATAATCTTTAATATCCTGTTGTATATAATACGGTATTCCTCGAAATTAATGCATTAGAAATTTTAGAACTGATATTCTATTTAATGTGCCAGCTTCATTGTTATGCAAAATTCCTGCACTGCTTAGCTTTGGATGTAGATAGAGAAGATATTAAATGATATATATAATTAAATAAGAATTTTTCTAATTTCCGTTATGTAAGTCATATCTTTTTCCGTAAAGTATAAACAAAATCCTGTTCGCTATGGCGTCATTCCATAATGTTTCCATAACAATATTTTGATCGTCTGATAGAAAATTGGAATTCTTTAATTCTGTGACTTAGTTTAATTAAGAAAAAAAGGCAAAATGTGTAAAATTATAAAATTTTAATTTAAGTTCGAAATTATTTACAATTTGTATGGCATCCACGAAGAATAAATTGTAAAATGTAACAGTAAGTTAATACGGGTAAGTTAATATTTATAAGTCAGTTAAAAGCTCTACGCTTAATATAAGCGAAGAAACAGTATACTATCACATGCAAGTTTAAGTCTGCATCGAAATAATTTCGGCGACGCAGCAGGCATTAGAGAAATCTCATATGGAGAATCTTTTTTTTCACTCATTAACTACATATTTCTTGCAATGAAAACTTAATATCGCCTGTAATTTGGGGTTATCCGATTGAATAAATGGTGTTTGCTGTTATAAAATTTATCACAAAGTAATAATATAATTCTTGTACTGATAGATCCATTTAAGAAGATAAATTTTACTCTATTTCCTTCTTGTCATTGAAGCTTATGCAATAGCGGTGTTATCTTGAGGATAATTAAGCCCGTAAGGTTACACCTATGAATGCAACAATTGTAAATACGTATCAGTAATTGCTACATTTCTAGAGATTTGTAATTATACCTTTCTCTCGCAGCCGCTAGGCATAAATGTACTATTGGCGATATAAATTATTTCATTTCATCAGTCTCATTTAATGCTACTGATTTTGGTACTAGTTAAATCCTTTTCATTAACTATAATTACTAGTTTCCAACTATCACCTTCATTATTCATTATTTCTTGTTAGAGTAAGGATATAATTCCTATCTTATTAGGTATTAATAGTTTCAATACAGGTACACAAGGAAAGTTAGTATCTTCTTTATTTCTTTACAACAGTATAACAAAAACAAAACCTTCACATTTTCCAGAAAATTTGCATAACCGGAAAATATAGATCATTAAGATATCATCTTGCTGTGAGGGTACCTGAATCTTTTACTCTTAAAAGAGGTAGATTGAATTATCATAATAATAGTATACAATGGAAAAATCGGGAACAAGAATAGTTCTTAGTTATCTTAAAGTTATAATAAATCAGCATCAAATTCTAATGGGTGATATATACATTTATATTGTAACGATGATCAAAATTTACTTCCTTTCCTTGCTCTTATATGCAACCTGAGACGCAGTCACTCGCAAAGAAGAGACATTTGCTAATGCAGATTTGAGATCAGTTTCGATGAAGACTCGCTTCGTAGAAACTCATTTGGTAGGGCTAAGGCGTAACATTTGGGGATATTTAAGAACCATATTCTGCTGCCGAGCCATGTCAAATTTTCGGCAATTTAGCACTGCATATTATAGCGCAATAATTTTTACAATATCAGAAAGTCGAGGTTAGATATTGATGGCAGGAGTACCAGGCACAAACTAATATCTACACAAATACGGTACACTTTTGGCCGCAATTAATAGTCGAAGTGAAAGAGATTCTGAGCACTAATCTAATCTGTAAATTAGCGCATTCTTTCATGCATAAATCGAAGTATTTAGTCACCATGAGCAAGTAAAATCAGTGTTGTTAATTAAAACAAAAAAATTGTTGAATTGTATCACGTATACAAGTATCCATTTTTTCTTTGCTAGGCAAAAAAATGTTCTATACAAAAGTGGCCTTTCAAAAATTTCATTCACAAGCATCGGTCTTGCTTTATGCCTCTGTAAATTCTTCCTATAATTTGGCTGTAAAAAAGCACTATGCAGTCGCCAAGATAGCTAGTATTATAAAAGCAAAGAAAAACTGAATAATATCGCTCTATTCTAACGAAAACATTGTTATTACATCAGAAGTAACGTATGATATAAAATTATGATCCAATGACAGTAGTCAAGAGTAACAACACTATTAAAATAAAATCAAAATAGAATTTAAGATCTTATAGCATTAAATAGGATCGTCCGGATCTGCTTCAGCTTATCTCCACTTTCCAATCTGATGCAATTTGTTTATCAACTTCTGCATCATCATCAACAAGTTGGATATTTAATGGGGAAATTAGGCTTAATTTACGGAAAAATTTCGTTTTAACCGGGTCGCCCTCTTATTATATGCAATGGGGATGGGACCTACTGCTAGTGCACAAGTAAGTTTGAAATGGTCAACAATCAACCAACATTTCTGTTAGTTTAGTTATATACTTAAATAATTTAAATTTGCATTCAGTAAATAAAATGAATAATGGTATATTTATCGTCGATGAAAGTTAATAGGTAATAAATTAGGAGGGCCACCTGATGATGTTTCTTCAGATGAACTAGAACCTCCAGACATTCCTGCTAGGATATGCGATTTACGTTGTTTAACTGCACCTCTTTGGATCTGTCTAGCTCGAGATCCAAATCCTAAGCACTGCATTGATTCAGTTAAATGCCTCTTCATGGGTGATACACAAAGAAATACTAGCAACTTTGCATCGCCACCTAGCAAAGAAATAACAACCATGAATGCAAATCTTAATATGCACTCGTATAAGTTATTATCGTAATTACAATACTATATTACAAAATTAATACATTTTTTACCTATGGAATCTTGCAACATCTGCGTTAGTTTACTATTTCGATAGGGTACATGAGTGCGGTTTTCAGCTAGAGCACCTAATACATCGGCTAATGCAGATAAACTATGCAAAAAGTGATAGCGTATTAGCATTCAATTGACTCAATTCAAATAACCTAAAACAGTAAGACTACTTTTTTTTTATCACTAGTAGGTAGCAGACCTTCTGTTAATATGACGAGTTTCTCGTAATGCACTTCCTGTTACTCCCGACATGCCTAGATCAATTTGAAAACATTTTACAATTTTATAATTGTCTAGTAGTAAGGTTACCAAGTATCAATAGAGAATAGACAAAAGAAATATGCTGCTTATAAAGCGAGAATTAAAATCTCATAGCCGCATATATCGCTATTCGCAATCAAAAGATAGCTCTAAGATAGATCAGTCATCATTTCATACCTACGCATTCACTTCCAGCCAAATCAACCAATTGCAGTTTGGTTTTAACTACAGTCTTTAAAGACCCAAAAGAAGGAGTTGATGCTAATCGCAATGGCGAATAATGAACTGATTGACTACGCCGACTAGTAGTTTGTAGGTGAATTCCAGGGGAAAGAGGAATTTGAGATGTCCTTGATTCAGCACTCTTTTTTCTCGTCTTGATTTGCTGCAAAGATTGTGAATCATTTATTGTTGTTGTAATAGTCACCGTTACAATTAAATGAGAGCGACTTGAATGCGAATGAACTAGTGTAGCATCTTCATGACGATGCCTCATTCCATACATGACAGCTGCCATAACGTCGCTAACGTTGCTAACTGGCCTAAGATGTAGTAATAAAATTAGCTTACTTTAACTGCACATTACTGCACATGACCAACAAGCTTACTAATAAAGGTCTAGATATTTGACTGGAAGTCAAATTAAGATTATTAATTATCAATTTTAGTTAATTAAACAAACATTTGCTAAGAATGATAATTTAAAAAAGTCGGTTGAAAATCACATTACAATTATGTTGACTACGTGCTATTTGTATTGATATGGGACAACTGTTGGTTATATAATTCCAAGAATGTATGATGATGTTACTTTAGCCACATGAATTTGCTACTATTTCAAAACAAACAATCGTATCAACTGCTATAAGTAGACTAACTTCGTTATTAAGCTTGGAACATCATGTGAACCATCAGCGCTGGTAACAATTTCTAAATAGCGAGTATCTGAGCTATCCTATAAATTGACAAATGGATAATACCAATTTAATATGTTCTTGTATATTTTATACAAATTTTTCTTATAATAGTGCGTAATCTTCCCGTGAATACTAGCCAAACTCTGGTTTCGTTTTTATTACAACTATGCATTACCTTCCGACCAATATTAAGAAGATCACGAACACTATTATTGTAAACTTCGGCAACTGAAATCTCCAAAGAATGAAAATTATGAGGATGTTTTTGATTTTCTTCTCCAATCAGCCTAAAAAAATAATGAGCCCATTAAATGGTTACGTAAGTATTGGTGTTATGTTCAAATAATTAGTTAAAAATATCAATAAACGCCACTATAGATACCGGAAAAGCTCTCGAGCAGCTCGTGGGATTACACCTTCTTGTGCATGTGGAAGCTCAATATCAATCCAATCATTATTATCAAATGAAGCATGCCCTCCTAGCATGGTATGGGTTTTACCAGAACCAGTTTGTCCATACGCCATAATGCAGACATTATAGCTAATTTCAAACATAGAATAATCTGGTTGTTTATATCACAGGCATCGACATATGCAAAAATTGGACAGATTGATGAAAGCACTAATCGATCTATCTTAAGAAAACTATAAAGAAGAAATTGATGTAAAATTCAAGGAAATTAACCCATCTAGAAGTGATGTTAGAAGTGGAGCTACGTCATTAAATACAGCCTCTTGGGGATCTGATTGCGCAAAAACCCTACAAAATTCAGTATGGATGAGAGTTCAGATTAGCTTCAATCTTATAGTAAATTTTTAAAAAAACTTGATTTAGATTACCTTTCGTATTCGTATGTTTTGTCAGCATTAAATCGTGGATTTTTCACCATAATAGTTTCCTGTAATCGGATATAAGAGTATTATCAATTAAGTCCAATTTGGAGTTATAATAGTTTATCATCATTCTAATTTTACGTAAAATTACTAAAAATTGTGATACCTCATCTATCCAATCAATAACTTGCTCTTTTGGACCACTTCTGCAATCAAAGCAGTTAATAAAATTAGGATGGAAGGTATTCCATAAAATTGTAACAAGAATAAAGATAGTACGGACTTACCTTACTTTACTAGGATCATCAGTATACTCATCATCAATTGGAAGAACAGGCCTGATTCGACAATGAACACGTATATTGCCCCGAAGTTCCTAATATTTTTTACATATATTTAATATATTCTATGACATATTGCAATGATAAAATTAAAATGTAAATTACTGTACAGTAGGTTATTATATCATTCCGTTTATGGCAATACGATTAGGCATTAACTACTTAACATATCTATCGTATTACCACCAAAGTGTTGTGTAGCATTTTTCTTTTCTCTTTTTCTTTTTCATACAATTCTTTATACTGCTTTGCTAATATATCCAAGTTATCTACTTTGCTAACAATATCTTTCAAAAGTATATAAAATAGTAGCTATTAATATAAAATCTCAACATATTATGTATAATATGATCTTAACGATTTGATACATCAACAGTTGTATTTTAGTTAACTGCATTAATGCAAATAGTCTATCTTTTTCTTGCACAAAACAGATGAATGTGATCATACTAGAATAATTGCTTTAAGAGTGTTAACAATCTACCTTTTAATGCCAAATATTTTTCACGACTTTTAGTAATTAATTTTTGTCCATAAGCTTTAGAAGCAGATAGAATTTGTGTAATATTATCATCCATTTGTACGGGTATGTTGGCAACATCTTGTTTTAAAGTAGAATAAGATTGTCTCATATCCTATCGAAAATAGACCAATTTTTACGATTTGAAATTGAAATAAGCCAAATTACAACATAAAATGGAGGCATTAAACTAAAAATAGCTTTGTCAGAAAAAAGTTCTATTAGGACTACAATACCTTCAGCTCATCGTAAAATTGTTTCAGTGATTGAATTGTTTGATTAACATTTTTCTCCTTGCTTTCAGTTATTCGCCGTTGATGAGCAATTTGGGAATTTAATTCTCTAATTTGACTCTGGCACTATACGCATATTAGTGAAAGTGAAAAAGTAATTTCATACAATTATCCTATACTACAATTATGGCTTGTGACACTGCATCTTTTGTAAAGAAATTAATTGATCGAAAGAGAAAACCATCAAGGCTTAACTGACAATATAGTAGAGCTTTATTAAGCAGATACGCTAGTAAAATTAATGCAAAGTTATACAAATCTAACCTTTGCTAATTTCAAATAGAGCATAGCATTTTCTGTTTCCAAAGCTAGAATTTTCTCTTGTTTTGCCTTTAATTAATAATTTTAATTTTAAGGAAGACAATGAAGCTTATGTATTTCGTTGATATCGATTTTAGTAACATACTATCGATGATTTGAAACTGTAAAATTGCATAAATATTGTCTATCTATATGCATATTGGCTCCTATCATTATTATTGAGCATCCTAACTAGTTTAATCTAGCATATCAACAACAAACTATTAGTATTCTAAATTGTACACTGTATAAGACTGATCAATGGTATAATACTTACCCTTGCCAAATTCTTACTCTTAGCAAAATGCGTTGTTTTATCGATAAAGACATCATCGCATGGAGAATTGACAGCGCTTAAATCTAATGGCATCATCATATTGAAAATACTGTATAGGGATTAATAGGTTTCGTGTTCTAGCGGTATGACAATAACAAACGTAAACTGAATTGGTAAATTGGCTAATAAAATGTAGGCTGAATCTTAGCTTATTGGTGAATTAACTACAAATGCATCTACCGGAAAATAAATTATTTGATATTCGTATATCACTGGATGGCATTTAGCCATCAATTAGAAATGAGAATGTACATGAAAGGATGACTAGAATACTGTAATTTATTGGCTAAGAAATTGTTTATTTTACAGGCAGCTTAAATGACGTGTGATCACTGCTAATTTAGAACGATGCGCCAGTTGATTACCGTTTTAATCATAGGTACTTGTACAGTACACTGATCAGTACATGACTAATCTGATTTTATTCCGTTTATACCTGTATACGATACAGTGGAGTGTATAGAGGCTAGCTGCAAAATAGAGAGATTCTATTATGCTTAACTCAAAAGCTTGTCCATGTAGTCTTTGATTTCTATCACTTCCTACTAGAAGTAAATAAGATGCTAACTTTCTCAAGGCAAGCATGGATATTGTTTCTACAGCAACGGAGCATGCGCAGTGATCCTTCCTAGTCTTGTTTGAAGATGTGTGACACGTCTACAGTCTACAGTACTTGTCTCGTGTTGTACTGTACTATACTTGTAGTTCCCCCAAAATTACTGAAATTGTACACAGCACACCATACTGTGGCAGTAGGTTTAAAGCCTCGTGTTGCCAATGTCTCTTTGAGACAGGCATCTTGGCACAGTACTGTACGGTACAGTACTATAGACTGTAGACTCAGTGTCGAGGTCTTTATGGTCTGGTCCGGACTAGTCCGAACCAGACCAGACTTCAGAATCGAAATTTCGAAATTTTCGCATACTGTACTGTACAGTACTGTACAATGTACTGTACTGTACAGTATACGCTCACTAGTACTGTAGCGCCCTGCCGGTTTTTGTCAGGAATTGAAATCTAAATACTCGTCTGCTGACCTAATTTTGGAGCCCATTTGCTGGTCTGAGGAGCCATATCTTCACAACTGGCGAAATTGCAGTCGTTAGAATTGAAAGAATTCAACTGAAAGTCTTCAGGTTGCTATCCTTGTGTAGCATCAAGGATTAGCAACACTTTAGGGATCGATTGAATTCATTTTGGTATCGTTGTCACCCCTTTATTATTTATTCATCGATTGCTACTCCAAAGATTGCTATTATGGCGGACGACGGTTATCGGCATTGCCTGCAACAAGCAATTGCAGTCATTACCTCTGAAGCTGGTTATACGTCTATATCCAGCTTGGCACTTGAAACTATAACAGAGATGATACAAAGTGGTATGCTATAACACTAGCTGATCAATCTTGGTAGAATGCTTCGATACTTCGTTACAAGTGATCGACTGTAGCCCATGCATACATTACTCGCTCGTTTGCTCAGCATGATAAAGTTCACATTATGAATGTAACATCGTAACATAGTTTTAGCACTTTTCCATGCAATCGAATATCTTTTATACAATATGGCCTAGTCGAAAATGACGAACCAGTAACCCTACCAACGTTTGCTTGATGAATTTAGAATTATCTACAATAGGAGAAAAAGAATCCATTTTATAGCTATCGTATCATACAGCTTTGATCAGAAATCAGTACATATTTCATCATTTGCAGTAGTACACGAAGGTACCAGTTGATCCGGCCTGTAAACGTTAATAATATAATGCTAATAAACTGGTCTGTAATAGAATCCTATTAATTATTCCTATGCGTAATATTCGGTATCATTCTTATAATAAATAACGTTCAATGTTAGGGCATTTACGAAAACGTTCAATAATGAATACTTTAAATTTCTATCTGTAGTTCTCTGCGAAATTGGACGTTGCTCTCAATCATTTTGCGAAATATCATCTCGCACCAAGCCAACTTTGTGTGACGTTGAACAAACTTTAATCAACACCGGTATGGTATGAAATGCCCTGAGTTTCTTTTCCTTGAATATCCATGTCATTGTATGGCAATATTTTACTACTGTACTCGTATAACAGGCATTGTTGTACTTACATATTCATAGTAGCTGTTTATCGCTAACAAGAAAGTGAAATTGCAATTACTGTAAAGTTGTGTTGTCTTCTTAACTCTAAGCTCTATCTGCATAATATCTGCCTGATTACTTATATTTTACAAACAACCGGAAATAGTAGTTAATATTTGCCATACAGTTCCATTAACCCTACCTTGTCGTATTATAAAAATTGCATATCCGATAGGTGGATACTAACCCAAGTAACTATGTATTAAATTGTACCTGTAGTTGGATTCACTATTCAAGATGTGGCGAATTATTATCTACATGCACCAACGAGGAAAATCACTTCACGTAAGTTGGACATAACAGTCTACTTACTGCATATCCCTGTGATAATTACTGACTGTAAGCAACCTCATCTTATAAATGCTACATAGCTGAAAAATTAAATGAAAAATCTCAACCAAAGCTTATGACTGTGGGTACACCGCTGCCACTACCGAGCTACATCCCAGACCACTTACCGCCTCTGCCTAGTCCACATACTTACATTCGAACTCCGGTAGAAACGAAGTTGCATGACTGTTTTATGTCATACTTTTCACGAGTTATTACTAATAAATCATGAAATGTATTGACCAAAATCAATTTTAAACGATGCAGACATACAAGTTTCCCAGTACTGAATATGCCACAGTGAGGAAAAAGCGCTCTGAAAGTGTAAGATGCAGCCGAAATAGCCTTATCAAGTAAGTCTTTCGTGATTATATATGTGTGTACATTTATCTCTTGTAATTATTAGTAGTAGAAATACTTTTAATCATAAACAATAGCGTAGTTGCTTCGCTGACCTACCATTATATTTTCGTTGAATAAACGTAATAATTGATTGATAGATTTATCGTTAAAACATCCGGCACGTTATCGCTTGTTCATGAAGATTTAAATGAAAGTTTGTGTAAGTACTGCATTCTCACTTGATAGAGAACTATGTTAAGAATAAAGATTAGTCGTAGGTCATAAAATGTAATATTAAATTGCCGGTACCATTTTACTGTAGTAATTAAATCGAACCCTCCGGCTCTGTCGTATATGGACGCTTTGCTTTCATTTGAGGAAGATAAAATGGATCAATCTGACAATACACCGGAGCAAGACTCAGATGATGACGACGATGATGATGATGATGATGATGATGACGACAGCGATGCCGAATCTGCGAAACCTTATAGAAATCCATTCCTCGAACCTCCTCAAAAACGACCGGATAGTCCTTAATATTTTGCGACAAGCTTTTTGTAATATAATTTAATATTCTGTTTTAACGGAAAAACGGTGCTAAATTATTATCCATGTTAGCGGTAGTAGGCGAAACGGTGGACCGCTGTATATGCGTTTTACTTTCTTGTATGATAAGGTGATATATGCGCCATATTTGTTGAATGTACACTGAAATGGCAGTATAGAATTGAATTAGCTTATCATCACCGGGTGAGAGTTTCGATATAACCATTGTTTTTACGGTAATCTTATTTCTGAAAATCGAACCATTATATTTCTGTGAATCCTTGGATAGATTAATGTAATATACAGTACATAGATGGCTCACAACATTAATGATCGTCTTAGCTAGTTTCCAATATGCTGCATAAAACCATCTGAATTCACATTTTATTTCATATAAAACAACATACTAGATAAACCAAAAAACTCATCAATAAGAAATGCACGGTAACACCCGTATAAAAATTATACCATGGGTCACGATTGTGTGTTGAAGAATGTTATTATCTAAGTTCAAACTTTATATGCTGATTCTACTCAACATTGGTGACTGTGAATATTGTACAAAATAAAAGGTGCTATACTGTACAGATAGATTTATATACTGCATGATTTAGGTTGATGTACCCAAGGCAATACTTTAATCCTATGTAAGGAAGCAGGGAAGGCCAGCTTAACAGAATTTGTTTATTTATACAAAAGTAGAAAAAACAGTCCAGACAAATAATGTAAAGGAATGGATACAGTATGCGCACATGAAGATGCATATAATGATTCCAGTGTCTGCTGGATCCTAGGTTGATGTATTCCTTCAAACAGTATGTACGAATGGTATGATTGTAATTAAAAAAATATAATTGTGTAGTACAAGACATTCTCGTTTTCGGAGAAAGGTCAGTACATTTTCAGCTAATACACTGAAAAGTTAGTTGCTTTGCGTGTATCTTGCCGGGACAGCAGGCAAAATGCTGGAAGCAACCTTTTATTTTCGGTGATTCCTCAAGTTGTAATGATGCACTGTTCTGATTATAGGTATGAAATAGGTAGGCTCCTTAGCAGTACAGTGTGTTTTAAATTTATGACTACAATTACTTTAAATAATCAAGATTGATATATGTGTACTTTATATGTACTTTAAATGTATCCATGTATCCACGAGCTATATTCTACCCTGTTATGTGAGAATACTCTTTTGATATGCTTGCAAAATTGATCATTAATCTGAGCGGCAATTTTTGAATCTGTAGCATGCTTTTACGAATTTTAGACGATTGCATGAATCTTGACATAAGATACATTCCTAATGATAATCGTAATCTAATCTAAAATATCTTAATTAATTCGTTCCTAATACTGTTATAAGATTTGAATTTATAAACCACTTTGTACGAAATTTACACCTTCGTATATGCTTTTCAAATATAAGTACTATATACTCTCCAATGCAGTACAATTAATCTTTTACTCTGCATTATCAACCATACTCCTTACTGCAACTACTTAGGTAATGGAGATGAATTAGGTAACTCTCCTAGATTTTTGAACCCTCCAATTTCATTTTCTAATTTGATTGGTGCAGTCGTGTTAACAAATTAATTCCAGTACTATTATATGACACATATTTGAGTTAAAGATTAAACCCTCATCATATCTAGATCAACTAAAATTTAGGCTCACAAAATTTGTCTGAAAAATTTTCTACACTGAATATCTTTAGAAAATGTTTAATAAAGAACACAAGCACACCATAGTCAATTTAGTAATAAGCCTACTGGAATATTGTGCACTATGATTGAATGAATGATCGCAAAACGAAAGAAGTTTCATTGGCATCTTTTCTAGTTTATGGAATACTCCGCCAAAAATCTAACAAAATTTATCTTAAAAACTTCAAAGGTTGCCGTTAATTAATAGATCAAGTAATCGCCAGATAACCAGACATGTATAAATTTTTACTATTTCAAGTAATAAACGCAATTGTAGCTATTGATAATAAAAATATACGAGCCTAAAAGAGTGATATTAATGAAGACTACCAAATCATCAATCATACTATTGATTTATAATGAAAGCGGGTGTAATTCTATTTACTACGATATATTGTAGGGGTTTTGAGGACAGCATGCAATAAGTACCGCTGGTACATATTTTTGCTCTTAAATTCTTTACATTTTGGCCACAAAAAAATTTACCCAAGACAATATCTTGAACGCTTCTATTACCTTTATATTTATACCTAACTCGCTACACCCTTCGATTCGATGAGCCATTAATTTTAGAGTATTCTGCTTAGAATCACACTTTCAATATTTACTGGCTTGGTTTAAAAATTCATGAAATCATTGCTAATTGTCTTCATGTTTAACACACTCTCTCGCCATAATCTCAAAATAGTAGCAGCTATTTACGTGCGGAGTCTAAAGCGATTGCAAAATACGTAGACACGGTTGCTTATAGAGTACTATATCTATACGTGCTCTAAATTAAGCAATAATGACTCCAAAAGGCGATCTACATATATAGTATTTTAAATACAACTTTATCCTTGATAGTTCGTAACTGAGACATTAATTCTATATTTGTCTAATACTCAGGGCTATAGTGAGTAAGTGAACTATCTCATATAGCTACTAGGCTATCATGACAACTTCGAATTCTTTTAAGTACAAGTATATATGCGTATATTAATACGTCAAATTAAGATTAAAATTAGCCAATAACGCTGTAAACCCTCCATTTATAAGTTGAGAATCTCATGAACTTAATTATAAATACATCACACTAGAGCAATAAAGTTCATTAAATTTAAAGCAAGGTTAATTCTTAGTGTTAACGAATCAACACCTAATCTACACTAGATTTATCAATATAGACCAGTTGACAGCGCTTATTAACTTCATTTTGCATCAAGTTAGATAATCATTTGTGGAGTTGGAACAAATTGAGAAAAAGACTGCTATTTAAGCCATACAGTAGAACTTTACCTTATTTCTGTCTGAACCTCAGTACTTGAGATATCAGGATTTCTATTAATATTTCCAGTTGAACAGAAATGCTGAAAATATCCAAAAAATTGAATAAGGGACAAAAAAGGCGTCAGCAACTTCATAAAAGAGAAGTATTTAATGCTAAAGTAAGTTAGCATTTTATTATTTTTTATTTACTATTAAATAGATAGAATATTATAGTTAAAGATTCTATCTTTGAAGAAATGATATCTATTTGCAGGTAGAATTTATTTTTATAAGTGATAATATTATCGCAGTAGAATCATTAGTGATTTCGCCTTGATCGCTAGGTTGCCGATGTTATCACTAGTAATGAATATAAGCCAGGAGAACCTTACTATGTCGTCGAAATAACTACGTTATTAGAGCATCCTTTTCAGCTCGTAAACGGAGCCATTGTTCAAAAACTATCAACCTATGGAATATTAACGAAACAACAGTTGCCTAAAGTAAGCACAGTGTCAATTAGTACCAGAAATTTGTATGCAATACGTAAATATCGAGGCCATAAAGTGTAAAAGTAAATCCTAAAATGGCCCAAACAGTTACTTCTTATTTGTACGAATTAGAACTAAAAATTTTATCATCTTAATCAAAATTCAAAATCTGTAATTTTTTTCTTTATTTCAAAACTATTAGTTACCAAGAATTATAATCTTTACGCCTATGGGTAAAGCTCATGTGAATTTTATCGCACGTGAGAAGCCATTATTTCTTACTGAAGAAGAATTAGACAATTGTGAGAAATTTCATCGATTTTTATTTGAGAATGTTATCAAGACAAGAAAAGATACAAGATTTATCAAAAATGAATCTATTAAGTACTATCTCGTTGTCCCACTAAGGTATCAAATATATTATTAAGAATAAATAATTGATTTATTGTAGTATTATTAAACATCGTAAATTGATTGGTACCGGGTAATAATTTAGAGAAATAAAAATTACGTTCTTCAGATTTTTACCAAATAAAGTATTTAATATCTACTCTATATTCTACCCAAAATCATGATATTTGCTTCCATACTGTAAGCCTACCATTAATATTTACAAACATCCACAGTTAAGATATTCAATAACACAGTATGCTACGTTTAATTATTTAACTTAAGTATAATATTATAACTGCAAATTTTATTGTAGAGAAAATGGAGAACTTCATTATGAATTAATAACAAGTTGCATTAATTTTCTTCGCAATGAAAATTACCCAAATCGTCAAGTATGTAAAGAAGTTATATTACAATTTCCGCATCAAGTTGTAGTAAAGCCAAGCTACTCTCTAAATAGTCAGAGTTTAAATTGGATGCTAATTAGAAAGGTAAGCGATGCAACACCTATGTCTGAATTTCATGACACATCTATTGCGGCAACATTTTATGATTACTATAAAAATCAATACTCGATTGACATCAGCGATAAAGAGCAAAAGTTAGTCTGCCTCCGAAAAATACCAAGTAATAACAACATGCTGAAGAAATTTCATAGAATATTAACCCTTACGTCAAAATCTAAGCAATCGCCCCACTTTGTACCGGAATTGTTAGCTATTCATCCGTTGTCTGCAAGCCGTTTTATGACTACAGTCTGCTTGCCTTCGATCTTATTTCGTGTAGAATCATTACTCTCCGTCGATGAACTCCGGCTAAAGATAGCTCGAGAAACTGGACTGGGCTTAGATGATAGTAGAATGGATAATAGTTTTATTCCACTCCTTCAAGATGCATCAACTTATTACACCAAAAAGATTGGGATTTTGCCTCATGTTTTTCATCAAATTAAATTAAAAGATCGCTATACGCTAATAACCTTAGGCAATGGAAAAGATAATTATTTACATATATCCAATGAAGAAAAAAGAAGACTTGTCGATCGAAAATTGAAAAGAGGTCGAGAAAAGAAGAAGCAGCTCGTAATTAACCATTGCAAGCAGTTGCGAAGAACGATCAGTAAGCTAACAAAGAAAACTAGAAAGTGGTTAAAAATTGTGCCTATTTCAGTCAGTAAGCGTCTCTTTCCTAAATTTCATCGTCGCTTATTGCATTCCAAATTGAAATCTAATCGAAATAAAGCTGTTTTGAAAAGGCCAGGCCCAAGTGTTTCAATGCTACTGCAGGCTCTCACATCGCTATCAGCAGACGATTTCTTCAATCATGAACGCTTGGAAATTCTAGGAGATTCCTACTTAAAGTTTATCACTACTGCCGATTACTTCTTTCGAAATCCAAATATGAAAGAGGGTGCTATGAGTCTTATGCGTGCCATTAATGTCTCTAATTCCCATTTATCACGTACTAGCAAGCTCAAAGGATTAACACTGTACCAATTCAACACACCATTCAAATTAAAGCAATGGTTACCACCTGGGTTTACCTGCATTAGGAATAACGCTAATCTTGTTGCAAATAATATGCTTACGGACGGTAGTAAACAGCGTGATAGCGAATCTTTTAAACAAGTTATGTCAGTTAAAAATATTTCTGATACCGTTGAAGGCCTGGTTGGTGTTTATTCTTTAGCTAGCGGACCAGTTGATGCAGCTCGGTTATTGCCTTGGATTGGATTAGACATTGATCCGAATGTATTAATAGAAAAGGATAAAAGCGTAAATTTTGAAATACCAACGACTGATGAAGATATCCAATTAAGTAGCTGTATACTCCGTAATACTGATTATCAATTTAATAACTTTTATTGGTTACGAATAGCTTTTACACACTCATCTGTTGCCAGTGAAAACTATCAACGATTAGAATATCTGGGCGATGCTATACTCGAATATTTATTGATTGAGTTTGTCTACTGTCGAAAACCATACTTTGGACCTGGTAAAATTTCACATTTCAAGTCGGTAATGACGCGTAATCAGACATTTAGTCTAATCGCCATAGCATTCCAATTTTACACGCATATTCGATGCCATTCAAAGTTAAAATTAGATATTATGGATAGTATTCAAAATTTTAAAGAAATATTGTTGGTTAGTATTAATTAATTCACGATATAGATCATGTCCTTTTAATCGTTTATCCCTAAAGTATCCCTGCGAAACAGATCACAAAGAATTAGTTAATGAATATTTTGTATTTTAGGATAACCATCAAGATGATCATCAGCCAGACATTGGACACTTTGCAAATCTGGCATATCAATTGTATACTTCTAATCGGTATCAGAAACTCCCCAAAGTCTGTGCCGACGTCTTTGAAGCCTTTATTGCTGCCATTTATTTGGATTGTGGTAAAAAATTGAGAACAGTTTGGAAAGTTGTGTACAAAATGGTTCAACGAATTCTAGGTACAGAACATATACGAGCATAACAACAGTGTTTCAAGCAATAAAATAAATATATAACATTTTTTGTTTCGATTAGCTGATATTCTCAATGACGTAGGTGGTCTAACTAGTACTATCCATGATATGTTTCCAAACAGAATTAGATATCAGTAAGGTTTCATATCATAAATTATCCAGAATATTGTAGATACTTGATTATGTTATCAGTTCACCCATTTGACTAATCGAAATCTTCATCATTTTAGAGTAATCAAAAGGAGTAATTCAAGTAAAAAGCATCGTAGGATGTTCCTTGATCATCCCAAATTGGGCATGCTGACTTCTGAAGGCATAGGAACAAGCAATACATCAGCTAAAGATGATGCCATCCGCAACATGCTCTCACATCTGGAGTGTTCAGATCAAGAGATTGAAAGTAGCAACAAGTCCTGACGATGAAAATATAAATTGTGGACGACGTTATAACTTTAAGAAGATAGGCTACAATTTACAAACGTTTTATTACTGACAATTTCATAAAGCATCCATTAATATAAATCATCTTAATTTTATACACCTTTTAAATCATCATTACTAACATATGAAAAAAGTGTGTGGAATTATTGTGGAAATTACTTTATCATACCGCTCGAATATTGTACAGTTACTAGTAGCTACTAATGTTCAGTAAATTGTCAATTAGTGATGATCCTTTTTAATCATATTTAAGAAAGCACTTGGCAGCTATGGAGTACTTCTTTTACAATACAGGTCGAAAATAATTTTATTTGTACATATATTTTCAAAAACATTTTTAACTTGGAATCCAGCGAGATGTCGACAACATTAGCTTTTTACGAATAGAAACATTGTGCGTCCAAAACCTAATGAGAATAGCAAGCAATTTATTATAAGTATTAAGATTTGCACAATTACTATACCATATACCACAACTTGATAGGCATGAATGAAATCAACATCCGTACATATACTATACTATATATTATCATACACAATAACAAATAAATAAATGATCATCATTGGATGATTACTAATATCTCTGATGGCATCATACACTTTATTACCAAAAAAGATCAACGCTAGAATTATATAACAGTTGAAATAAGATGATGGAAGTAAAATCATTCTTCTCATCACATACCTTTAACAGCGTCGTTTGGAATGGGAAGTGTTTGGCATGATGAGAATCCGATTTCTTCAGATAGTAAATAATCGTTAAACTGATCGGGCATTAACTTGATTTCATCAAAGTTTTTACGAAAAGTCGCCTAAAGATACATAATATATGCATGGAATTCAAGTTAGATACAGCTAGCAATCAATGTGCTCTTCATCTAAAAATTTGAGCTCGCTTCGTTGATAAGTATATTAGCAGTCAATGTGTATGCTTAATGCTAACATATTGAATTGCCTAATTATTCTTAAAAGGAGTTACATACAGATAAACGTTTTTTCTTTTTGTAAGATTCGATAGATTGAGGCTCTAGGATTAGGATACCATCATGACGTAAATTCATAAATATACGTTTGAATAGTTTTTTGACACCTTCATCACCCCAGTTGAGATGGATCCATTTTGTTAAACTTAGGCATAAAATAACATCATATAGTGGTTTTTCTTCATTAATACTTTCCATTGATTCTTTAATGTAGTTCTCCTGTAGAATAGTATTACATGCATGTAATGAATGAGTTTCTTTTCGTAGCTAAGCTAACATAACATTAATGAAACAACAGGCTACAGTTATGCATGCCAGTAAAGTTACATTGATACGAGTATGAGCATATTCGTATGAAGACAACTCGCCCAAGCAATGCAATGTACTGTTCCTCTACAACGTTAGGTGACAAAAAAATTATTATTATTAGCAATTCATTATACCTGCTTAAATAAGATGTTTCTTGGATAGAGTGTACTATCATCGTTGCAAGTATCAACTATAGGTCCATGACAAATGCCAAATGATATAGGAAATTGATGATTCTTGGTTGAATTAATTCGCGTAATATTTGAACGAGCTCGTGTAATTAATGAGGCATCAATGTCAATGCCAACGATGGTATTGGGATTGAATTTTTTAGCAATTTCTATGGTTAAATGGCCATCATTGCATCCAATATCGAGACAATCTTTCCCTTGAAACCATTGGTGATTCCATGAATCTAACCTACCATCATGTGTTGATTGATTTCTATAACCGTAGTATCTATTGTAATTTCCATATATAAATAATTTTTGTTTGGAATTTTTTTCCTTTAGGGTTGTTTCGACAAGTTCCACTTTGTCCTGGCGAATTTTCTTTAGGGTTTGTAGGTCATTTTTATCATCATTATCCTTACTTAATTTCCTTTTCTTTTTGTGCTGTTTCAGAGATCGGACACGTTTATCGTATTCTCTGTCTTCCCTACTGAGCATTAATGGATCACTGGTTTGTGGTGGAACTAAAATTTGATCCTCATTGGTCACATTCTTGACGTTGGCGAGGCGTCGATGAGAAGGAGAAACGTGTGGTGTGTCCGCTTTCAGGCGATTATTGATCTCTGGATCGAGTAAACTACGCAAATTTAATGGATCAGTTGGATCTTGAGGTTTACTTGGCAAGAGCGATTTTTCACTCGATAAACTACGACGTACTTTGGCTTTTTTGGTCTTTTTATAGCTTAAATTGGCTTTCTTGCCGCGCTCTTGATGACTTGGACTAGTTTCACTAATGAAATTTTGCCTCCATGTCGTTGCGCCACTCATGTTTACTTCCATTGGCTAATCCTAAAGGATTGCAATTAGGAAAGGCGTCCCCGATCAACGACAATTTAGAAATGAGTCCAGTAGTATCGTGTGGACGATAGTTTAGCGCTGATTTCACCTCCTTCCCTGCACACAATATGAATCGAAATCAATGGGAATTCTACCTGTCGCCTAGATGATGCCTGCTGGAGATCTGCAGTCTTGATTTTGCTCCTTTACTCCTACTCAACGAGTATTAAAAGCCAAATTGAAATTGATCTTTTGCTAGTCGCTTCGTCGCTATGGAACATGTTGCCGTGGGCCAAGCACGAGTCCACTGTAAGTGGTCAATAGCCATACCCAGGGTACTATACTACCACTCGTACTGTCCACTCCTAAAATTCCCGGTCCCCCCCCCCCCCAAAAAAATGAAGAGCATTCTCTTCGTAGTCTATGATTCTATCAGGAAGTATTGAGAGAGAGAAAAAGAGAAAACTCTTTACTAGTCCCTGATACTATCATACTATAGGTAGTACTCAAGCTTTTTAAAGAAAAATTCCCTAGTACAGATATGGACACTTATGGTTATGTACACTGACATCAACTACCCGCCCCCCCCCCCCAAGAAAAATGAAGAGCATTCTCCTCGTAGTCTATGATACTATCAGGAAGTACTGAGAGAGAAGAAAAAAGAGAAACTCTTTACTAGTCCCTGATACTATCATACTATACGTAGTACTCAAGCTTTTTAAAGAAAAATTCCCTAGCACAGTTATGGACTACTAAATCAATGCCGGCATTCATTGAGTAGTAGTCCATAGTACAGCCAAAGAGCCATAGTAGCGACTTTTGATATACAATTCATTTCTATGGCTAGACCAGACCATCAATGCGGAATACGTCGTATGTTCCACATAGCAAATTCAAAGGAAAAATATCAATACGGAATACGTCATATGTTCCACATAGCAAATTCAAAGTATCATGGCCTACAGGAGTAGACGGAGAGAAGCTTTGAACTTGATATCTCTGCTGGAAAGTCTGCAATGACTACAATATTGTTGACATTTGTAAGAACTGTCATTGGAGATGTTTCAGCAATAAATCAAAGGCATTGATACTTTTTCCAATAGATCATCATCACTCAATTCTCTATACTTAGGCTCTCTAGTCTAGTACAGAATACAGCAGTTGGACGTCTGAACTTCTTATCAAGTGGCAGGATCTACTATGCACAAAAGTAGCTGTAGAGGATAAATACATTAAACATTAGACAGTAAATTGTTCATTGTCATACACGTCAATAGATGCAAGTATTTGCGCAATTCGTTATACCATAACGAGTACTTACAGTATTCTATTAGGCGGACTGACACATTTGAATAACGTTATCCACCACATTCATAGGGTAGTATGCCCAATCCTATCACTAAAGGCTTAAGTGATTGAGTTAAACTAGTACAGTGTACATAGGCACATTTGTACGTGATAGCATGCTACAGCTTAGATCAAAAACAACGAGGTGAGCTCCTTCTTGACTTACGTTGAAGATAGAAATAAAAATGTTAAAACGCAACGTTCGCATGAACAGACTACTGCAATAGAATACAGTAATGCGTATGCATCCACTATGCCTAGTGTAAACCTCTGAAGTAAAAGGAGCACAAAAATCGACCTCATCCTAGCTTCCTTATTACCTCTGGGAGATTACTTTTTTGAATCACTCTTTAAAATAACGATGACTACCAAGAGTTATTATCGTCAGGCTTTGAATGAAAAATAACGCAGCACTATTTAAGCTGCTGGCCGCTAGTATATACTATCGGTTTTATTCTATGTTTCATAAACGACGAGGTGCAATGTTTGCAATCAGCAGTGGTAATAGATGTTGTAATCCAAATCTTTCATGTACATCACGACTTTATCGTTTTGCTCACCTTTCCTTAAAATAAGGTAAAAAATATCTAGCCAATATATTAATTATACTACATAACATAGTTGGTATCTAGGACGTCATGAAGGAAGTAATATAGGCTACATGCTGCTGCCACAGTAATATAATGCAGCTGCCAGACACTTTACTCGATGCTTATATTTATTTCGTATATCCTGTTCGCAACAAGAAATTCAAGAGAAGGTACATGAGAATACCTACTAAATGCTAACAGGGTATAATTAATATGGGCTACATACTGCTGCTACAGTAATATGATACAACTGCCAGGCACTTTACTCGATGCTTACATTTGTATCGTATATCCTATCCATTAGAAGTAATTCAATAGAAGGTACATTAGAATATGTACCTAAGGTTAGCAGTGTAAACCATTTAACAGACATGATTCAGAAATACATGTATTGTATAGCAATAAAAAAAATATCAAATGATGACGACAGTAGGAGATTGCCGTCGAATCCACCCATACAGGGCTAATTCTAGATCTCTATTATATGTAATCATAACCAATGGCTACTTGATTTCTGTTCTTACTTGCAGCTCATATGCTATTTATTAGTATGTCCTTCAATAAAAACTAAATGCATTGCGTCATAGCATTGTACTACTCAATAATTTGTTTACATGGATAGAAGCAACAAACATCCACTACCATCCTGACAATATGATTGGCATCAATTAATTTGAAATTCAATAAATGGAACATTCATTTGAAGGTCTTTATACCAAATATTCCATATCAACAGCAATAAAAAATAAATTTCAATACTTAATTTTTTGCCACGGTGATGAGATTTTTGTAATCGGCCTATGAAATAATACACTAAATAAACCAATTTTACGAGTATATCTACAATTGGATTCGTTTACAAATACGGCTGCCAGTACTCACTAATCTAAGACGATAGGAACCTTTTACAAACATATAACCTCCAAAATACGAATAGTATACCATAGATTATTATAGTGAATCGTTCGTCCTAACTGTAATTGTTTTTTTTTTTAATTGCTCTATGCAAGTTTTCATTTTGGCGTAGAAGAAGTTATACTTGCTTTTTATTGGCGCGTACATATGCTCCACCCACAGGATATCCATATGGCAATAATAATATTACTTCCTTAGCTACTAAGTTAACCCCAAATTTCCTAGCCATTCGTACATTATGACAGAGATGCAATCTAATCACGATTACGCGGGTGTTGTGCTAATATGTTCCGCTACCAGCTAAAATTAATCATTGTCCTAGTTAAGTGAATCTGTTACATAAAACCTTACGTTCTATTGAGCACATTAGTCTATATATAGTTAGCACTTTTATTATTTAGCTACCACTAATCATATTCATCAACAGTACTCCGTCCCATATTAGAATTGACCTTGTTTACTCCTACGGTGTCTGCAACATCATATCATAGCTAAATTTTTGGTTGTTACTTCTGTATCGGAAATCTTCTCTGCAATGAATAACAAGTTTCGTTACTTGATTTTCTTGATCATTGTACTTTATGGCAATAATATCAGAGTATTTTCAGGCAATGTACCAGGTTCTATCTATTTACCAATACGTAAAAATGTTAACATTCAGAGTCATTTGTTTTTATTAATCAATATATTAAAGCATACGATATTATCAGCGGTAACCTAATTGTTGCTTTTTCCCCTTTCTCATTTCAAGCAGTTAAACATAATAGGACAAGCACTAACACTGTATTACATCCAAATGAAGGCATTGCTGTATCGCCAATTCGAATTGTAGACGGTTTTACACAATACTCAGGTAGAATAGAAATCTACCATGCAAATAAATGGGGATCGATCTGCAGTAACGGATGGGGAATAAAAGAAGCTAATGTTGCATGTCGGCAATTAAATTATGCGAAAGCAATGTCTGCAAAAGGTATGCCTATCTATATGCAAAGAAGTAAATCATGTTTGATTTATAGCTAAAATCACAGCGAAATAACAGTTTAATTTTGTCTTCATCATTAATTTATCGTAGTTTGTGCTATGATTCCGTCCCATGTAACTCTCAACCAATGATCATACTTCCAATTTAGCTTCATTGCGACAAGAATCTCTATCAAAACAATCATGGACAGGATTTATAGCTTGTCAAGGCAATGAAATTGCCCTTTCTCAATGCGAGCAATCGCAGTGGATTATTTCTGCAGAATGTACAAGCCAAAGTAACGCACGTATTTCATGCGAAGCGACTGCAGGTTAGAAATCTCGAATTAGCTGCATTCTAAAATTATAAGACTGTGACTAAATGCACTGATAATGGCCATGTGAAGCCGTTCAACTAAATACATTTTTTACTCTTGCAGATAATCCCCTGAATTGTATCTTTGAGCATGGATTTTGCAGTTGGAAGCAACCTAAGAGAAACTATAAAATGGATTGGCTGTGGACGGATAGTAATCACACGCCATTAAACAAAAAGTTCTCAGGTACGTATGAAAATCAATCAAAGCTTAAAGATATTATTCTCCATCAATAAATTAACTTTATTAGCTTATTTACGTTAGTTAAGACAACTTGAACGTTTAGGAAGTAAATCTATAATTATAATATAGCTCAATAATAATAATTCACCATACTATAAAAGCTTATCGATGTGCGCTACTCATATTTGATGGCTATTTCATAGCGTGACTGTTATTAGTCAATAAATTATCCATTGCAAAGGTTAATCGTAAAGTACCCTATAACGCAAATGCATGCTAACATTTTACAGATTCATTAAGATTTAAAATTATAATGACACTTAATCTGGCCTTCCTCTTAGGACCCCATATTTTTTTAAATACTTTATATGGCAATGATGAAGAAGAAGCAACTCTACGTAGTCCATTATTGATGACTCCTTATCAAAGAAATATAACTGTAAGTATTTAACTATTATTTTCTTCTGCAGAATGGGTTACATTTTCATCGAATAGATAGTTTGAAATTGATAATAAATATCCTTATAACAGTTTTCTATTTGAATTCATTGCTATCGCCTCAGGTTACCTTCAATTACCACCAATCTAAGATAATTAGTGGAGCATTCACGGTTGAAGTTTTTACAAAAGTATCTCAAAAAATATGGCAAGCTGATAAGGCATCACCACCTGATGACATTCAGCAAAGGAAAGTCGTTTTTCAAGCCCCAGCAAAGCATTTCAACGTAAGATAGAAGCAATTTATTATAAACAAATCAGATTTATCTCGCATGCTTCATAAGGCATGGCGATTATAATTGATTTCTCATCTAGTCAATATTGAATAGTACGATAATAAATGTAATTTAAAGAAATAATATTTTAAAAATTAGGTACAATTCAAATTTGTAAAAGGACGAAAATCGACCGGTGTTATCAGTATGAACGCAATCAAGATCCAAGGATGTCGTGAAGGTTAGTACATTATCTCAGCCATTAATCCGTATCGTATTCAATCCGCTGTGCTTTATGACTGTGCTGAGTCTTTATAGATTAACTTTCTGATGTGATAGCCTTGATACTGGTTATGATTTAGAGGGAGCTATATATATATCGAAAACTGCAGGAAACTGGTATCTAACCAGTCTCTAAATGACGTTATTAACCTTCGAAATTTACCTTTAAAGTTAATTTTAAAAATTTATGCCATATCAGTCTATTACATACCTTAAAATTATGTTTTCAGTCGCTCATACAATTGTACAAATCTTAGATCAGTTTTCTTATATATAGTAATCAGAAAATTTCCATATATTGCATGCGAATAATAAATTATACTACATTCAAGATATTGGAGAATCTAGTATCTGAATTTAATACAAAAAAACCTATGAAGTTATGCTATAACACAAACTGAATTTATCTCGGGTGCTCATTTCTTGATAATAGCTCTAAAATTTTGGAATTATCCATCTACAAGTCTTTTTATATTATTAATCGATAATTGTTAATGGGTTTACTGGCAGCATCAAAAGCAATTTATGACGAAGACGATGACTCTATGGCAATGGGATTCGGATTAGCTGCGCTCGTCTTCGGCCCAGTCGTTATATTTTTTTGTTGGAGATATCATACAAAAAAACAGGACGAGATTGCTGAAGCTAATACTTTAGCAAAGCAAGTTCGCACACATCAAAATCAAACAAGCCAACCTAGGATCCGAAATAGTAGCGGTGGAAATCCTACTGAAAGTCTTCAGCCCCTATGTAAGCGAAGAAAATCTAAAGTTAATTGAAAATGATTGTTATTCATCGAGTTGAATTTTCTTTAATTTTTTACTCTAAATGATTTGGCAGTAAAGGAAAATGCAACTGATGATCGACAGGATTATAGTACAAGTCAAAAGCTTCATGATTCAGAATCACAAGGTAGGCTACCCAAAATGTGTTTAATCGTTCGATAAAAAGACTTAGATTGTTTATTTTAGTATTATAGGATATAAAAGAAAATTTGTATATCATCTGACTCATAGTGTATCAGATTTCTTAACTACTCTGATACTTTACTTGTAACTTTAAATCGCATAATACCTAGTAATCACAAGCGACAATTTAAATTTCTTCATAACTATGAGAAATATCTTATTTTATCATCTATAAAACGGATTCAGAAGCATGTATCACGGAAGAGAGCAACAACAAAGTCTACAATGTTTGAAGTCTATCTAGCAAATTATCAATATATCAACATGTAAAGATTAGCAATAAATATGTAACCAGTTTGAGCCAAGTTTTTAAAATAGAATTCAGAGTGATAGCGTTAGATTACCTATAACAATAGCCATTTGCGGAAGGTAACCTGTGAATTTGCTAAATTACTGGATACCTATGGCTATTTTAGACACATCTGAGATTGCATTAGATTTACTATGAATGATCTTCTTCTTATTTGAAAATAATGACAAGTAATATACGCTGCCTTTGTTACAGAAATTCTAAATTTGAGAAGATTATAAATAAGTTCTAGTAGATGACGAGTAAACATTCCTTTTGCCTACATAAAAGAATTTCATTTGGCCTATCAATAAATATTGTTTAACCGAAGCCATTGTCAAGGTATAATTCCAAATTGAATTAAAATCACACGTTATTTTACATATTCTGTATTTCTAAAAAATTATTACTGCTCATAAATAGTACCTAATATCAATTTGTTTTGAAATGGTTTATATTCAGTAGTAGATTATTTAAAAAGTTTATTAACTTAACTTTTTAAGTTGATCTTTAAATAGATGATATCGAAAAAATTATCTCCTGGTTTATTTTCATCAAGTATTATGGGATAGTTGTTTTATATCAAGCATAAATGTAATCATACATAATCATGTCATGAATTAAGTGTTTAAACACTACTAATTGCATCTCTAAGATTATCTTCATTGAATAGAGTAATAGATTGAATTTATGCTTATGTAACTTTTTCTCGGTTTCGCTTGAATAATTATTTATACTTAAATAATAAACAAGTATCATTTATGTAATTACAAACTGAAACTAAACCGAAATTTTGACAGATCTACTTACGAGCTACAAGTGCACTATAACCGCTTTATATCATATTACTATGCTATGATCTGTCGACCTGCTATGACTAAGAAACATGCCATGTTTTCTTACATTTATATTAAAATCACACCACTTGACAAGTATTCTACGTATAATTCTCAGGCATGCCTATTAATACTCGCAATTATAGATGAAGCAGATGAAGCTGCTAGCTGGCTAGAATAGTAGATCTTCGATGATATAGAGTATATATGTAATTCCTCCTACGCTAGGAAATAAATATTACAAATTATTAAAAGTTGAGACTCAATGGTAATTATGATACCTAATAAGTATTGCTCGTAATCCTGTTATAAAGTTTAATTACAAAATTATTGGTCTATAATACGGTTATATTGATAGCTTTAATTGGGTATAATGGCTGCAATTGATCAAAAATATTGTCGATTTTTAGCAAGGAGTCTATCAATCTACAGACATAACTATACGTCAGTGCCAATTTAGACCTAATATATAGTGTATGCCTCCAGTTCGAGATTTGATTGTTCTTTTCATCCCGCTAATATCTTAATAGCAAATACAGTATAACAGAGACATTGCATGGGTATGTACTGCAAATATGTTTAACATTAGCGTACAAGTCTACCAACTATCTTATCGCTCTCCAGAATCGAACAAATTGAAATATATTCTAGGAATCTACGTGGCCTATACTCAACTAAAACCGATCACAGTCATGTAATCAGGCTATTCACATTTTATTGAAATATCGAGATATTTTCATCAATTAATTATCATATGTGAAGCAATCAACCAGGGTGCACTCTATCACAATATTTTGATTAATAAAGAAGCTTCTTAGCTAGTTTGTTGTGTAGCGTATACTGTATAGGCAAGTCCTAATTCCATCTAAATATCGATACTACATTTATTACCGCTTGTACAGCTAACGGACCTCGATCTTGATATTTTATTACGTAATAAATACCGGTAATCGCCAGCGCTGCATATTCATGTATATACATTATACAAGCATATAGATACAAAATGACACTGTAAAATGACAAATTGCTTATCATTGTTTACTTTCTGATGAAATATCAGGATATTAGCCCACATAAGATTACAGCCTGTTATTAATGACTGCATAATAGATACATTACTGTGGTCTTATGTCAATATGCCCAGTATGCTTTGAAAAAAGCGTACTGTAAAAATAAACAGTAATTTTTAAAAAGGGTTTCAACATGTCTAAGCGAGAGAAGTATCTCTTACTCATTTTAATAATATATATCAGCAATATTGTTAGAATACATTCGTTCTTAACATTAAATGCATTGAATGGTTCTGATCATGAGTGTATCGATAGATGCACTTGTAATTTTAATAACAATCAAATGAAATGCAAGCTGGAAGATTTGCCTACTACAGATATTCCAAGTGGCATCACACAAATGTAAGTAAGAAAATACTGTATCTCGTTATCGACATTCGTTGATTAGCCTTAAAATATGAATCATAGCCGTAAAAGGAAATGACTTATTTCATATACATGTGATGTCTATATATGTCGCCAATATTCAGGTGTAATAGCGATTTTAAGTGCAACATCAAGAGCTGTGGTACTAATTCAGATCTTATACAACTTTAGCTTAATGATGACGAATAAGTATATCAAATTTTTTTTCTTATAACTCGCTATCGTGAAATCACTTAGAAATAAGAGCGAATGATAAGATCAAAAATAATAATTATATACAATGTACAGTAAGGAAGAGTAGTTAATAAGAGCCTTGATTTCCAACTAAATCAATGCTGAAAGATTATTAGAATTGTCCTACATCAATGTGATGCTCGAACGTGCAGGTTGGCTAAGTTTATGTAATTTTATTTGTAAATCGATGAAGTATAATCACCGATGGACACTTGCGATGTGATTGCTCCATAGCCCATATTATTCGATGGGCACAGGAGAATAAAGTTGGCTTGGAAGGTAAATGCAATTCTCCCACGCGTTATAAAGATAAAAATTTGAGCGATATTAACCTCTCCGTATTAGTAGCGTCATGCAACAAGGGTTCAGGTAAGAAAATAACAACTTAAATCGTCGAAGCAAATCAGTAATTTTAGTTAAGATTAATACTATTTGGATATAAAATTATTGCATTCATTTTATCTCATCTAAAGCGTCATAATACTGTATCAACAAGTATTCAAATTACATAAGACATTGAAGTACTAGGAAGAAAATAGAAAAGTTAAAATTATTCCATTTCATTAAAAGTCTGATAAATCATTTTAATATTGATGGATTGCATCTCTAGTTTTGCTTAAGGAGTATTTTAAAGAATGATTTATGTCCGATATACAGGATTCAGTAACAATTTGAGAGTTTTCAGTAATAGGTAGTATCATGAATTGCTTATGATACTTGTAAGAACCTTATTTCTGAATTAAATGTTGTGTAATACTCAAAGTTATTACAACGAAAATATCTGACCACGTGAAGGGTCATTATAATCAGATAAATTTAATCCCAATTTATGAGTAGTATAATTGATTTCAGAGACTACTCCGTTAAGTATTCAGCTTCAAAAGACATCGCATAATTCAAATACCAAGTATATACTTTTATCGAACGGTAGTACTTGGCTTCCTATTTGCAATCGCGATTGGGAATTTGCTGATAGTATGGTGTCATGTAGGCAGCTTAGGTATTTAGGAAGCAGCGAGAGTTTATCTCAAAATGGTAAATCGGTTATTGAATGTAACGGCAGAGTCTAAAAGAGATGCTTTACTACTATGTTTTCATCCTTCTAATATACCTATGTAATGATATTGATTACATGATCGTTCACAATACAACTTAATAGACTTTGAGCTTGAAGTCAACCAAATAGCTTGGAGGCTAGATGGCAACTGTACAGGTCTAGAATCACGGTTATCAGATTGTAATATCCAAATAGATGATGTTGCTGATGATTGCCCCATAGCAACTGTAAAATGTCTCGAAGATGAAGGTAGCGTAATATTGGCATCATATTCAATCCTAAGAATTGGTCATTAGGGCTAATAGTAACATTGGCATACTGATGCTCTGAGAAAGTGATGAAAATATTGAATATATATTAATTACGTCCCATTATATTTAATTCTAGGCGGTGATCCAACAAATTGTAATTTTCAGAAAGGATTTTGCGGCTGGTCAAAAATAAATTCTGATTATTTATCTTGGATTTGGTTAAATAATAATCATAATCATGAAGGTGATCCCTATATTTATTCATACTATACATTAGTCTCATTTCTGTATATTGTACTAGCTAAGTTAGAAATTGAGATACCAATGTATTGGATGTTTTAAATAAATTGTTATCCTCCTAGGTTATCAAGTGTTAGTCTCGTTAACCAATCATACTAAATCGCAGTCTGCGGTGTCTCTTCAAAGCCCGGTATTAAAGCCACTCAAGAACAAAGTTCAAGTATAATTTTAAGAAATTATCGTATAATATTAAAACATAGAATATTGTAAAATAAAATATATCACTACTTCATACATCATGTTTTAACAACATTAAAACGAGATAAATTGTGTATTGTAGGTTTATGTTGAGTATTATTTTAGCGGTATTATCGATGCTCAGCTCCTACTACAAATTCAGCTTGAATATGATGATGAGTATACGACATTATATTCGTTAAATATGGAAGAGCACAATTGGAATAACGCAAGCGTAACCATCACCATGAACCATAACAATTTTCGAGTACTGATTATATAATTTGTATTGAAGAATATAGTAATATCTAAATATTCATGTTTTCTCTTTATTGGTTACTAGATACGCTTCACAGTAAAAAATGGCCAAAATTCAGACGGAGAGATTGGCATTGGCCAAATAAAATTAACGGATTGCAAGTTGCGTGGTGAGTTATTAGTTGTGAATAAGAACGTAGTTCTTTTTTACAATTCGTTATTAACCTAGATGAATACATCAAAGAAAAGCCTTTGTACCTAAGGTCTGGCTGAATATTAATATTTCTGTCTGTTAGATGATGAAGAAAATAGACCCAATAATCGCTTCGTTATTATCGTGGTTGTAATATGCGCCATTACTATTTTTCCTCCTTCAATATTCATTTATGCTTATGTGGTAAAAAGTCGTTCTGAAAATGGTCCTGAAATACAGATCAATTTGCCATGTAGTAGTACCTGTAAAATATTATCTACGGTCTGCTATTGCTGTGGCCCGAGAAGCAGCAATACCTTCGAAATCTTGGAAGAAACGAACGCTAATTACGAAGCGCCAAACTATGAAACTGTAGAGCCGCCAATAAGATCTGAAAGTCCACCTATTTTTCCCCCTGATTTCCAGGAATCTCTTGATAATTTACATCATGATGCTCCTCCACCATATTATCAAACATTGACCGAAAACAGCAATATGAATAGTAATAATGACATTCAGCTAAGCTTAATTACGTTAGAGATAGCTAATAGCGAACGAAATTTGTTACCATCTTATGACAGTGTTATCGCTTCTGAAAGGAGTTAAGTCGAGCTTGTCAAGTTAGTCTGTAAAAGATGCGATTTATGTTGTAATCTTGCAGATAGATAACAATTGAAAAGTCATAATAATGATAATAAGAATCATAAACACTTTACGATAGAAAGTATGCAAAGAAATCAGTTTTGTTTTAGCTATATGCATACATACATATACCAGGATTTATAGAGCAAAATCTTTTTATCAGTTAATGCTGTTATCCATGATAATAACATTGTACCTATACGTAGAGCAAAGTTTACCGTCATTTTATCTACGTAAACTATTAATTGCTTCCCTCATGGACGTTACTATAGCAAAATAAGAAAATTTATGGCTTGTATTATGTAATATAGGTAATGGAGGGTCTTGCATTGGATCGTTTTTACTGTTAGCTATCGTCTAGTAACGTCAGTTGTATTGTAATGTATTATACAGTCTTTCTGTTGCCAAGAATACAGTTGAAGTTTTTTAGTTTCATCTTCTCAATCTTTGCATGCGGTAATTTAGCTGTTCTATCTCAACGGTACATCAACAGTATCATTATTTTATTGGTGTGCCATATCAAATGAGCATAATTACGGTCAAAGAAACAAAATCTCATCTGTAATACTTTTTCATCAATATTTTCTTGTACTGCAGAGCATTATTATAGGGAGCATATAAGCTTCATCCAAATATGAATAAAACAGTGATGCAGAAAAAGAACTTTTTGAAGGGTTTACATCTTAAAATTTCAGTCCGTCTATTGGAAAATTTATTAATTGCTAGTCAAGTATTCCTATTTTCAGCTATTAGGACTGAATTACTTGTGACAATTTACACCATTTGCTCTCTGCATTGCGATTAGAATATCACAGACTACTGTAATAAAAAAAATGGACCGCATTGTCGTTTTAATAGTCCTTTGACTACCGGTATGTGCTGTTTCAATGTTTATATTCGACTATCTACCGTATATTGCATCTCTAAATCATAAAGTCCTCATTTAGATAATTTTTTTTTAACTTTTATGCTTAATACAAATACGTAGTATACAATGAATATACCTGATTCATTCAATTAATAATACAGTATGGTAATAAGCAATATAGGAGAATTTTATATCCAACAGAGGCCCAACATCATCAAATTGTTAACACTTGAAAGTGTATTCATTGCGTAGTTTATAAGGATCCAATAGTTCTTGATGTAGATGAATAATTTAGAACTAGCAGAACGTGTGAATTATAGAATTAAGCCTGTATCTCACTTAGAAAACTGAATTGTTTTAGTTTAGGCAAGAAAGAGTAACCCATGGATTAAGGAAATATCCGAAACCCCCGCTAAGATGAGATTCAGTTCATATTGATGTTGCGTAGCTATGTCGTCGATGTACTATTGTAGAAACAGGCCATAATTTATTCTGGATTTACCAATAATAATCTCCCTCGTTAATTGACGACAGATAAAAGTTAATATTTATCAGCTCCTTTCCTAGTATTCATCTTCGCCAATCTAATTCATAAGTTGATCATTGTGTATATTACTCTCTACTGTCCACCTATTTTCCATATAAAGATAGCATCACATGCAGTAGTATTGTTGGATATTCCTGTCTATTCAGAACAGCTTAGATCTCAAAATCGTTAATGAATTGATGAATAACTAGTAATCATTCCATAATACTATTAGCTAACGAGAAATCGAGAAGTGTAAACTATCCTGGATACGTTAGATAGTCTTTTCAACTGTACCATGTAAAAATTGTTAATTAATCCATTACATAATGTCTATTTCATAATGTCTATTTCATCTTTTACCGTATGGCCTATATAACATTCAGGAAATGAATCCTGATTTTACATTTAATTTAAATTCATGTATCATACTAACTGGATGTGATATTAAAGAGTCTTTTGAATCACTCAATCTTCCTCTTATAAAACATTGAATTAAAGCGTTTAAAATCAATATCTAGCAGTTTGCTATAAGTAGGACTGAATTCTATGAAGAAATGCTCTCGTTCTTAATGTATAAAATAAAATTATAATGTAACTGTCAGGCTTATTACACTGTAGATTATTGCAAAGCCATTCATCAACCATAACTTTAGAACCCTTTATAAAAGACTCCAATGAATTTCTGATCGGTATCTCCTAGGGGAAAAATAAGCAATTGGCCACAATCGACGTAAAATTAGGTCGTGAATTTTATCCACGGGATATGATTACTCTTGACTAGTTATCATTTTACTGCTGTATATTAGATTCGTAAAAAATCCTACTATAATTTTTAAAAGATTCATGACAGCTGGTGACAACAATCAACCTGAAATCAGTAATTTCGTCTTTAAATAAATTTGCAATTCAATTCATGATTTATATAACATCGGAAGCCCACAATAATTAAGTAATCATAATTAATGTTTCATTCTTCAATTAGACTATTAATTGAATATAAATATGTAAACTCCGCTTTACCCATTCGATATGATGCTTATAGGATGATTACGATAAGAGATCCATTTAAAACCTAACCGCAAATTACTGATTTAAGCGTTTTGCACTGATCTAGCGCACAGCGTGGTTCAATCGTTCTTTCCTATGTCGGCAGTGTAGTGTAGTATGTTCTTAATTTCTAACTTTGAAACTGCTTTTATGCCTTATATAAAGCTAATATGTTGCGATTGCATTGCCATAGGTGGATTACAGTAAGTTCCTACATCCCTGCTTTCACTCTAACCTCAATTATAACGATCCTCTAAACCTTCATTCATTCCTCATTAGCAACTTTTAAATGGTTGATTATTTTACTCACCATCTGTTCGTATTTTTACACAAAATCTAGTTTTTCTACTGTACAAGTAATTTAATATATGAAAGCGATCAACATTTAGATGCCTAGCAGCAGGTATGATATTACCATTATCATGGGCTAATATAATTATTTACTCAGTTTATTTACTTAAAAAATTGCAAGTTACAATTAGAGATAGGCTTTAAATTAAAAAATATCAGAGATCTAGCCAATGCTTAGGTATTTTTTACATATTATAAAAGTCTACTCTTACAAAATATAATTTATGCAGTTACATATGACTCATAATTTTGATACAGGCTGTTGAAGCGAAATTAATAACAACTACAGAAATAATAATACCAGTTTGATCAATTCATCTTGATATTTTATTAATGTAGTATATCATACATACTCTACTACAGTGTATGAGTATAATATCATATAAGCGTATGAATCAATAACTAAGCAATTACGTATTCACTTGATTATTATGTGTATTAATTATAAATATGTTATTTGTTCAGTTTATTTTAATATGACGTAATTACGTAGAGCTCTTATAAGAGCCATATTTACTACATTTTCTTCATGATGACTAATTGTAAGACTATAGATATACTGTGTAATTATTTTTCATGTTTTGCTCCTAAATTATGTATTTGACGTGAGTTAAATAATAGATCAGGACAGGAGGTAGCCGCTTTACATCCGAAAATATTTTACTAATACTTAAAACTTACTAGATATTCAGGACATGTGTTATTTTATGAAATTAGAATTTAATTTTTTCGAAAAATGATAGTACTCTGAAAGATGTGGTTATTTTTACTAAATGCAATATTGCATCTGAGTTATTCTGACTAGTTTTAAGGAATATCATATAGAGTAGATTTATGTTTATTCGCTATTAGATTTTTTGCAGTCTGTAATAATCCTGTGCAAATGAAAGAATTTAGCACGATTTATTTATGGACTACATTGGAAAAGTTTTTAAACTAGAAATTGAAATGTAGGCAACTAGTAAAACAAACCAATGTTACTATTTTAACTAAACTCTCTAATGTACTACATTTATATTTGCCTGTTTACGTCCTACACTGGCGCCTACTGTTAAAGAAAATAAATACTCTATTTCTTTACATAACAACAAGTTAATGAATGAATCAGAAAATAAATATCTAAAAGTGATATCTCAGCCATTTACTATAATAATTATAATCGAATCTCAAGGTATAACACTATATTCAAGCCTTTCACTTATTTCTTTTTCAGTTAAAGTTAATCAATTACGTGCAAAACTTTATGTAAACGAATATTACTGGTCATTTTGAACTTAGGCGATATAAAATAGTGATGATTAATTATTATATATTGCATAGCAATCGGGAGACTTTTATTAAGTTTGCTGAATCTAAAATAAATAAATATCCAAGCGCAACGTCTCAACTACTGACCCCATTATAATCAACACTAAAAGTGCTATAATTATGTCATTGCTTTGCTCACTATTTTCATCAATATAAAAATACGGTAGCATAATTTAAACCTGTAATTAAATCTTATTTTTTAAGAGGATTCGACAATGAACTCTTGTCGTAGTGCTCTCTATAAGATTGCTAACTTTATTGTTATCATTTTAGCGTTTAATCGTTGAACTGTTTTTAGATCGTTTTAATTGCGATGTGTTTTTAAAGTTCGGTTTTATTTTTTTCAGGCTAAGTAAACTTTGACAATGAACCTTTATCATAGCGCTACCTATATAATTGCCAACTTTATCGTTATGATTTTAGCGTTGATTCATTATATTAAGATAGCTCTAAGTACAAGACGTTTTTGCAAATTCTAGCCAATTTTCTGCAATTGACAAATAAAATTTCTTTTCATTATCAAAATGGGAGCAAAGTCGCATCTTGGAATTCTATATGGATTAAGCGCCTCATTCTTTATTTCTGTTATGTCTGCATGTGTAAAAATGACATCGTATTATTTCTTTTTACTTGTAGCTACTCGAAGTGCTTTACAGATCGTATTACTACACCCTATAATCATTTATCAGCAAATAGACATAAGGAAAAGTTTTCGGTTACCTCAAGCTTATTTTGTGTTTGGTAGAGCGATTGCTGAAACAATATCCGTATCCTGCCAGTTTTATGCTTATCAAAATATGAATATTGGTGACGCAGCTGCAATTATCTATTCGTCTCCATTTATTACTGGTATATTGGCAGCTATTTTTTTAAAGGAAAAATTCACATTATTTAATTTATTAGCAACAATTGTTAGTTTTGGTGGAGTTATCTTAGTGTCCAAGCCGCCATTTATATTTGGATCAGGAGAAGGTGATGGAACTCAAACCAATTTTGGAGTGGCAGGGATCGCCTTTTGTGGAGCTATCTGTACCAGTATTGCCATTCTAAACGTTAGAAAAATTGGCAATTCGGTTGATACATATGTTCTTACATATTATTTTTCTATCGTATGTTGTATCGTACCTTTAATTATCACCGGCATTACCGGAAGTTTTGAATTGCCACCCTGTGGTAGTAGAAGATTGCTGTTACTTACCATTGGTCTATTAGGTTTCCTTGGGCATTTATCTTTCGTTAAAGCAATACAATTAGAAGAAGCCATGTTAGTCGCAGTTATTCGGACAGTTGATGTCTTGTTTGGCTATGTTTTAGAAATAACCGTTTTTGGTACAACACCGTCTATTCTATCGATTATTGGTGCATTCTTGGTAGTATCTTCAGCTTGTGCTGTGGGATTAAATAAAGTGTACGGGATATCAAAGATCTGCAGCTGTAATCAACGCGATACTTCTAGTAACGAGAAGCAACCGCCGATGATACTCGTACATGGCTTAAGGAATGATCGTAATGGAGAGAAATGTAAATTCTAGTATCTAGGATTATATCCTAGCATTTTATCAATGTATGTGTATAAAATATCCTTTTTTATTTTTATCCTCTTTGGCTGTTGGGCAGATTAACATGCAATACTAGAGTATACTATGCGTTGTACGCGTATCTATAATTATTTCTTATTAGCTATAAATAATTTTAACAGCCGGGCAATTTTATAATCGAAAGAAGCATAGATATTTTGCGATGAGATTTATGCAAGACGGTTGTGATATGTATGTAATGTTGCATTTTAACTTGGAGATATTCTAAGGTAAATGTTATGCCTCTGCATCAGTGTGAATGCTTATTAATGAAAGACTACTCGTACGTTACTACAAGAGTAACTGGTGCTACTCGGGTTACTTTTTTATGTTTAAGCTTATTTAATAGTTATACATGGATTAACTCCATTAAATTAAATTTTGTACTGGATTACAAAATTGATTGTACCCATAAAATTAATACTATTTACTCTTTACTGTACCGACTATATATTTATGCATGATTGATGGTGCGCCAACTGGATGGGATAAACCTTATTTTTAAAAAAATTTTCAATTTTATCTTAATATGAGAATTATCGAGATATAGGCCAGAGAAAAAAAAATGAATTGATTTACAATTAAATTATAATGGAAGGCCAGATGAGATGTTGTAGCAGATGAAATCTCAATCAAGAAATAAAGTCTCTTATTACTGTAGTATGGTGATTTGAACTGTGTTTACCCTTGCATACGTCGATTGTGGCGTTAAATAATACTCTGTTCCTTCTCATCGCAGTATAATTTAATTTTTAATACTAAGAGGCCAATTATAATATCAGCACGATACTTTATTAACTTTGCATAACACAGTATTACCATAATTAATTATGAAACTGATGTAGTTATCATTGCTGTACACTGTGTACTTCTGCCATGTTAGCTCTCTACACAACTGTATCAAAGTTTGCAACAACAAAAATGAAAGCGATATTGAAGGTACTGTAGTAGTTCATGCTTCTTAATTACCTAGGTTCTGCTGCCGCCATAGAATAAATTTGATATACTTTATTTTACCTCTATGGCTGCGGCAGAATATGGTAAGTTTTACGTCTGATGTACAGGCAAGGACTACTGCAATAAATCGCTGATGCTTTTGCTTCTTAAGTTACCTTGGTTCTGCTGCCGCCATAGAATAAATTTGATAAGTTTTATTTTACCTCTATGGCTGCGGTAGAATGTGGTAGATTTTACGCTGCTGCAATAAATCGCTGTTGCTTATGCTTCTTAAGTTACCTTGGTTCTACTGCCGCCATAGAATAAATTTGATAAGTTTTATTTTACCTCTATGGCCGCGGCAGAATGTGGTAGGTTTTACGTCTGATGTACAGGCAAGGACTACTGCAATAAATCGCTGATGCTTTTGCTTCTTAAGTTACCTTGGTTCTACTGCCGCCATAGAATAAATTTGATAAGTTTTATTTTACCTCTATGGCTGCGGTAGAATGTGGTAGGTTTTACTGCTGATGTACAGGCAAGGACTACTGCAATAAATCGCTGTTAGACTTTCTGTTAGACACGGAATGAAATTTGGAAAGGCCATGAGGTTTCCAAGGTCGATTGTAGTATACCACCAAAATGCCCTGTATAAGGTACTGTACTACCGTACGAGTATGTGGAATAAAATTTCAAAAATTTTTTCAAAGTTGAATCTCTCTTCATAGCTACAGTACCGACTGTTGCTGCTATCTCATCGCTTTAGCATGTTCAATAATCATTTTTAGCATTGGAATGTTGGGCGTATTTTTGCCTATTTGCACTCAATTCTGTACTACTATCTGGTATGCCAGTTACGCTACTTTTAACCGATAGTATTGATTGCATACAGTAGTACCTTAGCATGGTAAAGCGGCAGCGCAATCATTCGACGTGGTTTTCACTTTACTCCTAGAGATAGCTGATGGATTGCTTTCAATTAGAACTGGTACAAACCGCCCGCCAGAAAGATTATTTTACTCTTTTTGATTCCGTCGAAGATGAATTGAAAGTTTCTGCTCATATTTTACATGATTTTTATATAAAGTGGACTACCGGCGTGCGTAATGGCCAACCCTTCGTGTCCTTGATGTTATGTAGCAATGGTTAGTTTTTCCCGTGCACACGTGTACGGTAGAACGATTATGAATGTTGTGATAGAAATAAAAAGTCGTAGGCAAAGTCAGCAAGAAATCTTGGTCGCTGACTGATAGAACGATTCTTTATGACTAGCGTTTACTGGATGCTGTGGCACCATGGTATACGGTATAAGTTGTACATGAACTATTTTAGATGCAAATCCTAGAATCTTCATCAATCGGCGACCTACCCTGAACTTTTAGCGCCAAAAGTCGCACACTACTAATGATACCTTTTAATATAACAAGTTTCTCGCCAGTAGTAATCGTATCTAGTTAAAGGGTAATCAAAACTAAGAATGATTCTCTCTTTTCTTCGAACTAGATCCTAATCAAGTTGCAAATGCTATCAGAAAATTCTTGCCGACGCCTACTGACATTCATGTTGATACATTACTTGGCTACTCTGACAATGGCCTGGATGATATGGTTATTGCCTCTAGTGAAAAAATTCAATCTCTTCATCGAGATGATTGGAACAAATCGTTAGCATTAGTCTTCATGTATGATTGCCATTATGCTGTGCAACATCGCCACCCGTATAATAACTTACTGCAAAAAATTGATCGTGAGCGTACACGCGTCATTGGCTTTACTAACTGTGTCTTTGAAAATTATGACGAGGCTTTACTAAATGCCATCGCTAAAGCGATCAGTTGCGAATTTTTACTTCCTTCTTGTGCCGTAGAATTATCTAGGACGAATGATGGACCTTCAGAATTCACTATAGTTAATCAATCTTATAAGCCTAAAGCTGTCGACTTACTTAACAGTTGTATTAAGTATTTAAACTCGATTAGACGTCAAAGCTGCAAACAAACCTGGCAAAAGGTAGATCGCTATCTTAAGATCATACAAGATTGCATGCAAGTCATGACAGATTTTGGAGAATGGGCATTCTTTCGTATCAAGAATGTAATATTAGACGAGTTGATAAATGCCTATGATTCTGCATCTGACCAAATTCATGAAAAATGTACATCAACTATATTTGCTGTCAGTAATGAAATTAACAATCACGATGTCGACGTGGATAACATTGATTTCAACCTGTATCCTAAAGTAGAAACACTAATCAAAATTTTAACAGCGTTAGAATTAAGTCCAGGCGTCGAACGACTTCTTCTTTGTGCAGGAAATGCCTTCACTGTAGACGTTTTATATTATTTAATGAAGCATTTTAGGAGTCAATCTATCTTACCCTCGGTAAATATTAGTAAATTGCATGACGATGGATCTTCAATGCAGAAATGTCTCAGCCGCAACCGAGATTTGTTAATTGATTATCACTCGATGAGAACCAGTATAATCATTATAGAACAATCTTCGCCGCTATTTCTAAATTTACCCTTATCCCACTGTATAATTTGTTTCGATGGCCTAGGACATTTTTATTCTTATCTCCAATTACGAAGTAAAGTCTCACAACGACTAGTGATCATGGTCAATCAAGATAATCTGAAATATACTCTATCCAAGTACAAGAGATGGCACATTCTCATGGATTATATGTGGAGACGTGAATATACCACCGAAATTGATACTACGAATATGTTGCAAGATTCCGCTAATGTTTCGACAATTGGATCTGCGCTTTTGCCTATTTATCGGTCAGATAATAATATTGAATATTGACTTTTCATTTGCAACTTGCCTAGTTAAAATTGCAGATAATATACTGTAGTAAATTATGGAGAAAAATAGATTTCTTGATGATCCCAATACTCTAAAAGGTGATGTTGACGCTTTGCTTTTTTCTAGCTTTTGTTGCTACTCAAACAATAATGATTTGAGATACCATTTTCCACTGTGGATAGTAGAACAAGTACCCGATGGTTATAAAGCATGTTTGGAACTGCCATGTCGTCTTTCTGATAAAGCTATAATTGTAATTTAATACATGACTTACGCGATTATAGTTAGGCAGTCTTAGTTGCTGAATGCTATCGCTAATACGTTTCACGATTTACTAATTGACTTTTTAAGGGCCCTGTGTCAGCAACACCATTTCTAGCGAAAACGTCCGCAGCGTTATTAAGCGTGCAACAGCTATTCAATCACGGTTATATCACAGAATATTTAAGTCCATATGTGAAGATTCGTAACTTAAGCCGGACTTCATATGCCAGAGAAATGAAAAAAATAGATCTATATGAAAAGAAGGTGATTACCTGTGACATTCTATTGATGTAATTCTTTCATTGAGTTTGAATTCCACCTTGCCTTGGCTAGATTGCTGACATTATAGGCCTTTTTCCGATTATGCCTCTGGAGTTTTCATATGTGTATCCTTTAATCATGGAAGTTCAAGAAGAATTTTTTCCGTTCCGAAAGAAATGTGATATTAGACATACTTTTGGAATTGTATCACCTGCCTTATTTCCACAGGTTGGATATACATTTTACACTTTATGACTATTTATATCTGCGTGTGCCATTATCAGCGATGATGATTAACTGTAGATATCTAGTTTGCAGATTTCGCAATGACTACCACGCGTGGTAAAATAGTGGTGAAAGTAGCGGATTACTTTGAAAAAAAATTAGACCAAGATGCAATATCTCAAATCCACAATTTTAGCAAATTTGTCTTTGAAGAAATGATTACTTGTGCTAATTCCTCTATTTTTCAATTTGATGCCTTAAATGGGTTAAAAAAATATTTGTTAGTTCCGATTTTGAGAAGCGATAGGTAAATCATGATGGTCCTAATTGATCGCGTGATAATATTGTAGACTGCATACGCTAAATCTAATGTAATTTTCTTACAGCAGGTATGACCTTGATTTTGAAGTGCTCAATTTATTTTGCAAGGAGGAACATAAACTATATGTAACACCAGCTAGCCATGATTATATCATACAGTATGAAAATGCAATGGTTGCTAGAAACTATCGTGGCCTTGATACATTAGAATGGTTTTTTGTGTCAAACGTTTGTTCGGATATGTCGCCCTCCTCAAAATTTACTAATCCAGATGTTGCGTCGACTTATAGCGAATATTACAAGATCAAATATGATATAGATATACAAGATGCCAATCAACCTCTATTAGAGGTGGCTAGATTTAAGAAGATGCACATCACCTTGCTTAATGCAAAGCAATCCGGTAGTATCACTCATGATATACGTACATTGTCTGTTAATTCAAATAGCAACTCTATAGTTCTTATTCCAGAGCTTTGTTTGATACACGTTATTCCAGCTGAGTTGTGGTTTCTCTCTCAATATTTGGCCTTGGTTTTGTATCGTGTCGAGTCAATACTACTTGCATTCGAGCTGAGAGAATTGCTTAGATCACAGGCTAATATTTGCGATATTTATTCTGTTGATTACTTAATAACTGCAGTAGGTTCTGCGAAGCCATGCTTATTAGAAGCGATAACACTTTCTTCTGCCCAGGATCATTTTAATCTTGAAAGATTGGAATTCTTAGGCGATAGATACCTAAATTATAAGATAACTTTGACGACCTTACTTGAGCATCCATCATGGTCAATAAATGAAGTAATCAATAGAATGAGATTTCTAACGAAGAACAAAAAATTGTTTCGGCTAGGTGCTGGGAGACGTATTCCTTACTACATTGTAGGGTGTCCTTTCAACCAAAATAAATCCTGGGTGCCGCCAGGTTTTGTAATAAATCAAACGGTATCTGAGTTGTCTATTGCAATGTCGAGGGAATACACACATCAACCTTTGACGAAAAAAGCTATCGCAGACTGTGTTGAAGGATTAATTGGCTATCTTTGCTTAGTTTGTGGTAGAAATTCAGTGCTTAGATTCATGCGCTGGCTAGGCTTTGAAATCTCAGAGTGTCTTGATGGAATTCAAGAATTAATACCTTCCATCGATTTTCGAACTAATCTTTATTCTGAGACTGCAAATAGTGTCGAAACGATCCTAAACTATTCCTTTCGTAATCGGTCATTGTTGATGCTGGCACTTACCCACAAGTCTTATTCCGGGCTGGAGAGTATATCTTATGAAAAGTTAGCATTCCTTGGTGATACCCTGCTAATATATCAAATATGCCTTTTCTTATATACTCAATACACTGACTATCAACCTAAAGATTATCACCTTTTGTTGGAGTACCTAACGTGTAATCGAATGTACGGTATTGTGGCTATTGCATCTGATTTATGCAAGTTCTTGCTTCATAAATCAAGAGAATTGACTTTGCAAATTGACGAAATTTACCAAGCTTTAGAAGCGGATGATGTACAGGTGAGACTAATGAAGCATATTTTCGTACTCTAGTATTGTTAGTGATGAAATTTAATTATAGCTTAAGGATGATGTAGTTATGGTACTACAATAATGAATTATTAAAAATAGGCAGGAAGAAAATGCAGCTACGAATATTCTAACTTTTGCGACTTTGAAATGATTTACAGTTAATTAGGTTATACAACGAGGTCACTAATTTTTTGATTACCGATATCATTATAGTCCTACAAACGAGTCGCAGCTGTACAATGTTAGGTTGCAGGCCTTATAATTAATTAATGGTAGTGATTGATTGATTGATTGTACAAATATTTATTTCATTTTTCAAATAAGTCGTTTTCCTCAACGGTTCAGTCAGGCTGTTCATATAAAATGAAAACAACTCTATTACTAGAAAAGTTATCAATTGAGCAATTCGTCCCGAAAGAGCTCGGAGATACATTCGCAGCGGTTGTAGCTGCAGTATTTTTGGATAATTATCCTGATGAGGACACGGCTGGGCGTATTATTAATTCGCTATTAAATCCAATTTTCGGTAACTAGTTTTAGGGTCTATTCAGCAGTATCATTATGCTTTTGGTAACTATAGTTATGTATTCCTAATTTTTTTTTAACAATGTTACAGATGTGAAATATACGTGTGAAGATAACCTTCCCGTATCTCTAACACAGCAGATGTATGAATCGCTTCCGAATCGAGTTCGTACCTTGTAAGTCAAGTTTTAAAATTGTTGTTTGATTGTATTTTTATAATAATTATAATTATTTATTAATTCTAAAGCTTGTTCTTGATTATAGCTTTGTTGATAATAAATCCGGAAGTTATTCAATTTGCAATGTTAGCGTCGTTCTGAAAAACTCAACGGAGAAGACGTTTGCAGGAAAGGGAAAGGATCATGAACACGCGAAAACCCTTGCGATGGCTGCATTAACGAGATATATAGATGAAAACCCTAACCAATTTCAGTGATTCGGAAGTGATTGACAACAATCTTACAATTATGGTATTGATTAAAGGTAACTATTTTTGGACATGCTTGTGGGCTATTGACAACGTACAAACGCGAGAAGTAGCATTAAGTAAATTTCATTGAATACGTATAATTGATAATTGTACGACACACATTTCATATCGTCGTTAGATTGTTCGGTTAAGACGAATTCTTGAAAAAATACCTACGTCAGTGGCTGTATATCGTAGGCATTTACTATAATTAAATAGAAAGCTTTAAAAGTGAATTATTAATAATTATAATAGATTAGTCGAAAAGTGAGGACAGGTATAAATAATTTCATAGTAAATGCAATGCTTCCCTCTGAATCATATTGCAAAATATGTTAAATTGAAATATTACGATATGGACTTAAGTTTGTTACAAATCAAGTACTGGATCCATAGCATTTTACGCTATTCTAGAATATATATGGGGAGATCAGAACGTGTAATAATTTAATGGCATTAATTTATCGACAAGGATATGATTAAATAAGATTAGATTAATTCATTAAGGAATTAATTTTCCTTAAAACCAAAGCAAGCGCTTTAAATTACCTACTAAACAGCTGCCAATGTGTCGTAAGGTGTTGGTATCAACTTCGCAATGTAAAAATTAATTAATAAAGAATATCTTGATTGGTTATATTTAAGACCCGAAGAGTACGTGTATTGTTAGCGATGTTATCAATACTTTGTATCTTCTAGTATTGATATCATTTTTAGCCACAATTCCTTATTCTTGTACAAGCTGCAGTCACTCAGACGTTCAAAATAATAATTAAATATGTCAAAATTGCATGTAGTAATAATATTAGATCCGATGGTAGGAACAGAAAGCTTATTTAATACGGTAACAAGAATAGCCCATTCGTCATCAGTGATGCCGAAGGACGAACGAGCCTCCAAAAATTGCTTTTTAAGCATGCTTGCTTCATCCACCCTACCAAGGCATTCATTCGTAGCTAGGTTGTCTAGAAATTCTCGAATGTCCCTAAATACTGTAGTAATGCGACAGTTTTGGAACAATTATTTATACAATAGCTTCATATCGATTATTTAGTAAAAACCGGTCAATCTCTAAGTGAATTTATCAATATTGCTACCATTGAGAATAACCATCCAATACATACGTAGAGTATAATTGCAATAACAAGATTAATATGTCAGTATAACGGAATATCTGTAATGCAAATCGATACATAATAATTACTATATAAAATCTAGTCGGCTGTAGGTCTTCTATGCTACTAGAGAAGTTTATCCTATGCTGTAGATAGTAAGTAAAATGTATGATAAGCTTTGCATTTTGTCAAGATAGATCACGTAAAGTACCCCTGCAACATTTAATGTACCGCAAGTGTTAACACATTAACAATATTAAGAATCATATCGGTTGAGACTTAAAATTGTAGACTAAGCTATGATTGATTAAATTTATCATCACTACGAAGCGTGAGAGCATATATAAGAGAGTGTATTCTATAATGATTGCATCACATTGCTGAAATGAACTATAAAACAATATCAAATTTCTATAAGGTTTTGTATTACCTCTTAAGTTGTAAGAAACTTTCCGGACCAAAATATTCGATATACGATAAACATAACCGGCTACATAATTTATAAAGTCTTGTTCAGCAAAATGGCACTGAAGCTTTTCAGTAGGAGAGAGCTCAAACCAGGCGGCATTTAGACGTGACATCCTCATGGAGAAAATTAACCGTCAATCAATATTTCACTGGCGTTCCTTGAATCAGCTATCAATGCAATAAAAAGAAGTAGCACTTTTAACAACATGTGCTGTATCGATTGAGTATGTTACAATTGGTTATCGTTTAGCATTCGTGGACAATCGAATGGGGAATCTTTATAATAAGTAGTTTTGCTTGATCAAGTAGATGACAACCATACAACGCTTAGGCAATTACAGTGACCACATTTAATCCATCAGTTTTATCTACAGTACAGTATAACATGACATGGATATATCGATAAATATATCCTAGCAAATATGGCACCTTGTACAGTGCAGTTTTAAGCCATTACAGCCGGGATTAGTGGTGTAAATTAAATTATTAAGTCTATAAGATGACATACTATACTCTACATTTGTGGTATACGAGTATAATAACTGCTATGTGCTACCATTTAAGTAAGAGACAATTGACTAATTAGGTAAGATTTTCTCATCGCGTCGTACAGCAATGCAGTAGTTCGCTATGAAGCACAGCAAAAGTCTTGTTGCTATCTACGCTGTAGGGTACAGCAGTTCATCACAGGTAGTAGCTAGTTCTGATAGAAAATAGCGTAAAAGAATACAACGATTGTAGAATTGCTACCGTAATTGTTCAGTTCTCAGTTAGAGTAACAACAAAGGCCAATATCTGTTTTATAGAACACTTGCTATCCTAGAAAAGGTTACCAACTATCCACGATCGTTGTAAAGAAGATGCCCTACAGCACAATAATTTTGCAAGTAAGAACGTATCGCTCTAGACTTTCAGCCTACTGTTGAAGTACAGTAGAAAAAGTAACTAAAAAAAGGGAATTGGAATAAGGACAGTAAAATGCATCTGTTATTGTCTACCATAATGATCGTCCACGAATCACTCGTAATCCGGAGTTGGAATCCACTCTTTACTACAGTAATACTCAGCTGCTTGCCATCCGCTTTTTATAACTGGAAATACACTCTACCTTTAGTGTTCCTCAGCTTTATCACATCCTTAGCAACGATCGAGCAAATTCATGCCATGCTTGTCTATCCTGAAGTCTACTAATTTTGCGGGTTAAATAGAATTGATCGATGAGCACTAACCTTGATTTACACTTTTCTAGTTTTCGCAATGTTCACGCCAAGGTCGTTTATACCGCTTACTATTGATCGTGTACTCTATTTATATACTGGATACTCTTATATCTTCTGGATTGAGTACGGTAGCATAAGAAGAATTTGCCTTTTAGGTGCCTTTAAAAGAGAGCTTACCTAATTATCATATGTAAAGGAAGTATACCGTGCACTTGGACAGTACTGTAAGCTGTCTGCTTTATATAGGCGATGTTTTAGGAAGTCAGGTAGTGTATGGAATCTGCATCATTTTTGTCTCTCCAGGCTCAAAGTTTATTTATTGACTTACTTATAGAAAAAGAAACCTTGTTATTAAATGTTTGCAAAGTATCGACTGTCAGTCTGTTATCCAGACTTATTTTAATTATTGCTTTATTGTTCCTTGTTACTGGAGAAAAGTAGAGGTCAACTTTTTAGCTAGTATGCTTGCATAGCCATCATGGACTCCTCGATACACCCTATCCACTAGTATCCAGAAGTCCATAGCATAACACTGACAGAATCATAGGACAATTTTGCTCCTGTCCTTTTCTTTTACAAGTCACTAGTTTTGCACAGGCCATAACCAGGACAAACTGATATATTGATGTTGTTTGTCTTTTATTAGCTCTATCATGTTGTGTGCCATTAATTGTATTTTATATTACCTATCTAGTCAATAGCGTTGATAGTTTGAGAATATTGGACCGGCCTTCTGAGCAAAATACAGTAATTGAGTTATGTCTTGAGAAAACTAAATTTTGATTGGGGCTGAGTTTCAAGTGCGACTTTCGAGGATATACAGCACACAAGTCGTGATTATACAGCATTGCATACTGTCATTATAATCTTCATTTCTACCTTTCCTATCCAGTTTGATGATGAAATAAATGACTTCCTGCTCAGTTTTGGGGAAGTTATCTGCATCTGGCCATGTTGCTGAGTCTGCACGTCCGTCTATCCGCAATGCCTCTAAGTACAGTACTGCACAGGTTTCTTAGTTCTGATACTAGTGTACAGTATAGACACAAGTGTGCTGTACTATACAGTACCTTACTGGAGTGTGCCAGCGGCCTTGACGACTCTGCGTCAGCAGACTGTGCGCAGAACAGTCTGCGCAGAAGTCGATCATGTTGGATGACGTAGCAGCACAGCAAATCCAAAGCCCAAACCTCCATCTTGATATGAAAGATTGAACGTCCTCAAGGACATGCAAAGATATCTTGGTAAAATTGGCCAATTAAAGGTTATTACAACTATGTCCAAGGAAGAATCTTTGAAATCAGAATGGAATTCTTCTATGCAACATTTATTCACTGTAAAAGAATCGATTCCATCCCTATTACATCAATTTCTATGTAATAATATTACACTACGTCAATGGCAACTGGTTCGTTGTTGTTTTAAAACATTGATGCTAACATGGCCAAATTATATGCAACAGCATCCAGAATTAAAGCAAATTTTACTTTGGTTGATCAATGGATCTTCTTCAATTCGGTTGGAATGATGTAGCAATATAGAATTATATTTCAATATACAGTGTGCAATAGATTGATCGTACATACAAATGAAAATTTTGCAAAGACGAGTAGCTACGCTTTTGATGGTTTGAAAAAATAGCCAAAAAAATCAAAATTCCTTAATTAAAGTTGGGTCGAGTAAAGTAGTCAGATTGTACAACAAGGATGCAGTGATTTGATACCTGTGTCATTTTTTTGGATACAACATTATAACTTATTACAACCTTAACCAAGCTTGTGTTTAGTAAAGTAGTCAGTTTGTACAATAAAGAAGCAGTGATTGATACCTGTATCGTTTTTTTTTAGATACATTACAGTAGAACTCATTGCAACCTTAATAATGTTGTGTTTAGTAAAGTGGTCAGTTTATACAACAAGGATGCAGTAATCAATCTTGTATAGTTTATTACACAAGATTATAACTTATTGCAACCTTAACAATGTTGTGTTCAGGTAAAGTTTTCAGTTTGTAGAACTAGCATGTAGTAATTGATATCGGTGTAGTTTATTATACAAAATTTCAACTCATTGCAACCTTAACCATGCAATTACTTGGTAACGTAGGAATAACATCGATTTACAATGCCCTTCTTGGATGTTCTACCAAGAATTTGGCGATTTTTTCAAAGAGGTACAGTATTACTACGTGTCTGTTTGAAAATGATACTCGTACCTTAGCTTGGTTTGCAGTCCTAAATCTAGTATATACAGCTATCTTGATATTTCATAAGAACCGTAGGAGAAATTATCTCATGCCAGGGAAATACTACGTTTACTTTATTTTAAATTATGTAAGCATTGCATTTATTACAACGTGTTTAAATGTATTATATTTCTTTTCTATTGCATTTTGCAATACGAATTAAAAATGGAAAGGGGGAGCTACCGAATAATATTGAAAAAAACATCGATTTCAAAATAGTCTTACAGGAAATCACCAAAGTAACAAGTAGCGATAAATTCGATGTGATAAAGGTAAATACATAGCTATTATTACCAACAATTGAAGCTTGCTACTAATACAGTGGCTTATGCGCATAGACAGATTCTTGAATTTTAATGCAACTACTTCTGTTAGTGCAAATGGCAATATTTACATCTATTGCATACTACACCCTTGTCTTTCAGTAAAAGGAACCTGTGTTCTGTGATATTTTGGTGACGCACAGTAATCTTTCATTCTACATTTTGTGTTCAAAACGATAATATGTACCGCCACATTCGAATATTATACTGTACTGCAACGCAAGTGAAAGCGCTATAACGTAATCTTTAAAGCCATTTTACTACATGATATATTAAACTCGTAACTACCACAACCTTTCATTAATAACAAAAATGGCTAAATGCATGTCCGTACAAAATAAATAAATTGACGTACTGTAGACACATAAAGATATCTTTCATCGATAGGCTAACTTATTTTGTTCATTGTGTCATGTTATGTAGCAACTACATGATTATTATCAAGCGAATGAAAGAGATACTTTGGATCCAGCCAGTATGGATTTCTTAAGAAATTTATTAGTATCAGATCATACATTTTTAGCACATCATGCTATCCAACATTTGATTAATATCACAACTAATGACGAACCTTTGTGGTGGCTGTACATTGACTGTATACAAGATATTATTAGGAGCATAAAGAAAGCTGGACGATCAATTGACATTGATCAAAACTATAGTCATAAATTATATACCTTGTTATCTTTGCTTAGACCACCTAGTTCCATCGTTTCTCAATTACCACTTGATGAAATATTAACTGAACTAATGAAGATGACAACAATCAGATTGTCAACAGATAGTAAACCGGTGTTAGATATTAAACAATTATATGCTTCAATGGTTGATGATTATAAATACATGTCGCCTATTTTACAATCTAAAGAAAATAAGGAATATTTTAAGGAAGATTACTCAAATATATTAATTAGCGATGAAAGATTATTTGCTCCATTCGATTGCTTGCTACCTGAAGATAGAAAGACTTTATGGAAAGCTTTCTTTTTTATGTGTTTATCATCGAAGCATCACATATTTGAGAAAGTTTTGGTAAGATATTAATTTCATAATTTAAGCACAATAAGTTTATGATACTGTATAGCGTACATTAAATTCGTATAAAAAATGTTCAGCATTTCAGAAAAATTTTAGTTAACGTAATCCAGTAGAAGAATACCTTTTGTAAGTGTTTTTGTTTTGCTAGGAATGTGGTTGTGCCTTTGTTCGTAAAGGGAACTTTAATCAGCTTAGACAGATCTTCAACAATTCAGAATTTAAGCCTTTAAAACTGTTGATGATTTTGATCGGTTGGGACATCTGTATTGATTTCAGCGAGAAACAGAATCTTCTCGATGCTTTGTGGACAGAAGCGGTACAGGATCATTTTATTACATTTCTTTGTCAGTAGAAACTAAAATTTGAAATAAAGTAAATAATATTATTTTATAAATTCACCATTTAGGATATCACAGAATTGTGTCAACCACTGCTAACTGTAGCATGTAAGAAACTTGTTTACAACGTTAAATTTGTACGTTGGTGTATGGACAACACAAAGTATGTTGGTTATGATTTTGAAATTATGTTCATTTTTTTATTGCATGAGAAATTTTACCTCTCTTAACTTTAATATACCTATTCATGATCTTGTATAGACCAGCTTCGCAGTTGGCAACAATGCTAGATGGTTATCATCACAGAGCTGCTGAGTTACTTCGTTCTTTAGATACGCATTCAGCTTTATATACCTTGCATCAATTTACCGATTTAACTCAAATCGATGAAGAAAGCGTCGTCAAAATATTGAGTGAAAATTCTAAAAATTTACAAGCAAAAAGTGATGATAATACAGTTAATAGCGATATAGTAACGTATCAATGTTATCTAGCGCTTAGAAATATTATGCAAGCAATACGAAATCAGATGCGTTTTGAAGACAACAATGTTGATACTCCACTGAAAAATCAAGAACATCAAGAAACAAATGCAAACAACTACGATCACCGTGTAACCAAATATTTAATAAAAAGCAAAGATGTAATAGCACAAATTCATCCATTAAGCTTTCGATTAGAAGTACTAGAGAATATATTTGCGTTATTATTTCTTACTCATGAAGATGTACGTAGTAAGAAACAACAAAAATATGAAGACAGTGATGCTCTGCCTGCCGATGATGTGACCGTCGATGACGAAAATTACAATCGAAATTTGTGCAGTAGTATGGACAGCCTTGAAAGTGCCCCTGAAACTACGCCTATTAAACTACGATTTCGAAGAAGTACAGATGCCTCAGATCGAGTCCTAGCCTCTACCCCTAGTAAAACTTCGACTGATACAAGGGGATCTCATGTCAAAAGAATTAATTTTTTTGCTCAGGAAGCGCTTCAAGAAGAAATCTGTCGTGAAAGTCCAAAAAGTAGCGATTCTTCCAATAGTATTATCTCAAAAGAAGAAAATAATAATAGATCAGGTTTCATTTGTAATAAAAATATAGCAGCAAATCTATTGACTCTTGTCAAAGATTGCCTATTCGAAATAGAAATGGACATAACCCATTTTGCAACAACATCAACAAATAAAAATGAGCAAAAAACAGTATCAGCTAAAGAGACAGATAACGTTAACTTTAAACAACGTATTAGTCGTTTAAAGACTTTTGTCAACGAAGCAAAGTGGAGGTTACAACTTGTTTCAAGCAATTTAGACTTACCAACGAAAGGTAGTTCTTTAAAATCGGACGATTGGCTTAGTGACGATGATATCGATAACTTCTACTACGATTATAGTAGTGATAATGAAGACATAGAAGTACTGGAAGAAGTAAAACCGGACAATTCTAAAGAGGTAACACCAGAAGGAGATAGTGCATCATCACAAAGATATGATGAAAGTGATAACGTGGTGGTTGGGAGTTCCACTGGACAATCGGCTACCTCAAAACCAAAGAAAAAACTAATAAATAAAAAAAGAAAAAGATCATCTAATAGTGGAAGTGGCTTAGCATTTATGAGGTGTTTCAATAGGCAAAGTGAAACAAGTATAATAAATCGTATGCTTTCACCACCAGATGTACTCATCTTTTCATGTTTGCGTCAGAATAGTTATGATAGAGCACTCAATGTTATAGGATTACTCAAACTAGAAGATTCAGATATTGGTGCATTAGCGCAATATGCGTTAATGTATAAAAAATGCGTAGTAGCTTTAGATAATACTAAAATCTCATCGTCAACTGCTTCCTCCATTGGAACCATTACAAAAGATAGTAATGATAGCTTATCATCTTTTCGTGCTATTGCTGCAGCCGCTGCTAGCAATGTCCAAGAGCAATCGGTATCTGGTGTTATTGATCCTATTATTGCTTCTCCAAAATTGATTAAATCCATGAATGCATTAGGTATAGATTTCGAAGAGTTGAGAACCTCATCTGCGTTTTCACGGTATTTGCTATACAGTAGTACTGGAGTACTAACGATAATCGATCTTCTGTGTACAACGAACAGAATTAATACTTCTAAAAATTTATTATCTATGTACCGAAATAGAGTAGCTAAAAATCAAGTAGACTCTTCACAGAATACGTTAGCACCTTGCTTTAGTCAAGGGCCATTGCTGGGGCCCGTTTTATTTATGGAAGGCATATCAACATTATTGGAATATCTGTTGGAAGTGTATAATACAGAAGACTCTTATCGTCATTTCTTATCTAGCTTAGGCCCATTAAATACAAACCAGTACAAGAAGGCAGATATCAACGCTGAAGAGCAACAAACAGCATTCAACACATTATTAACTTTGGTACATCCCGTTACTGATGATGATAGTATAAATCACAAAGAATCAAAAAATGATACCATGGGTGGAGATTCATTGGATTCAAATGGACAATCTAACGAAAGTAACTTAGCCAAAATTATCGATAAGGCTATGTTAAAGCTATGTGACACTGTCAGCGAATTCGTAAGAACTAATGAAAGTCTATTTGATAAAGAGTTAGAAACCGAAATCTTATATCTAAACACATTATTTGATCACATATCATTATTTGGAAATCTTTATAGAAAGTACATTAAACCACATCAAATTGATGACAGTGATTCCTCAAAATTACCTCACCCTTTTATAGTTCTTAACGAAGGTCCGACCTCAATTTTAGGTAATCTAATGTTCGAGTTACACGTATCTCCATACCAATTGCAACAGGTAGCGTCGCAACTAAAACTAGATTTGGTGAGAGTTATTGTACAAGGGTGTTGTCCTAAAGTGCCTAATATACCAGATCTTGTAATGTCCGAATATACTTTGCCTAAGCTAACTACATTAAACGAGTGTGAAGATGCTAAACGCCATAACCAACCTAGACATCCTCTAGATGTTTCTTACGATTTGGTGGCGCAATTAATATCTGTTTTTGCATGTGTTACTGATGGAGGAAAAACTATGGATGTTAACGATTTGCTAAAATCTGGCCAAACTAAAGAATTTCAGCAACTGTTACAATCAGCTCAAGAATTATCATACATTGATTTGGATTTATTGGAATCTGATGTAGAAAGAATCTGTTTCTTTACAAACGTCCTAAACGTTATGATAGCTCATGCGACTATCATTAACTGCCAAAACGATATCAATAATAAAACTATTGGCGTAAATAAGAGCGCAACAAAGCTACTGAGTGATTCTTTAATTCTTTCGCACCAACAATTTGTCTCGTGTCAATTGGGTTTCTTGCAACATATTTCATATAGAATTGGACAAATGGGCAAATTAAGTGCCTTAGATTTATACTTTAGAATCTTAAGGCATGGTCTATCTACTCCTAAGCGCTATTTACCAGTTTTAGATGATATTTATTACAGTCATTCTGATGACAACATGTGGTTGAGGTATGCACCATCTCCTGAGCCAAGACTGATGTTTCTTGTTAATTTTGGCCATGCATCATCTCCTCCCTTGCAGTTCCTTAAACCAAATGATCTTGAAAGCCAACTTTCGTCGGCAACAATGGAATACTTAACCAATAATGTCACAATTAACGTTGAAGAGAACGAGGTTGTTATTCCAGAACTTTTGGAATGGTACAAACAAGATTTTTCAAGTCTCCACGTGGGATCTATCGAAGAGTTAGATAATCGTCAATTACCTCTGACTAGAGTTGCCTCGGACTCTGATATCGCTTATTTATATTCGATAAAATCATTCTTAACCGAAAAAGCTGCAGATCGATTAGAGCTGGTGTTAAGAGAATGTGAACTACAACAGAAAGTACGATCGCAGACGAACTTTAAAGCAAATAGCGGTCATGCACAAGCTCGTGACGGACGAAGCAACTTAGATGAAATAACTGGAACGGCGTTTCGTAATAAGTCTTCACTAAAGAATACACCTTTAAAGCTCGTTGTTCAACCATATTCTTGGGTGATTGGCTATCAAATTAATCCGCAATATTTTAATTTAGCTGCTACTCATTCACCTACTAAGCGTAGGAGTTCATCAAAGAGTTTCCCTTTAACAGTTGATGAAAAGCACTCTAATGAGACGGCCTACAGCAAGTTTGGATTTACGACAGAAACTTTAAAATATCTTGGAGAACATTCTGAATTAATTTGTACTCTGTCATCATTAGTAAACCAGACACAGCGTATTGCAATGGAAGAACAACAACGGAGCTATGTTGATGTTGAGAAATTATATGATTTCCTAGTAAAATGTTCTTCACCTGGTAGAGATCAACTCTACGAGAGTATGCTTCAGTTAGCAGACAAAATTGTAAAATTTCCGGTATTGCAAAGATTTCTCACTCAGCGATTAAGCTCCTTTGTTACTTGCACGGAAAATAGCGTAGCCGTTCCATGCTTGTTAGCAGCCGAGAATTCTTCGGTAGTAATGCAAGCTCACATAGTAGCAATCAATGAATGTATCAAGGAGCGCAACTATCTGCAAGCAATTGACATATACCGTAGTTATCCTAGGCTAATGACGAATTTATTATCAATCCGCTTTTATGACAGCTTACTGAATATAATCGCAACCGGTGTCTTGAAAAGTGACAAAGTAACACAAAAATCTTCCATCGATATGGATATTTGGAAAGGTTCTGACCAAAGTTTTGCTAGTCGGTCCTTTCAATTTTTGACTAAAATGTCAGATATCCACCTTTCATGCAACATTATTTTACAAAATTTAAATAATTGGTCCCTTGATGTTTGCCTTGATTTACTGTGGTGGGGTAATTATCATTTGTCATACGAATCCACAGACTTAGCAACTAATATAAAACAAAAATATGAAGAAATGAAGATATATAAGCAGGTATATCATAGATTTCAAGCTGTTGTTCTACAGTATTTAGTACTACAACTTGCCAGTATTTATAAATTGCCTTAATTTCTTCATTTGCCTTGTTCGTTCTTTCGGTGATTAAAGTGAATCTGTTTTTTCAATAGCTGATTAATAGATTTTCCAATAATGAAACTGAACTCCATCAGATTGGGATAGATTTTAAGCGATGGGAAAATTGGCAAAATGTTGCTAAAGATTTACAAGAATATTCTGAAGATATTTTGCTTTGCTTGTGCAGATATGGCGAAGTAGTCCTAGCTAAATCCTTATTGAAATTATTAGGAATGTATCCTTCTAGTATTCAAAAGGTTATACACAATTAGTTTTGATGATCTAACCATAAAATCTAATAATTATAATAATGCTCACTCTAAGAATACTAACAACGTTTCAATTGTAGGCACTTGCAGAATGCGAATTATTATCTTGTGTTGAAGCTGAGTCGGATGTAACAAAGGCTTATTTGGTAAGAACTTTGATGTAATCTTATTTACAAGAGCTTGTTGTTACTGAAGAAAGATATACATATTCTCATCAACTATGGCTAGATTCTCGAAAATATCAAGGACAGAGGGATTCGATTTCATGTATGCGACAAGATCTTAAACCAGATCGATGATCTAGCTATCAAGGCTTTCTTCACGAAGTATATTATTAAAAATCTTCGAGATGAAATTAGTAAAGAACAGGTTGATCGTATTCTATCTCTTTATCTAGGGTGTAAGGTGAACAAGTATACATATCATTCATCTATTTATCTCTATTTTGTCATATATTTGGCCAAGTTATGTAAACCATCGTTCACTTAAGTACTTACGCGGACACTTACAGGTTGTCAGCTCTCTGCCAGACTTCGCCCAAGCCGGAGTAGCTCATTTAGTCCCGAAACCGAAGCTGTTGCTGGAACAGCTCCTAATGAATCGAAAGGTAGCCTCGTATCGATCTAATCCTGCATAACTATGATGTTCATATTATAATCGATATTTAGTATAACGTGAAGATTATTTTGCAGCTTAAATGGGCAAGTCTAGTTTTCGAAAGTTATCGCTCTATCATTAGCAGCAATGAAGTTTGGATCGAAGATAAAACTAAAGATATGAATAGTATGGAAGGCTTAGTCCTTGAATTTGCATCTAAAGCGTTACAATTCTCGATCCCTCAGTTAGGTAGATCAGAAGCTAATCTCGGTCTGAGTGAGATATATGCAATAGATAATGTAATTTACCTACAGTTTAATTTTATCGTTTAGACCCGGATCGACTTCGGCGAAATTCTGAGATAGCTGAATCTACCTCAGCTGATATAATTCCCTCGCTCCCAGAGGCAATCAGAGGAGCAAGCTATTCAAAGCCCTTAGCTAGTAAAACAATAGGTCATTAAAAGTAATTTAATATTAGTTTTTAATCAATTCTATTGTAGCAATAGTTTTCATACTTTATGAATTACCTTTTGTATAATTTAGATCAAGATTTACCGGAAAATCCTCCGCCTAAATCGCAATGGGTACCCGATGCAGCAGTTGTTAGCTGCGCAGTTTGTTCCGAGTACTTTAGTATGGTAAACAGGGCTTATGTATGATATGTAATCACTGAAATCTCAAAGTTCACTGTGCGGCTAAAAGCATTTTCTTGTATTAAATACAGTTCAATCGCCGTCATCATTGCCGCCGTTGCGGTCGTGTGGTATGTGACGATTGTTCAAGGCGAAGATGCATTGTTTCTATTTATGGTACTCAGCCAGTGCGAACCTGCGATCAGTGCTATAACCGATTCTATGCGAAAAAGTAAATGACAGATAATGTGTTATTAGAAGAATATATAATTTATTAATAAACTAAATAAATCTAATTTCAGGTCACGAAAAGAAGAAGACAATAGAAGTAGTAAGAATTTTACTCTAAACTGAGTTTCATCGAATATGTTTATTTAATGCAATGTAATTCTTATTGTAAATTACAAATATGTATATTTTCTAATCCTAGACGGTGAACGACAAGAAAGAAAATTGACTAACAATTTTGGTACAAATAATTTAACTGTGACTGATATGAAATTTAATTTAACAATGGATGACGATAGAAATGAGATTGTCCGAGAAGATTTCTATTATGATCAGGTTAATAGCTGCTCTTTCTGGATACACAAATTCCTTGTGAATAATGTTACCTCAAATCAGTATCTTACAGGATTCTTTAAAACGTATTACAGTCTCCTAGTACCGCATTATGCATTGCCATTCTGGATATTCTAACCGATTATCAAAAATGTGGGAAACACTTACTACAACTAGTGGATGACTTGTCGAAATATTTAATTGTAGCAACACCTAACTACCTATATGAAGAAATCGACCGATCAGTTGTGATAAGGTTTTGATTTTAATTTTATGCACAGGATTATCTAAGTAAAATGTCCATAGTAACTGACGTTCTAAATGATAAATAAAATGTGGACCGTTGACGTCACTTTGACCCAATATTTGTATTTTTTGAATTTGGCAGTATGATGAAAAGTCTACTATTTTCAGCGAAAATGAATTTTATGAAAGCTGAAGATAGCACATCAGTTGCATTGGAATGTGATAGGTAGTAGAACTTCAGTTGGCGTGACCTATTGTTTCTCATGGATAAAACTTTGTACATCAAATGACTAATGATATTTTGATATCCTAGCTACTTAAGCCTGTTAAGCCTACTGGAACTCTTGGTCAATTCATGTTATTATAACTTGCCGTCAATGAAACAGTTGTCGAAGTCCGGATCAATCAGGTACGCTACTTATTTTAGTATTTTTGTCTTCACTACATCTTATGTACTTGACTTTATCTTCAAGGCGACTAAGAGATCAGTTACTTGAGGACGAACGCTATTCTCTAGCACTTGAGGTTTCTACTAAATACGGTCTCGATACTCAAGGTGTTTGCTTTGTGTGGGCTAAATTCTGCTTAAAGTCTGGAGACTTTGAAAGTGCCAGAGAGAAATTTAGTAGATGTTTTAAGGTATGCTAAAAATATTAGTGGTTTTCGAATGGTCCTTTTTAAACTTTGTGCTATTATAATAACTGCAATATTTTTTATAGTCACGCCAATCCTTTAAACAGTCAGGACCCGCGTCGGACATAAAGCAATCGCAACTTAATCAGTCCCAAATGCTTAAAGATATTATTGATATCTTGGAGTCGTCACCGCTAGTTAGTTATGGTTTGGTAAGCTAAAAACATAAAATAGTGCACGTGTTAATCCGTTTCCTTCTAAATATTAACCGATATTGATTTCATGGATATTCAATAGACTACTGGGTTCATTCCTGATGTATTGAATTCAACTTCGGAAAATCTATTGGTATTAAAGCTTATTTATCGTACTGATTTATTCATAAATGCACACATAAATCTCATAATTTTATTAACTCTCCCTGTAGCAATCAGATATAGAGACTAATATGGACATGCGAAGGTTTTCAGAGTGCAAGTACTATTTAAATTTGTATGGAGATCAGTTATCATACATTCGTTTTCATGTACGCCATGGATTTTTGGATGAAGCTTGTCGAAATCTTCAAAAAAATGTAAGATTTTCGATTTCAGAAAGTTTAACTTGGTTGAATTCATTTTTTGTCTAAATATTTTTATTGTTGATTTAGAATTGTTCAAATGAAATGTTTATGGAAGAGATTCTAAAGCCATGCATAGTCAATGGTGACGTGACCGTTTTACTCCAAACTATCCAGACGATTGATCCCGAGTTAGTGTCGTGGGAGCGGTACTTAAATTTCTCTTGCTTGGCACTGAAGAAAATGTTGCTATTTCATGTTTTATATGAAATTCGACTTTTTATGAAAGTAAGGATGCCAAGTCATGTTGTAGTAACAGTAATGTTGCAGTTAAAAGTACAAGGGTAAATGTTGTAACTTTCATTATTTTCAATTAGGATTATGTTAGTGCTGCAGCTGTTTGCGTTACTTTGTTTCATGGTAAGAAAGGTCGTTGTAGTAGTTATGAAGAGTATCACCATCGGTTAAAGTATTTGCTGGATGCTAAGTCGCATTACGAAGTTGTACAACAAGAACTCAAAACTGGAGCTAAATCGCCAAGATTGAACTACTGCTCGCCTATTAAACAGCAAGAATTAACGTATTATTTGAAAATGATTGAAATGCAAATTGAGATAACTAAACATTTCCATGATAATGGGTATCCATTCCTAAGACATGATACTGATAGTGGTCTGACGCTATTTAGTAGCAAATCGCGACCAGAATTGATTAGTCAGGTATTTGGAAAAAAGATCACGGATTCTTAATTAAAAATTATTTATATATTCATATAACATAAAAAAAGGAAGTCAATGACAATGTCATTATGTCAATGGTGTTACAGATAATGCTTGCTGGAAATTCTTTAATGGAAGGTTTTGAATTAGCCCTTAAAATTGTTCATGTCAGTAACTACTTTAATGTGAATATTTCAAGATATGGTTAGCAAGAAATTAGTGAATAATGCATGCTCTTTGTTTAATAGGTATTTCATGTTGATCCAATTGGTGCTTTTGGTCGTACTGGAAAATTGCTTGCTCGAGCAAAACAGTATAAATCAACAATAGATTTAATTAAATTAATCAAGGAACGCCAAGTTTTCGAAGACGAAATAGTAGATAAAATCATTCTGGCACTTTTACCTGCAGTTAATAAGGGACCAGAAAAGGCAAGTTGTTATATGGCCGTTAACTGTATGAAAATGCTCTAATAGACGTAACTTCATGAATCAGATTATCACATGCCTAGAATTTTTTTTAATCCAATAGGACATCGAAACTTTGGTTAAAGAGCTTATCAATCTGATAGCCAGCCTGAAAATCCGGGTCATTTTTTTAAATTATTTGCCAATATTTAAATTTTAACTCTTAGTGTTACAACAATTTATAATTTTAAAATGATACCTTTAATACACAATGTCTTACTATTATTAATTTTTAATGGTCTAAACTAAATGATATTAATTTATATTACCTACAAACTTTGTATCTTTACAGTTTGAAGCACAAATGGCTTGTAACAGGTTAGTGCAGGCACAGCTAACCGCTGTGAATCTTGGAGTACCTTATGTCAAGCAAGTGCTCGCTGTTACCGAGAAAGGGCAAAGCACTACTGCAAAGCATGTTGGTAACATTTGTCGTAAATGGCTGGATGCACATAAGACTTGATATAAATTTTAGATTTTTGATACAACTTTGAAACTGTTGTGCAGTATACTTGCTTATTCAACTCTTGAGGACCTGACTAAATTGATTTAAAATCAAGACAGATTGTGACAATTTGCCACTTAAATGCACTATAAACGATCGCTTTGGCGATCATTTTTAAAATTTGAAATGTCAGGTTTAGTATACGCGCATTCCTGGCCCATTCTATGTTTTTTTGCCTAAAACTAGCTGGGGCACTGACGAGTATATTAGGTATTGTACGATATGCCTACAAAATGGTTAAAAATTTTCTATATTGTTATTCTGCAAAACTAGTTTGGTTAAAGCAATTTGATTGATATAGCATTATATTTGATAAACATTTTACGACATACATCGTATAACAACTAATTGATTTAGCAGTAGAATGATTGTTGATTTGTTGATATTACCTATAGAAGAGATAAGTGATCATAGTCTCGCTGATTTTTTTGTACTATATGTAAAAATGTAAATACCATTTTGGTTTATTCAATTATTAATATTCAAGTTATATTGTACAAAATTAACATAACATTACAAAAATACACGAGGCAATCATTTCTTAGCAGACAGGTTTATTTTTTTAATCCATTGAATATAGATGTATGTATAAAAGATGCGTCAGTTATATATATATATATATATATATACAGTATACAGTATTTACTGCGAAGAAAAAGAATTGTTATTTGATAACCTTTATCAATTAAAAATTGCAGTAATTTATGTTGGCAATGGTCATTGCGAAATTTATATCATCCTTAAGTAAAGTCCACATGATGGACGTGCTAATAAATTTTAAATTTCGTATATTCTTTTATAGTATTGAATGATTTAATATTTAATAGTTAATATTTTAAACATAGGATAATGTAGCTTGTTTTGTAAATTTAGAAGTATTGATACTCAATTTACACTACCAGCGTTACTCTACATCGAATATAGGATACTAATATTGAATCTGCCAATACCTTAATAAAGCGACAACACCGTAGCTATGACTTATTTTTTATCATCGCCTTTGGGGGTTGATTCTTTGGAAATTGTAACATCAGTATTAACATCATCATTCTTCTTACGGCGAGCATTATTTAATTCAATAATAGCAGGTACAGATGTATAATTTAGGTATTCATCTAAAGTAAATTCGGTCGTATCAGCAATAAAGCGCATAAATGGTCTTACGTCGCCATCATTCGCTTGTGACAGATATTGATAATAATGGAATCGATCGTGAACACGAATAATTATGGGAGGGAAACCTGCTCGCATCAATATACAGTTCATGAATAATCGCGCAGTTCTGCCGTTTCCATCCACAAATGGATGAATATGAACTAATTTATAATGAGCTAAGGCTGCTAATTCAATTGGATGTAATTGCCTTGCTTCACTGGATTTCAACCAATTATCAAATTCTGTCATTTTGGCCGCTACTTGACCAGGAGGTGGTGGCACATGATCGGCAATGTAGACTTGGCTATTACGATAGTTACCGGCTTCAAAAGGATCGCTAAAGCCGTAAACACGTCGATGAATTTGTAGGATATCTTGAACATCGAGTAGTCCAGCCTTATTGATTAATGTGGTATTGATATAACTAAGAGCTTCGTCCATACCGATAATTTCGTTATGTTCCATGACACTTTTACCACCAATAGCGATACGATTTTCGATAACAGCCCTAGTCATTTGTAAATTCATGGTATTGCCTTCAATTGCTACAGTATGGTAGACATGTTGATAATAACTTTCTCGTTTCATCCTTATCAAGGCTGGATCAGTTAATGGAAGAGCATAAAATTTACTACGTTTAGCGGCTATACGTGCTAATCGATCGCGATCAATTTGTTGAACTAATGGTAGTGTTCTTTTTCGATTGGATAAAGCCAATTGATGATATGGATAATGAGATAATGCTGCTGTATAATAGTATTCAGCTTGAATGACATCTTCATGTTCTAAGAATTCACCATAATTATTTAATACATCAGGATGACGTGGCGCCATGCGTATAGCGTAGACGAATAATTTGGTTGCTTTCTTCTTATCGCCTTTCCTGGCTGATCGCCATGCTTGCTTGAGCGTATAAATAACTTCTTTGGTTAAATTTGTGGTTGCTGGTATTGCTATAGAGTTGATAGACAAAGCAGATGTATTGATTAGAATTACTTGTTGCTTGTATACGTCAAAGGTATAGTCAAACTACGTGTCGGTATCCAATTTTTGTAATCAATAGCACACTAAGTGGATAACCAACGTAAAATTGAACTCAATAGTATGACATGCTTCAGTCATGAGTAATACTCACCTGGTGATTTGTTCAGCTGGGATTTTCCTTGATGTTTGCCTTGTAAAAAACCAGACATACAATGACTGATACCATCCTTGTTAGGCATTTTAGAACAGGAAAAATGTTCAAAATCCGCCGATTTTCTGGTGTTGTCATAGACGAAGACATTATATAGTAATATGATGATGGAACAAAGTAATAAATGGCGCAACATCATTGTAGATGATGACCTGTCACTAGTATGAAGTGTTGTAGCCATTGAAATAGGATGAAAACTAATAGTACGAATTAATCCGAATAGCGCTAATAAATAATTGAGTTAAAAGATTGGACTAGTAGGCCTTAGGGCACTTTGCGAACGATTCAATTTTTCGACTCCACACAAGAAGAATTATATAATTAATGAATCATTGAAGAATGATCAACAAGATGGCCACAAGGTGTCATCAATCCACGTCTCTCAATCGAAAAGGTTGAATTACAGTCATACTACAACAAGGCAGGCTAGGATAACCATTTTTATTTATTAGTATTGCAATAAGATAGAGTAAAAAGTGCAAGACGGTCTAAAGCGTTGAGCAATGTATGTAATAATGATTAAAGGAATTTTTCTTCACCAATTCAATGGTAGCTCTCTCCGTCTGGCTCCTTTCTCGGTAGTGCCGATGTTTTTTTTGGCCTACAGATTGTCAAGGTCCACGTACCGGTAAAGATTGACAGTCGAAGTCCATGACAGTAGTAGTATGGACTCACAGTCAAATCCTGTTAATAATCTTTACCCGGTAGGAGTACACAGTACTAGGTATTGTATGATACAGTACTATACTGTACATGGAGCGTACTGTACACTGTACAGTCACAGTTTTCCATACTGTTCAACGCGTCTCAATAAAGCGCATACAGACTGTTGTTCATGTTTATCATGATTGAGTATTCATACAGTCGATGGCAATCAAGCGTCTATGGTAGCGTACAGTACAGTAAACCGACGAAGCCGAACAGAACAAGCTAACTACCTACCTTGCTGGTCATTTTACTCTACTGTATCACCGTTATCGTACGCTGTACTGTCTTGCACTCTCCAGTCTACAGTGTACAGTACTATGGACTGTAATCGAGATCGACTGAATTTTATGGTTGTATTGTACAGTGTACAGTGTACAGTACGCTGCACCCTGTCTTCAGTAGGCTCTCTAGTGTTGTTGGAGGCCTTTAGTAGTCCATGGTATGGTACAGGCGGAAAAGAGAAGAAAGTCACCTAGGTGATATACTTTGAATAAATAAATAAAATGGCAATATGGAAAATAATGTCAATTTACTTCATCTTCCACTCATACCAATTTTTGTCTACATTACCATATGAAGCATTCAATGTTGATTCCAATGATATAAGAATGAATTCTGTAAGTTACTCAACCACAAAATGCTTCAAAATATTCTTGATGAAATGCAGTACCGTATCATGCTGCATTTCGCAAAGTCAAAGTCTATTCCAAAATGACTGACGTAAAGTACGACTTGGGCATTCCTGCTTGATCAATTCATTAATTTGTGGTCATAAATGAAAATATCGACATGAAAGCTCATTGTAATCCAAATCGGATACTGCATTTATTTGTCTTGATAATAAAACTATTTGCTTGAAAGTTTATTGCAATCCAAATCAGCTACTGTATCGGAGGACATCGAAATTAAACCTTCAATGCATAAAACTCTTTTTTTTTCAACGGGCGGATTCTATTCCAACTGCCGGCCGCCAGCATGTCACGGTGCTAGCTCATCGTTCCAAAATAGTCCATGCTTTGCGGCTATAATGATGTTGTAAGCCGAGGAGATTACATAACCAGATATAGATTGTAGACGGTACGATTTAAATGGTGATGTGTTATAGGTCATTTATATCTATAGTTGGATTAGTAGTATTCTAAGAGGTGTGTTAAAGCTTGTAGATAAAATCTATTTAAACGAATGGACAAATCAATAAAAGTTACTTCTTAGTTCCTAAGGTTAGAAGTATAACGGAAATCGATGGCGTACGAATTATTGCGAGATCGTACATTCGATCACAACGTTATCTTGCCACACGGGAGTTTGTGACACAGCAATATTTTTTCTAATGGAAAAAATAAGAATTGTCATGTTGATGTGCGGTACCCCAATCTGATTGAACTACAACACTTTGAACATTGAAGGAATGACCTAGGATAATCGAATGATGTCATTCCCCATGATTAATGCAATCCTTGAGACTGTAATACTACATCAGCATTCCATAGGCAAGCAATAATAATTTGCATATTAGTCCAACGGAAATGGAGCATTCTCAATTTTTTCACAAAAATCTCCATCCTAAGCGTTCAGTTAGAGTTACTGCCAAAATACTATTTTTGCAAAATAAGGACTACATCATCATACAGCCCTTGCTTGCCAATCCCATCAAGTTAACCTCCTTAATTAGCGTTTAGCTAGATCGACTGCCAAAATACGATCATTGCAAAATAAGGACTCCATAATCCAACTGCTCTTTCCTGGCCTATCTCATCCAATTAGCCTTCTTTATTGACATTGAGCTACATTGACTGCCATAATACTGTCAGTAAAAAAGAAGGACTACATCGTCCAACCATTCTTGCTTTACTAAGATGGCTAACTACCGAAGCCATCTTGATCTGTTATGTATGATAGACTGGTAATGTCTAGGAATTATTGCGTGATTGACCTAGTGTCGCACGAGAGAACACAACGGATCACCTATAATAGCAATGATTAAAAGGGAAAACTTGATGATATATTATCACTTATCGAGTGATTAAAATGATTAAAAGGATGAATGAATTATGATAAAGTCATTACGAAATGATGGCAGAATCCATGACTACCATTCAATAACTAAGCCCCCAAAATTCAATTTGAATTCATCTGTTCTTTCTGCTAGGCGATGGCTGCCAATTGAGTCATAAAAGAAATGGTCAGTCGCCTAGTCGTACTATATAATAGTAATATAAAAGTAAACATATTTAAGGTGCTGTATCAACAATTCAAGCTGTTTCCTCTTCCATTTTGAATTCCATTCAACTTGTTCAATCATGGCGTAGCTACTATAACTATTAATGAAACAGGTAGAAAAGGTAAAGCAATTAGAGTGGATTAGTTTGATTCATTCCATGCTGCTATTTTCATTTGTATAGCGGTTAGCATGGCAAGATTAAAGACAAGTAATTGAGCTATGAGTAAGCCACCAGCCACTCAGTATTATTGGCTCTATTTTCGTCCTAATAATAGAAGGCAAACAATCATCAAGTCAATAGGTAGAGTCTTAATCAAAACGCCACAATAGATGGCTTAGTATGCAATTCATTCTCGATGGAATTGGGAAACTATGAACAACTAATTAATATTAATAAGTAATGCTTTTTTTCTCCCGTCATTACTCATAGTCCATACCTTCATCTACACCACGTAGGAAGTTGTTGAGAATACACATTTTCTAGTTTACAATTAAGGTTAACTAGAGCAGCAATGTCTCAACCAACCCAGGTAAGATGGACTTTCCTCCAGCATTGAACTATATAATGCCGTAAAATTTATTTTTTTTCCTGTCAATGAGTAATAAATTTATTTTAAAGTTGTTACCTTTAAGATTTGGAAAATTGGATAGTAACTAGACGATCATAGACTAAAAAAACGATAAAACGCAGTTGTGATTACCTCAATTTTTTTTCTTTCTTTCTCTATCGTCTCACTCTTTCTGAATATTGATTGAAATAATTGCAGTTTAGATTATTATACGACTTTTATCCTGAAAGTCCTAGCGAATTGGAAGTCCTAGCCGGTACTATTGTGTCTCTTTATGAATCGGTAAGTCAATTAATCTAGACATTCCTTAATCAATTTATTCCATCGACTTTCTATCCTACAAATTGGTGGGATGGAAAATAATCCTACTGCTGATGTTATTACTCAGCAACCTTGACCAAACGGAAGTGAAACTTTCTTGTGCCTTTATATCTCTAAAACACTATCCCCTTAAATACTATACTATCATCATTACGTTCAAATAGAATGCGTATAATCCTGAACAATAATTCATTCAACTTCCATAACCTGTTGGTTGATAGTCATACGCCCATATTTTAAATCCAAAAGAAAACTTTTCTTTCATTTCTTTGAGAAGAGCTTCTATTCCCATTTAATCGCTACCGTTGTTATTCTTGCCACCTATTTTTAGGCTTGATCGTAGTAATCTTGATTATCGAATTAAATAGCCATATGAACAGTTTACTGCATATTCATATATACGTATACCAGTACCGTGTATAATATATAAGATTGATATTCAATTTCTTATTCGATAGGAAGAGAAAGACGAGCTATGGACGTGTATTATCCGAGAAGATGGAAAAACTGGTTTTGTGCCAACGTCATATCTAGAAGTAAGCGAAATCATCGACTAACATTATTAGGCATTACATCATCTCCTACTGACTATAAAACAGTAATCAACTTACGAATGATTCGTAAAATATCGAAAGTATTTCATTTGAAGTTCCAATGCCAGTTGATCCAGTTCTCATAACGCAATTTATCGACTTTTACAATTTTACACCGATCGCTCTTGGCGGTGAGAACGCCATTTTTTAGCGAACTACTGTAGTGATACTATCATTATTTTAATAAACATCATTATCTACACTTTGTTAATTTATTTTAATGTCTATGAATTGTTATTTCATCGACATTACGTGATCAAGCATTGATAAAGAATTGTTGATCTTAGTACAAGCTTGTTCTCATTAATAGTACAGCGAATGCAGTACTGATATATTTTGGGCAGAATACGAACTAAAACAATTTTATATTAAATAAAGAATCATCGATGGGTTCATTGATGGTTCTGTTTCGCATTGGCAAATTGCTTTACGGTCATAACATTATGCGTAACTACTGGGACAAAAAGACCAATATGTTGATGTTATTACATTACAGTATAACCAGCAGATTGGATTCAAAATCATTTCTAGATATTGAGTAAATAAAAAATAGTAAATACTCTCCGATATCCTCTAAGCTATTCCCTAATTAGAAAATAGATAGTTTACTTTACAGTATTTTCGTCCATTTTTAAAATTACTTTGAACTGTTGAATGAGACTGCTTAATCTAATTTTATGTTATCCAGTTTATCAACTATTTAACAGATAACCCTATCATCTGCAATCATTCCTTAGACTTCGATTTAGTTATCTTACGCGTATATATTTTTCAGCCTGCTAGCTAATCAAGAGAAATCTTTCATATTTAGAGATATATTGAAAGTCCACCTAAATAGTAATCACTTAATAAGCCTTAACGTACTATTGCACTTTTTAATCATATTTTAACTTATCTTTTAAGCTATCGAGTACCACCACAGATATTGATTTATGAAGCTAATTAAAATAAATAAATACGGTACATATTCTTCTGACTCTTAATTGCCTAGTAGGTAACCTGGATCATCAAAGTAGTAATAATTTCCTTAGCTTGATATGAGCGTACCTATCGAACTATCAGCCAGTAAAACAGATAGTAAATCTAGTTAGTAATCTCTTTCAGGCTGTCTTAGTGATAAAATAACTAACTTCTTAATCTACTTCTACATTGTACAGTACATTATTGAAACTTGCAGTTATTCCTTTTTATTTCATAAGGACATCCAATTAAATATTATAGCTTCCGATGATGATTGCCTAGTCGTTGAAGCTTCTGCATTGCACATTATTAAAATTGATCATCATTCCTTTTTCTTTCATAAGGACACTAAATTAAATATTATACCCTCCGATGATGATTGCCTAGTCATTAAAGCTTCTGCACTGCACATTATTAAAATGGATCATCATTCCCTCTTGTCTTGCAAGAATACTTATAGTAGTTAAATAAATATTCCCTTAGCCTATAATTTTTCTAATAAATTCAGTTTGCAGCTCGTATATTAATAGAACCTTTAGTACTTTTTCTTTAGTACCGCGTTCTAAAAAATATTTAATCAAAATTATAATGGCGACTTTCAGTATAACAAATTGAGATTTATCAGCTATCCTGAGCTTATGTCTCAACCTTTGACTGATACCAAATTTTGAATTCAATGTAACATTTTTTTTTTAGCCCTTTAACAATTCATCGTTTCCCGAACCCAACGAAAATACTACTGAAAATCCGGTAAGACATGGATTGATAATCTTTAACCTATAAAATGAATAATAATAACTCACACAGTCTAACGGGGCGAACTTAACATTTATTATTGCTATCTTACATTTAGAGAGTATACCTAATCAGTAATTAAATGGATATATAGAACTTGATGAACGCATTATGTAGTTTTTACTACTCCAGTTGTGATTGAATGATATCGTCTAGTCAATAATTAATATGTAATAAATTAATATTAGAATTGATTCCATGTCAATTCCAGCAATATTTGGCAATGTATAATAGATTATTGACTTCATTACCACACGTAATCATGACTAGATAATCAATTTGCATTAATACTATTATCCTACACGTCAAGAAACATAATATCAACCTTAGGAATATTTAGAAATGTATTTCATGGATAAGTTCAGTGAACTATTTGTTGTTTTATGTTATCATACGTATTTTATTCAATGATAGTAATTATCATCAGTTACATTAATTGTAGTCGTAAAAACTGATCATAGCTAATTATTAAGAATACTTTCTTCTTTAGCATCCTTATTCCGATGCAGATACCTCATCTGAAGATGAACCAGATGGATTGAGTACTGTCACCAATAGACAGGAAACGGTTACGAATACAACTACCATTACAGGCTCAAAGACTGATGCAAGTCGTAACACTGTATCCAAATCTCTGATAGCGTTAGTAAAACTTTATTAAAGTCTAGATTTAAATAGTAAACGTATAATATTGTTAGAAATAAATATTAATCTAACATTACCATCTCTTATCACTTCTTTAATGGCGTTATAATTTTATTAGGGCAATTACTGCCCTAAAGAGCTTATACTTTTCTATTACAATCCTTATATGATTTTAATCATTTTGTTGCATAGGAGATCACCATTTGCTATATTTGGTGCTGAGAGATTTCTACGTGGCGAAGAAAATAAGCTTGATATTCAAAAATTAATGGATTACGAAAAACATATTATAGTGGTTAGTTTAAATATAAACAATACAGTAAAAACATAATAGCTGCATGTATGGAATTATAATAGGATTGTAGTATGTATAAAACTGCTATTTCTACTTCCTTACATACTCTAAATTCACTTCTATTCTTAAATTCGATAATTCTGTAATCTTAGAAGATCCTAACGTATGTTTATTATTATTCATATTATTCCTATATAGGTTAATAAGAATGGTTTAACCTGGAAGCCGGCCAAAAATGAATGTACTTATCGAATTGGAAGCACAGAAACAGATTCTAAATATGCTGGAGCAAAAACCTATACAACCTATAAAATCCATCCTATAGTAATGATCATCATGATATTTATTATTGCGATATCATTATCATCACTAATATCAACTTCCTTCTACCATTTGAAATACTTTCATTACTGATTGAAATAATAATATAGCATGGAGATGATGAAGCCATCAGAAGACGATATAAACAATTTGACTGGCTATATGGTCGCTTGGTTGCTCGATTTCCTACAATTGCCATTCCTAAATTACCTGAAAAAAGGATTAGAGGTGCCACTAGCTTATAAAGAATGGAATAGATAATCTATTATAATGTAAAATAGTCAATACTTATATTCAACATCGAAATTAAGTGATAAGTATTTTAAATCAAAACTAATAAGTCGGAAACTAATATTTATCCATGCTGTGCGTATCTAAGATATATTAGTGAGATCATAACTGGATTGTTAAAGGATAACATTTTCCTGTCACTTTCTGATACCCATTTTGATGCTTAATATTAAATCATAGGTCGATTTAGCGAAGATATTATCCAAATGAGAAAAGAATTGTTAGAAACCTGGTTAAATCGACTAGCTAGACATCCTATCATTAATGAAAGTCAAGTGTTTTCAGGGTTCTTGAAAAAGCAAGATCAAATAGTTCGTTTCGTACATACACTTGTGGATAAATTCTACTTTAGTTCAGATTAAATAATTTTCCAATACTAACAAGAAAAGTGCGTTTTTATGATTAATTAATAATTGACTTAAAATTTTCATTACAATATCATCTTATATTCACTTAATAGGAATGGAAAGAATTTAAACGTAGAATGGAGAAAGATCCTGGAAATTATTCGGGTTTCTTTGCTCGAACAGAAATAAAAGATCTATTTAATAATAGCCTAAATTCAATGTAATCACTTCGATTTTTAAATATTACTATCTAACAATATTGTGAAAATTAATCAACATTACATTAAAAAAATATTATAATTTGCTCAACCCAGTAATTTACCATGCCTCATACAAATTCTATTAAAAATTTGTCTAATATTACAATAAATAATTTAAGAACGAAATTTCAACACTAGATGACGGTATATCAAGTAATATACGGTATATTATTCAATTTCTGTTCATATTCCAGAAAGATACTGGTAAAAGAAAGAATTGCTAAGAAATATCTAGCTAGTTACAGCTATTCCATTCTTATTCATACTAAACACTTGATACTGATCTAGGAACAAACTAAATAGAATATGTATATAATTGAGTTACAGCTCTAATTATACCATCTGCCTATATCTAACTGTTAACGCTAAATTACTTTTAGGCTAGGAAATGCTGCTAGTTGGGAAAAGCTAACCAAAAATTTACAAGAAAGCATATCTCACTTTAGAGAAGTTCTCCAGCATCACTCTACAGACTTTGCCCGTTGTAAGTATTTGAAGCTCTTATTTATTCGCATCTATTGCTTATTAGATTTTGAGCTAAATTATTTAAGCACTGATTTAAGATGTCGTTATTATTGAATTCTCAAGTGAGCTTGAAATTTTAACCAAAGTACTAACCTAATACACCATGATTCTGAAAATTTATCTATAACAGTTGATTTAAGAGTTTCATATTTTAATTACTGTACTTCTATTACTTGTAATTATTATTTAAACTACTTAAGCAAGATTGCTTATTAATTAGCCGCAATCGTAACCCTAGCCATAATTTTAACTATCGATAATACTGATACACACGATGCAAACTTATTCTTTGACGTAGTATTGCATTTTATTTCAATAGGTTATCAAGATGAATATGTAGCTATGGGCAAGGCTATTGGCAACCTTTCATCCTGTTTTCAATCCGAAAACCATTGTAAGGCTCTTAGATTTAAAATAAAGGCGTTACTGATTTTACTTCCTCTTCACTGAGACACCCTTCCATAACCATAAGCTATGCCGCCTATTTACTATAGTCCATTCCTGTATTTGATTATAGATCCAGAAGAATTTAAATTTGCTGTTAAATCAGTAGGTGACATCTTTTCAGTAACCGGAAAAGAATTTCACAATAAGGTTAGTCAATAATTTATATTATTAGAATACATATTTGTCCCTTATTAGCGTTGGTTACATGTTTATTAAATATACTCGTTTATAGCAAGTACAAGATGCCGTGCCTCTTCGTAAAGGTTTAGATGAATATCTCAATCTCCTCTCGTCACATAAACAGCCACAGTCCATAACAAAGGTAAGAAATATATTATATGAATAATAGTATCCTATTAAAGACTTACTATTTAGAGAAAAATTTTGCGGACATACCATGCATAGTTGACTTGTCGTACATGAATACCTTTATAACTATGGACACTCAGTGATCCATGTCGCAATTGCTGACTTATCATTACTATGCTGATATTTCGCACTTTGCCACTAGGATACTTTAAAGAGATTAAAGGAAGCCAGAAAGGTAATTGCTTGTAGTAATCCAATTATTAGCACTAATATTGCCGGCAAAGCCTTCAATTTGAATATACGTGATATTAAATTTTCTTACCATCATACACTTTTTTTTGTATGTTATATTTTAGCATCAAAATGATTCTTACATCAGCGGTAAATGCGCCGTTGTATATGCTACTGTTGAAGGTACAGTATTATCTCATTTGAGTATTTGTACGTAATAATTATGCAACTATTAGGTGTTTAGTACTACATTGTGCTACGCAACATATATGGTACTAGACAAACGCATTTGATCATATGAAATTTTAAAATAGATCAATTTGCTTATAAAGTATGCAATAACTTGACCTGATTATTTTACAACTTTTAATTCCTTATCTGCTTATGAACTTTACCATATTATCTTTCTTTAATGTATTTAGCTGAAATGAATCACTTTCAGCAAGAAAGTATTCAAGATATAAGCGAATTAATGATGCGCTATCTACGTTTTCAAATTGCTTATCATAAAACGGTATGTGTCTATTTTCTGCTCAAAGTAGCAAAACGTTATGGCATGTCATTCATTTTACTAATATATGTCGTAGAATTACAATATGATAAAGATACCGCAATTATCATTATTTTTATATTCTATGTATCGATAAGCAAAAACATACTGTACGCGTACATATGCATATCTTATGTAGAAAATCTTGTGGAAGGGAACAATTACTGCATAATCAAACGACTTATATGATGAATTAAATTTAATTTCCTGTACTGTATTTCTACAGGTCACTCGCAAATTTGAGCAATCTTTAGAATCATTTATGAGATTTAGTGGTAAAACAGTAATCGGCGAAAGTAAGGATTCACCAACAATTGATACTCCTCCACAAGCAAGTACCAATTTTTCATCACATGAAAATAGATCTTCTCCAAAGCCTTCACCAAAATCCGTACCACCATCAGCAAACGTAACTGCATTATCGTCGTCGCCACCGCCACCACCACCACCGCCACCACCAGAACAGCCAGCATCATTTTAACTCTGAAAAAGAGCAGGAATTATTCTAAAACTGATATGTTACCATTTTTAATTCATCCATTTTCATCTAATACTTATAAAATTTTAATAAAATTTCTAAGCTAAGATTACCTTACATAAATGGATATAGCAATGGATATCACTATAACTGAAGTATGGTGTTTGCTTTTTAGACTTTAACTTATGTGCTTAAGTGGACCATGGCGTCAGTGTAGTAACTCCCCGAGTGAACGATAGTTTTTATCGTTTTTTCCAGATAGACTTTCATGCACCAAATTTAATTCATTAATCTGGGTACTTAGCCATATTTATCCACTTTGTAATCATTAATAACTCTTACCGACACGTTACATTCTAAGTTGGCTTAAGCTAACGTATATCATATAATTAAAGTTCGCAACGTATGCAAACTGTAATAGTTACCTATATTGGTATTTATTATAAACAATTTTAGACCGTAGAATATTCATTTGATTTGTTCTAATTTTAAAATTTTTTACTATCAATATATACTATTTTCATTTTAGTATGCCATTCATTGTTTCAAATCTTGATATCAGCTAAAAGTCAATGAAAGCTTTACATATTTTATAAGTTAAGTAGCAATTAAAAAAAATGAAATGAAATTAAAATGTCATTCATCCTTATTTTCTTAGCATTGCGTTCTTATTTTAGATCTTGTATCTAAATAACGTCAAATGTGTACACTTTTTCTTCTCTGTTTTGAATAAACACGTGTTAACTATTATGATTGTACAGTATAAGTTTTCTGTTCGCAAGATCGTTACTTTAATAAAAAATGAAATGACCTTGTAATAAATTTCTATTAAATTATAGTTTGACCTGAAAAGGGTTTAATGAAACAATTAGTAATAATAACTGTATGGTTCAAGCAATAGAACGTAATTATGAAACAGTTAATTTCAGCAGATAACAATCCATCTACGGTCTTGCAATGTTAGTGCATTGATGAGTATTCGTATAATCCACATACTGTACGTACAATGTTATCTTACATGTTTGGCTCTCCTTTTTAATACGATTATATTAAATACGGTATCTGATAGTGCTATCTATAAACCCTTTATATATATACTCGTACGTAATTATGTAAAGATAATTTTCGAAATCGATAGTATTATTTGCCTTATTTTCATGTTATTTCATATCAACCGACGACGAGATGCTATTCACGAATAATAATAAATAAAATTCTAAATTTTACAACAAGCAACTACAAAATTAATTTGCAATATAGTCACATGAAAAGAATTAATTGAAATTATCCAACTTTATGAATATCAATAACTTTACTAAGAAGTTAACTGCTTCAAGTTAGCGTATAAGTTTATATACGATGCAGCATATGTATACTTCTTAAAATATTTGTGTCAGCAAATAAAATTTCATAATTTGTTACTAGCTGACGGTATCTCAGCCATTTCCGTTATTTTTCAATGATGAAAAAATTAAATGTGTACTGGCTTATACTGTACTATTTAACATTATAGCTTAATACCAATTGCTGTTATTAATAGCTGAGATATTTCACGTATATACAAATTATACAGCATTTACATATCATAATTTATGATAGCATCTGCTAATCAAAAATCTTGATTTATACAATAGGCATAGCAAATATAGTCTAGTAACAGATTGATTAAATTAAATTATTAGTATCTACCGTATACGTATGTCACACTACATAGCTTCGTTTTATAGCTTATTCTTGAGATTAGAATTGCATGCCTAAGCTATGGATATTGCATATATAAGTTGAAGAATTACTACTCTACAAATCAAAGGCTAATTTAACAGCTACAATTAGAATTAGTATCGTTCAAAGAGATTTAGGATTAAAATGTAGAATCAAAATACTTCTTTTGCCTGATATAATATTTCATAGTTAATGAGTAGCCTCATGAATAATTAGTCAGGAACCATGATAGTTTATACTGTCACCGTAATATTGTACTTAGATTTTGAAGATTAGGATTCGGTTAGAGTCAGGATTGATTGCCTTGTCTATGCAAGTGACTACGACTTGATAATCGAACAAGTTTAGATAATTTTACATCTTCTTATATGGTACTTTATTGTGAATAAAAATCAGATAAAATGAAATAGTTACATATGTTCAGCGTACATTTTTACAAGGATAAATGCGTATCTTTATAATAAATTAATAACGCTCTATTTTTGGCTTTCTAATCTATTCATATATGAACGTATACATAATTTATTTTCGGATGATTAATGCATATGCATGTATATTGTTTTAATAAAATAATGATGTTAAATATATAAATGAATCGTATTAACGACGTGATATATTCCGTTTTAGAAAATAAGATAACTTATAACATGACCGAATACACAAATGGTTTTACTGCATATAGAATATACGTGATTATTGTATGATTGCTATACGCATCTACGTTAGATTAATAAATGAACGATAAAAGACTATAAACCAATTACTAACATAATAGCTTCTCTATTAGTAAATAGGGCAACTTATAACATGACTGAATGCATCACTGGCTTTACTCCTACCCAGCGTTTCTGAATATTGTGAAAATTAGTTTTTTGCACTAATTTCAAAGATTGCGCAAATTCGAAGTGAACAATAATAGGATTATCGCCAAACATCTTATGTTTTTCTCCACCCTCAGTGACCTCCATAACCGGTCCAAATTGCTCAAAATACTTCTTAACAACATCATGGCTGATTCCATGAGCACCAGAAACAGCAATACGATTAAAAGCAGTCTTAGCATCTTTATCACGTTTGGGTACTGTATATAAGCTAAGTGATCTTTTCGCAATTCGATGCTTGGATTCAGCGGCTAGAAATTTCTTAGCAGCTTTAGTTTCATGAAATTGTACAGTAACAGCAATACGCCTTCTACCTGTAATATTATCAATGGTTAATTTCCTTCTACTCATACTGGCAACATCGCCGTACTGGCGGAAATAGGTGATTAAATCAGCTTCAGTTGAATCATTAGATAAACCCGAGACTAAAATAGTACGGCCATCATCATCATCATCTTTCATTTCTTCTACATGACTCCATCGACGTAAATGCGGATCATATTCTTCAGCATAGGTCTGAGGGCGATCATGTTGATTCCCTTCATCGCTTTCTTCATCGCTTACCGAAGGTAATCGACTATTTATTCGGATTTTTTTGCGTTCTTGTTTTTATCTATATTTTCATCTGTTCCATGTTGTTGTTTATTCACCTTATTTTGTACCTTTGCAGGTGGATCTACATGAACAGAGATCTTAGAGTTATTCGATGCTAGAAAGACTTCATCATCATAGTCATCTTGTGATTCTGCGCTTGCATGACTGGAATTATCATGTGCTGGAAAACCTTTATTGGCATGGATAGTAGAGCGCTGTTTGTTCATACCTGCATTGGCCGAAGTAGACATATTGGGATTTATATACATGCTTACTTGACTCTTTTTATTGGATTCTGAGGGTTTCAATTCCCCTTGTTGATTTCTCTTTTCCTTATTTGAATTCATAGAGTTCCGACTTGCCTTATTATCTTGTAGAACTGGAGGTTTTGATCTCTGACTAGATGAATCTTTTTTAACATTAACATCAGTTGAAGAAGTCGATTTATCATGAATTGAGCTTTTCTTTATGGCTGGTGGGATCGAATGATGAGAATCATGATGAGAGATTCCATTATTTATTTGATTTATTGGTTGATGTGTTAATTTCATGCTTGCTTTTTTCAACGGTTTTATAGTATCATTATCGGAGATTTGTTTTGGTGAATTCGGTTGACCTCGATGACCGCTTAATGAATCTTGGATCGTATTCGACAAATTGCGATGAGACATTGTCGGCCCGTCATCAATCGAAATATGATCCGATCGATTAGCTATCATTGCATTAGTTGTACTAGCTATAATTTCTTTTTGGTTGTTAGATGAAACATCAGCCTGTTTTTGAATATCAGTCTGATTCTTTTTTTCAGGCATACCAGCTGAGCTTGATAGCTTAACTTGCTGCTTTGTACCTATATTACGTGATATTTCAGCTTGATCATGAACATTCGCCGATCTACTGTTACCTTCTTTCTTAACACTAGAATTATTTTTTTCCTGATTTCGATACAGCTGAGTTGATTCTTTCTCACTGGATCTACTATGCATGGCCTGCTGATTATACAGAACCTTGGTTTGAGCATCTTGACTAATTGCTTCGTTCTCAGGCATGCTGGAATTCTGTCCATCTAAATTGCTATTATAGCGATGAGTTATTTCTTGCTGATCTGATGTATCGTGGACAGACTGCTGCTTCTGCATAGGTTTGATTATCGCCTGGCTAGCAATGATCTCATTTGTAGCAGAATTTTGCCTTTCTAATGGATTACTACAATGATCGACTGACTTTTGTTGATTTATATCTTGTCTTTCTAACTGATAATTGAGAGAATTAGATATTTGATTCACTTTAGCAATGCCAGAATTTTGTCGTTCTGTTAGTTGATTCTGTTGATTATTTGACTCATGTATATTTGATTCGTCGTGTATAGATTGTTGTTTACGTAAAGTTTTGACTGTAGCACCATGAATTATTCCACTTTCTTCAATGTGAGTCTGATCTCTTGCCAATGGACTTTGATGAGAACTCTTTTCTCCTTTATAGGACGAATCATGTCTTAACAGCTGATTATGTATGGTATTAGTCATAACAGTGTTGGTAGATGGAGAATTATTATGGGTATATTGAGCCGAGTTGGCTGGATTAGAAATGCTGTCTTCATCAATTGGATGGCTGTACGATCTGGTAGTATCATCATATGAAGGTGAATTTATTTGAGCATCTGGTAGATAGTCATATTGTGGAAGTTTCCTTTGACTAGTTTCTGTCAAAGTTGATGTATTGACAGTAGGTTGTTGATGCTCTACAGTTACTACACGATCTCCTCTATCTGATAGGATAGATGAAGAAACTACAGATGCAGAAACTAACGAATTATCAGCATTTTGTTGTATGGCTTCTTTTACCTCTGGTTTTGGACTATTTTGATCAGAGTTTCTTCTCTCAATTTCTTCCCTTGTCTCTATGGGATCTTCATTCTCTGCTAAAGCAATCGTGGAAATTAAAGTAGCAGCAGCTATCGATTCCTCGAGATTTCGCTTTGCAATCTCATCCGCTGTTGCTTTTGGACTAGGTTGACCATGATGTTTCAAACTACTTCTTCCAGGGGTAGCATTAGGACGAGGGTTTGATTTTACAGAATAAAATCGAGTAAGGGATGGACTGCGACCGACATTACGATACTGACTAGAAATATCACTATTTTTATCATCTTTTACCGCTTCTTTATCATTAGTTGCTCCCTTTTCATGAATTGTAGGCATGTAAGCAAAGTGGACTTTCTTAGAATTGATTCTATTGATGTTATTACTATAACTTGGCTTAACATCTTGCTGGTCAAAATTAAAATTTTCTTGGCCGATATCTTGTTGGTCAGTATTGGAATCTTCTTGCCCGATATGACTTTCGTGAATAACTGTAATATCATTAATTAAGTTTTTATGGTCCTTACTATCTCCCCACCTAATGAGTAATATTGGATAGGTAATGTTAATATATCTAGTTGTCGATTAGAGTAGATAACAAATAATACCATAAAGTTATTCTACCGATATATCATCTTCTATTCGATCACACGTTCTATTAAAACAGATTACTAACCTGTTGACATTATTATAACTATTTTGGCTACTATTATCGGCTGAATAAGCAGAATCTCCATCGCTATACCTTTCGTCTGAAGAGCTTGATTATAGAATTAAAGATCAATAATACGCATGATATTAACATTAAAGATTTTTTTCTTGTTATTATAAAATTATAATTAACCTTAATCACTCAGTGCTGTAATAGCATCGTAGTTATCGATTAATATCGTACAAGTTATCAACATTAAGAGTTTATTCTTCTTATTATAAAATATTAATTAGCATGAATCACTTAATATTATAATAGCATTAAAGATATTGATTAATAATATACTAGTTATTAGCACGAAAGGTTTTAAGCTTCTTGTTATTGTAAAACTATGATTAGCTTTAATCACTTAAATATAGTTATAGTATTTAAGAGTTAATTACTTTATAGTTGATTAAATCGTAAATAAATGAAAATAAACTATCGAATTAACGAATCATAACAGCTTTCATTAACATAACCAATAAATTATAAGAGCGTCTTAGTTTAGATGGCCTTATAACGGTTAATTTATTATCCACAATTTGATAAAATTAGAAGTTGCAGTATGTTTTAAATACAGCCTTCTTTAGCTCATGTCAACTCTTACCTATGATTGTAGCGACCTGCACCCCACCTGGAAGTATTATTTCTAGGAATGCCTCTTGCACTGGATGCAGACATAGCAACAACTTTATTGCCATGACTAAATAGAGATCGAGCGACAATAGGTTAGCTTTCTTAATGTGTATTCACGATAAAACTATTCACCATAGTAAAAGTTTACGCCTTATGTTAGAAAAGTAGATCAATTAACTGAAATTTCTATGTAAATGGCAAGTTAAGCCGTGATAAATAAATACTAAGATACTTCACTTTCAATGATATATTATAGTAGTCAGTGAGATATAAATGCAGTATGAATTAGAAATTACAGTGATCTTTCCAGTCTTGTTACAACTCTTCCAATGCTCCTATGTCTTCTAAGATGGATTCGTATCTATAAAATCAAGAATGTTCTTAGATACTTTCCTGTAAGGGCTGCTATTTTATTTTTAGTCTGAAACATATATTAATACTATCGGCATTCCTACAATAAATCCAATCACATCCCTTATAAAAGATGTGAGGTTCAATTTATTGCAAAATAGATTACGACTAATACTACAGTAATGATTCAAACGTACGAGTAAATTACCTGTAGCTCAAGCACTATATGCAGAACTTATAAAAAGTATTAGATTCAATTTATTGCAGAATATATTAGGCCTATGCATATAACATTAAAAACATAAATACCCGTGGATCAAGAACTACGTGCAGGATAAATACCAGTATTCCCTAATTGCAAGTAAAATGGAAAGTTATAAACCGAGGTCAAATAAGTAAAATATGTAAGGAACATTATTACATCTACTAAGCACCAACTCTACACCTTTGCAATACCTGCGATGCAGTTATAACAGCAAAAATAATAGCTGCTATATCAGTCGTAGCTCCACTGAATGCTAACGGTCCACCAAGCCACCCAATTCCAAGTAATGGCAATAAGACTGCAAGAGCTCTGAGCGATGCTCTTAGGTTTGTTAAAAGTGGACATAACAATTAATTAATCTCTTTCAATCTCCTCAATAATATTAGAAATGGTTCTTTAAAAGCTACATCTACTGAAGTAGTCAATGCATCTCTTTATTGGTAAATAGGAAAATAAAATTTTACTTACTTGACTTTATTTTTCTCGTTCTTAGTTGCGAGAAAGGAGTCCAGAGTAAGTAGTGATTTCAAAGTTAAGCTCATGTAAATGATAATAATCTGTGATAAAGTATCAAATAAAATTGCATTTATTTGGCGAATTAAGCATACTATGATCTTGGAAGAATGTTCATTTCCAATGCAAATTATAAGCAGCGATCGATAACGTTCCGATTCTTACTTACCATTATAATTACTACCCCTGGAGCAGCAAGTGCAAATATACTATAATTACCATCGGTATTCATCCAGCAACTAGATTTATTTTGTGCAAATGAATGCATAGAATCATTGTATGGAGTGCAAAAAATAGCAATACTACAACATATTTATTACTTTGATATGCGTATTATTATAAATCAACATGCCATCTTATGCCAGATAAAAAAAGTAAAATTCTCAGCCTACTTTGCATTTGTCGCACCATCACCATAAGCTGAATCTCCTAGAATCGCCATAGTAGTACCAACTACAACAAATGGAACGACTGCAATTGGTCAAAAAATGAAAATAATGATTTAGAATACTTTTTATCTTGAAAAAGTGTGCCAGTAATAGTTACTAGAAAATCAATCATTACTTGAAATCAATAAGGCTATTGTACAAAAAGAAATATTTAAATCCAAACATAATTTAGGACTTAGATGTTACTATTAGCGGAAAATTCGTCGATGTGAACTTGAAAACAGTAAGTAGTTTTAAGATTTTTAATTTATTCTATACAAACGCGCTGCAGTAGCAATTGCTAATAGGCAAAAAATTGTTTCTACTTAATTCTTACTGATTAGTAAATACTGCTATTAAACTGAAAATATACCAAAGTTGACACGGAATGTTAATAATATCTGATAATGAACAAATCAATTTGCTCTTTCTAGAATTTATAACATTTGAAGAGCCATCTTTGACATGCTAATTTACGTTTGGACAAATATACTTACGCCCTGTAATAGCGATACAGATTTTAAATTATAACCACAATTAAGCAATCATTAGCAAGCTAACTAGCTATTCAGTAGATCATTTTAGTAATATGCCGACGATGATTTTAAAATGCCAAGTGATTTATCTAAGGCCTATCAGCATTACTTACCTATGTTGGCTAGAAAATACCAATGAACCTTAATTGGTTTCAATGTTAGTTTTTTCAAAGTAATGTAGATGATGATACTTTCAGTTAGCATCCAACAAAAAGTGTAAATAACAAAGTAATGTAAAATTGCCCCAATAATAACACATCCAACCTAAATTTTTTACAGGAAACAAATATTGAATTACTGCTATAATTAACGGCAAGTATGTAGTTTATTTTTATGTAGAGAAATTTACCCTACTATGACGAACTAATTCCTTATCAATTCCTATCACCATCATAGTATTGAGTAGTAAAAGTGATATAGCTATGCTAGTATGGGATATGATAATACCAATTCTAAATGTTTTCCTAATGGTAGATTGAAAAAGTTATAAATATAATGAAATAAATAATTTTTAAGTTGAAAAGCAATGGATCAATTTATTTTTCATACAAATATGTTAAAAATTTTAATAAGAAAAGTTATAACTACTTACTTCCATAATATTGAATAGCATATTAACGTGATTACAAGCCATGTAATTGATATTGCACTCCCAATATAGCTCGAGATTCTAACGCTTCGAACGGAATTAATTACCTATAGGGATGAATATATACTTCAGCTAGGAAAGGAAACACTTGTTACAATCAAACTTTTTACAGTCTTAAATTACTTTTTAATATCGTTAATCATTTAAATATCAATTAACTTACTGGTAAAGGCTGCAATAATACCGAAAAACTAGTTAAATGATCACATTGGCAGACCACATGACTTTGATTATATTCGGAAGCATTGCAACCCGATGGAGACCAAATATTATCAACACTATCGTAAAATGATACATGATATAATTAGAAAATCTGAGTATTTTCACATTACTAACTTAAGTGAAGGTATATAATCTGTTCTAGTTAATATCTTTCACTATAACAGAAATTAATAGTTTTGAATAAGAGGAAATAATGAAAATGTCTTTTCAAGTCGTATAGAATTACCTTGCACTAGTGTTCCAATAAACGCAGATAGGAGAACCTTGATTGCTAGCACTAAGCTGATTATTCTATTATAAACCCATTAGAAATTAATTAAAATATATTTTCGAAAGTAATAACTCGAATGAGTAAATCGTCGCTGAAGTAAACCTACCAGTTTAAAGGTAATGGTAACAGGCAATTCGAGGTCGTTTGACGGACTACCACTGATAGTTGCAGATACAACTTTTGCTACAGTATTCTGTCTCCATGTTGAACTATCGTTAGAAAATTTCATTAATTCTATTAGCTACGAAATTAATTTACTGTAATGAGATCATCCTAGCTAACAAACAAAAATATTGTCAAATATCGAGTAATAATTAAAAATTTAATCCAATAACCTCGTAACTAGCTGGCTGAGGATTATTCCCAGCGTTTTAAACTGATACGTTGTTACTTTAACCTTGTTACCTGATACAGTTTAATCCAACAAAACAGTTCGAAAAAGTAATTTTAATTAGTTATAACCGTAAATTTAATATATCTGAAATTTAGAAATTGAAAAAAGTAAGATATTTCTATCATCTCTCATTACACAATACCTATGAAAATTGTTTCAGGTAACTGAATGCTGGTATCAGTATAGGAATTTGTAAAAGAATCGGTCAGATTTTCTACTACATTAGAATTTCCATCTGCATCATTGGCAACGAAATTAATAGTAAGTACCTTGTCATATCTCCTATTAATCGAGTCTATACTGACATTTAATTAGTATATGAGTACGTAAATTATATAATGTAAGAAATAGAATTTAATTATATCAGTTGCTATCATTAGCCTTACGCTGCTTGTCAATTATGGAGGTAAATAGAAAATATTTATATTTTATATGAGCTAACTAACTAACCAACATTTAATGTCTTGGTGGTAATCGTTTCACTGCTTTTATCCAGTAGATCAAAGCAAAATGTATTCAAGTTGTCAATAACTTGGCGTAAATGTTTCTGAAATGGAAGTGATACAGTGAAATATTTCATTAGTATTAGTTACATCCAATATCATACCTAGAACACTTTGATCTAATTTATTAGAAGTAATACTGGGCGGATATCTGCTATCGAATGTTTATATATCATTCATTTTAAACCATAATTCAGTATTTACAACAGTAACTACAAACTGTAGCGAAATTTCCAAATTATCTGATATCGTTAAGTTCCTATTTAATAAGCGTTATCTGCTACAGGTATCGATATATTAGACGCTAAGACATTGTAAGGGAAATACGAATATATTCGTTTTTATACGGTACATATTACGATTTATTCTGCAGATACACATTTTATAATTTGATCTATTGAAAATATCCAAGAAATCTGCCTTGAGCAAAAGCTACTTATTTGCCATATAGTTAGATCTGTATGAATTTTAAGCTAGACATTTTTAATTTAGTCTATACCACAAGTGAAACCGAGTAGAGTCTTTCTATATGCTCATTTGCTAATATTTTACAAGTTTTAACAGATTCAATATTCTGGACCGGATATGAAGTAAATTTCTAATCAGAAGTTGTATCAAGACTTAATCTCATTCCTTCGGTTTACGTTAACTACATCTTACTATGGCTGTTCGTTTCCAAGATTGAATATTGGACTCCGCTAGGATATTACTGGTGGTTTGAAAGAAATTCTAGAAAGAATAATTATAGTTGCATATATTAAATATAGAATTTAATATTATAGAATGATTGTATGTTCGATTACTTTGGATTACTGACTTAAAATGAGCTAGATAGAATTTAATGATTGTAATCACTTATAACTGCTATTGAGCAGAGTTTTCAAAGTTCTATAATGATAAAATTTCCGATATTTTTAATAATTGCTACAAAATGAACTAAAATAGGATTTTGACAGCTGAATATTATAATATTACATCTTCAATTAATGGTAGCTGAGCAGATGGTGTCCCATTCTTAATTCTTTTAATAGCAATATCCATAATAATATTACTCCGTATCAAGTTGCCAGGTTTGACGTTAGTTATACTCCCATTGTTCATTTGAGCTGTAATAATATTCAGTTGCCCTAATAAATTCATCGTTGTGGAAACGCCTGGCGGAGAGTTAGCTGACTATAAAAAGAAAGTTTTACCATGATAAAGGCATTAATTCGAAAGATAAATGATCATCTATTGAGATTCAAGAGCAAATATTATTAAATGAAGATAATTACCGCAAATACAGTATATAATACACCTTTCAAATATCAAATTTGTACAAGTTAAGCTTAATGATGTAGTAATAATTGATTTAAATCATAGTTTACAATCAAATAAAAAGAATTATACATACATGTATTAACTTTAACAAATATAAGTAGCACAGAGTTTGAATCAAATTTTCAAATGCCATTTCTTAGTAACTTGGAATATGGTGAATAATAGACAATATATTGAAAAATAATTTTAACGTTCTACATCTTTTGCATGGCTTCGTAAGTTAACTTGCCTGAAATTGCAACTTCCAAAATTCTGGAGACGCACAATTATCGATGTTAGCCTCTTGCCATATTCCGCTACTACTACAATAGCGGGTAGCTATCCCTAATGAAGAACAAAGCTGAAAATTTCGGTATGAATGATTATGAATTAAACTAATTTAAGCTGCCGATATAAAGGGAGGCATATCTCTATTCAAATTTGTATAGTAGCCGTTCCAATTGTAGAAACAGTCTGTAATAAATATCTCAGTTGCAAAGATTACTTCAGGATAGAGTATCTCATCATTTTATCTCGCGGAGACGCATAGTAGATAGAAAAATAATTTCACATTGGTATCTTTTGTTTATAATTCACGACGAAATGATGGATAAATACAAATTATAGCTATGAAATGTAGACTAAAAGACTGAAGATATTACAGGCTATTAGTCTAAAGTTTAAATTTATTAATTAACTTTAAGTTATATACAGTAGCATGTGAAACATTTAGGTTTATGAGAGAATTGATTAATCATATCAGTCTAAACCGTAAAGAACATGTAATTAAGCCACATAAAGGTAACCTATGATATATACCGTAGTATATAGGTGTTTTAAAATGTCAAAGCTATATAGAAAAAGGTTGGGTTAAAATCGTAGGGTAAAGAATTAATTTATCAAGATTACCTGTCAATCCAACAGCGCAATCTTTAGTATCCGTATATTCTGCTGGAGTAATACTCCATTGGATTCCATCAGATATATCTCCAGGACAAAACGTTACGTTAGATTCTAGCCATAGAAAGATTAAGCTTATCAATAAAATGGATAGTCATTCTTTATTTACTAATACTATGTCGACTATGCCCTATAGATTCAGTACCAATTTACATCGCAATCTCGCTCTTATAAATGATCTACGTTTTACATTATATTTGCATGAGTATTAATTTGCTATATCTATTTTATTCTAAGATTTAAGGAATTATAAAAACCAGCTAAAAAACAAGGGAATAATATTACTGCTAACCTCGGATTGTAATAAAGCTATCAGCATTACTGTCACCAGCAGAATTAGTGCCCGTACATTTAATATTAATTTTGACGACACCATTAACACTGTTAGTCCCTAATTCCAACCGCTCTATATCCTTTATAATCAGATTCGACTCTAATCCTTGCAAGTCTGTGTTAATGTTAATATTATCGTCTAGAAGATGAAAGGTTAGAACATTCTGCAATTTTAATATTCTAGACCTTGCTTTGTACAGCGCACATATAAATTACCAATGTAGAATCAATGATTAGCTTCTAAGTTTGTTTCGTTGTATAATTGAGTAATATAATTCAAAATTTATTTCTTGCGCTAAAGCATTAAAACTATATCAATTCTAACGGAATCTAAGTGAAATTTGAACTATTCTAGCTTCATTTGTAGATTATCGGTACGATTAGTGTTTTACATTTTTCTATCACTTACCATCAAGTAGCTCCTGAGAAGTACCAGTAAACCAAGCTATGGAAATTGGTAAAGGTATGTAATTGTTGAAATTGTATATGTCCATAGAATATAACGGTTTACATGTCATTGTAACTGATTTTTGACCACGTTCGATATTGATTGGTAATACTTGCAGTGATGGTATTAAAATAGGGATAACTTTCAATTCGACTACGCTGTCAAAGGATGAAGGCAGATGAGGACTTTTAAAATTTACTTCACATCTCATTACAGCATTCTGATCTATATTAATATTGCTAATATAAAATTCAGCTTGATTATGATTATTAGCCATTGAACAATTGCAATTAGTGCACGTATTATTGCATCCTTGAAAATTAATATTTTCATTGCGTAATATCCAATTGAAATTGACACCCGTCGTTTGCTCAGAAATGATGACTTGATTATAATGGATAAAGCATGTAGCTTTAACGGTGGACTTTTGTAAAATATCACAAGATGTTGTACTACAATTAATGCCTTCTGTATTCTCATCGAAGCTGATAGAAACGCTTGGCTCTAATAATATCCATATCATTGTCAACCATAAAAATAAAAAATATTATCTGATTAATACGGTAAAATATTTTCGCAGACTATTGGAATGATATATTGCAGTCTAACATTAAAATACTACGTTTAACTGTCATCATACCGTGGATAGTGATATTTGTATATCGCAATTGGCATTTGATTCCTTGGCATACTTTACAGAAATAAATTCCAGATTTATCGGCTGTAATATTATTTAGCTCATAAATACTTTGTTGATAATTTATTACTTCATTAATGTTATTTTTCTCGATACTCCAGGTATAAACGACTTGATTAGGATTCGCCTGAGCTTGACAGTTGATTCTATAACTGATATTATGACCTTGATATAGGACTACTTGATTGAGGAAATTGTCATTCATAAATTTTGGACCATCTATTTTAAAAAAAGATGGCAAAGATAATTTAGTATTTAATGAGAAGATCATTTATCTGATCAACTCCATATGATTTTATGTTAATGGCTCAACCAATATATTTTTGAACAAATTCCGCATAACAAGGTAAAGCACTATCATATCAAGTTATTTATAGAAAATAATACAAATTTCAAGGTTATTAATGATAAAAAGTAGTTACCTGAATCAACTGGATAACTACTTTTTCCTATATACCGTAGCATGCTAGTTATCGATTCTTTACTATGCTTATCACCTGTCAAAGCTACACAATCGACTTACACATTGTTTCCAGAGTAAAATTTTGACTTATTTCACCCATGTGATTTTTAGCGATACACGTATATTGCTTATTCCGATTTTCATAGGTTAATAAACCAATCCATACCACCTGATCAGTCTGATTACTAAGAACTCTGCCTTCGTTGTCATAAATAACAACATTGGGTGATGGATATCCATGTGCACAGCAACTGATATTAAATAATGTATTTTCTTCGCCTTTTAGTCGCGATTTACAATTTGTATTAATTCTTGGAGCTACATCTATCGTTTTTCATAAATAACAAACATTAAAACCTAATTTTTATTCTGACGCTATACATCGAATCAAACTGTGTTGCAGTCATTGCTAGTAATTTTACCGCATTTGATCTTTTCTTTAGTCAAATCCCTTAATTTTAAATGCGAATATTGCGAGGGCACAGCACAAACTGCATTATCAGCTAAACTAAGTCGATTTGCATCACCATTTGTCCAATTTAGTGAGCATGAACAATTAACAGGATTTCCTTGCAGTAATCTAAAAGTACAATTTATTAGAAGATGGCTATGCGTAGAAATTGATACTTGCATAAGTTTTAAAATATAAATGGAATTAAAATCATGATGGTTGATTAGGCTGTATACTGAAAAAAAATTCATCGATAATTAAATATAACTAATAAGCTAAGTGAAATAGAAATAATGTAAACGCTACTTACAGTTGCTTTAAAGATGGTAATTTAAATACATTTCTTGGAAAACCTTTTAATTTGTTAAAGGATAAATCTCTACGTAATCAAATCATCAAAGAATAATGTCGTCTTACAATTTAGTTGATTTTATACAGATTAATTAAAAAGTTCGGTGTTATCATAATTAGTATTTAAGATTTATAAGATATCGGCTTACAAATATTCTAAACGCTTAAATTTAGAAAATTGATCTTCCTTTAAATTATCGATGGAATTAAATTGAAGATACCTGTAAAACAAAGAATTAAGTCTAAGTAGGTGCCAACTTAATAGAGTATATCATCAACCTATACAAATACTTCAATTTTCATCAAGTATCGTAGTGGAAAACTAGCTAATACTTAAATTTATAATTAGATATGAAGATATTAGGAAGATTGGTGGTATATCATGACCACAGGGTGTTATTCAGCTAATACATTTGGTGCAAAACCATAGTAAAATTGCATTCTAGGAGCACTCAGTGGGGAATAATCGTGATTTCTTTTCAATAAGGAGGTTTCGGTATCTTAGTGAGCTATTTAAATTATTTTTTGGTGTAGTCGGCTATTAAGACAAGTTAAAGTGAAATATTGTCTAATTAAATTAGTTATCATCAGCTGATATTAACTGCTATCAAAATGGAGAAAATTGCAAAAATTAGCTATTTGCTGTCATTTTATTTAATAACTATTTTCATAGGGCAAAAGCTTGATCATCTATCATTACCGAGTCGTAATATCGATTATGAATTAGGATGAAAAGCACAGAACTTATTTATATTTAAGGAATAATAACTTTAAAATTAATTTATTGTTAAGTGATAGAGTACAAAACCCGTTTTTGGTTCTAACATAACAAGACGAAAAGCTATCTTCATGCAATATAATTACATGCAGTGTAAAAGTAATAAAAATTTAACGCATATTTACTTCAATTTATGAACGCGTCAATACATAACACCTGTCCATCCATAAAAATTATTACTTACAGTTGTTCAGTCTCTTGACTTAAATAATCAGGCACAGATCGAAGTGCTAAATTCTGACAAAATGCTTTAACTCCAATAACTGAACAATTATATTCGTTTGCTAAGGCACTATTTCCAGCTTGAATTATAGATAGGATTACAATTACGACGTAAATGCAGATGGAATAAAACATAGAGAGACAGCTTAGACTCTCCATATTCGCTGAAACTAAAGCAGTTAAGGGTAAAGGATTGTCAATTTATAAAAAAACGGTATACTGTGACTAAGATGATTAAAAATAGCTGACAAGTCAATACAGTTGCATCAATACCGTATGGTTCAAGAAGTGGGCGATGATGATTTGTCGACTATTCTATGCATGCAAGCTACAGTTGATTTTGGTGTGGCAAATACACGAAACATATGGACTACGATTGAACTGATTGCACACCTTATTCTAACTATCTGTAAAGCATAAAACTAGTGATATCATCATTACTTTGTTTTTATTTTTTAATCTTATTTTATCAAATAATAGAAGAATCAGATTTAAGCTTATTATCATTTTAATTGGTAATTGTATTAAAAATATACAACGAGTCATAATCAACCATCTAATATTTAGTTTATTGGTTATCTTTATCTAATTCTCCTTTAAATGATAGAATGACCAGTATCATCATTCACTTAATTCTGTTGGTCGATTGATCATCATTTGAGGCAATAATATAGTTCAATACTATGCACATATTACGAATATCTGTATTAAGGCTGATATCTAGCTAATTACAGACATCATTCTATCCTTTTTCAAGTGATATAATCAGCGACACGTATATTAGACAGCTTATTACATTATCTTAATTAAGCCTTATTTGATCAGATTAATGCTCGAATTGGATAGAAAATAATATGCAATAATTATAGTTCAATTAAAAGTGTATAACAAGACAGAGAGCTTAACCACTTCTAGAGTTTACTATTAATAAATGTAATTCCTCAAAAAATAATGTGAAATGATTCTGAAAATCGTATTCCTATGAATGTACTTTGATATAAATTATTATTGTGTGGTCATAATTTATGAAATAGATGGTGTGATAACTGTCGTACAGCACTGTACGCTATCCATAGTATCAGATATATTAATTAAAAATATATTGATATTTGATCCGATATCAATCATAAATGCTGAGCACTAGAATTAATATTCGTTATCGCAAATTGATAACCAATAACACGTGTTGACAATCGGTAATGATCATATTAAAATATTCTAATATTTAATTTTTCATCTTCACTGCAGTATACATTACCGTCAATGTCATCAAGAGCATGTATCTCATAGGGCATACGATTTTCCGTGAAGAAACTTTAGCATGCAAAAGCGACAATATCTGAGCTAACCACCGAGCATCCTTTTCTGGAAAGCCATAATGAATCTATAGTTACCGCATAGCTGTGCAAAGAAGCGATTTCGACCACTCGATCCCATGATCATATCTTGGAATTGAACCAACATAAGATGAACTATGGCTGTCATATTGGTTAATTGGTCATGTTTCCACATGCATTCCTAACCATGAACTGTATACCGATCATATTCATTAAATTCATTTGGAGTCATTTTACAAGCCATTATAGCAAAGGCTTTTAGTATTCAATTTCTTCAATTGACGTACATATACGAAATAGGATTAGGAAATCATTAATACAGAATATGCTACTTGTACAGTATTCATTCTTAAATCGACTACCTGTATTTAACCTCAATTACCTGCAGTAGCTATTTCCCGATGCTAGAAATGGCAATTTCTCTAGTAATTAGAGACTTTCGGATGGAAAATAATAATATTGCAGACTCTTATCTAAGGGCGGACCTTACGTCATTGCAGAGTTGAGGAACAACGTAAATAGGAACAGTATAATGCTAAAAGCAATATTTACTGTTGTGGCCTGTAATGTAGAATTTGGGCTGTAAAATATAGTATATTAAAATATAAAAGTATAGTCTTGTCTGGTACAGTATGCTATTTGCAGCCTAAGGGACTGTAGCAGAAGGGGTGGAAGGGGGAGGAGTCCCTATCTCAAATAGTCTAAATTAAACCATCTCCTTCTAAAATAAGACTTAGCCTTTCTTACAGGCTACTAGAAAGAAAACATTGGATTTTCTTTTCTATAGTAGTTTATGGCTTCTTCCCATCACTAAATTAACCCATCTCCTATCCAAAATGAAACTTAGCCTGTCTTACAGGCTGCTAGAAAGAAAACCTTGGATTCTCTTACTATAGTAGCCAATGGCTTCTTCCCATCTAATGAAGAAGAAAACTTGCTCTACATTTAGATTTGAGAGAGTTAAGCCTTGGACCAATAGCCGCTTTGCAAAAGGAAAAGCTACGAAAACTAATGAAACTCATTCTCTAGGTGAGCTGAAATTTAGAATTAAGTCATGGCCAAGCCATGATTCGTCAACTTTGTCTAATTTGTGAACTCGACAAATAGCAACTCCCTGGTAAGGACTATTTAGAAGAGTGAGAGACTGTCAACTGTTTATTTAAAATTTTTGCCGATCATTTGACTGTAGCGGATGACTAATAGACTATAACCATACACTATACTGTGAACAGTACAGTATACAGTTTTAGACGTATTGTAGAGATAAATTGACAAGCAAAAAGGTCGGCCTCTACATTTTAGCTATTGAATAGTGAGTGATTGGTCATGGACCCTCTCCTTCTTTTGGATCAGACATTGAGCAAGCATGCAGCTAGAAATATAGTATTGTAGTCTCGGTAAAATATTTCCCATTTAACAGACAGCAAACCTGATGAAAATGTCAAGTGGTTATTCAATAGACCTTAATAATTATTAATTAAATAGACGATAGGACAGAGTGCGAAAGTAGTTCAGGCACTGGAGCATAACCTAGAATACAGCATGGCAATCATCATGGAACAGTCTCATTTAATAGGTAGTAAATCATCTCCTGATCAAATTTCCAAGCGATCATTCCATTAGGATAAGGATGTTAGATCGTAAATACGGAACACTGAACGTAACTAGTTTAGCTACTCAAGCATAATCTAGATACAGTATTGCAACCATGATGGCCTGTTTCCCATTTAAAAGGAAATAAAGCACTTAAAAGATAAAATTGCTAAGTCGTCATTTAGCTTAAAAATCTCATAGTGCTCTATATTATAAGGTAGTGTAGCTTAGCTACTCAAAAATAGCTTACAAAATATATTATAATAATCACGGCATAGCGTTGCCTATTTAACGGGCAGCAAAAATGTCCTAACGAAATTATGGTCTAGTGATACCCTGTCAATAAATGCATTAAAAATAGTATGCCATATGGACGAGGGAAGGTGAGAGTAGCTCAGCTACTCCAGTATAGCTCAGAATATAGTGTTAAGACCATGATATAGCCCTATCTATTTAACAGGTAGCAAAGCATCTCATAAGGAAATAGGTAGGTAGTCATTTAATTAAAAGGTTAAGGATTTTTCATTTCGGACTCTGAGATTTAGCTCAAATCTCATCGATTCTATAATAACTTTCCTAATTAACAAGAATCAATAAATCTTACCACAACATAATAAAATTATGAAATAGTGGTTCAATTAAATAAAAATCTAAAGGATATTTTCATTGAAAAGTCTCTGGAAAGGCAATTATACCTCAGGTTTAATTAGCTTAATAATATAATTAATTTAAGTAATTCCCTATTTCATTTAAAAGTCAATGTTATTTCATGATAGATTCTGAGAAGATAGTTGTACCTCAGACTTGAATAATGTATTAAATAAAACAATAAAAGTTATTTCATGATAGATTCTACACCTAAGACTAGATAATTTTCCTCTACCTTCATGGGTTTGATTACTTGAATAAATTAATTATTATATTAATGCATCAAAAGTCATTTCACGATAGAATCTAAGAATTAATCACTTTAATAAAATAATTTACATTTCCTATACCACTAAAACATCAAAACTTGCTTTCGTAATAGATTACAAGGAAATAATTATGGCTAAGACCTGATACAATTTAATAGCATAATTTACGTTTTCTCTTCAATGACAATATCAAATGTTATTCGGATTATAAGTTCGAAAAAATCAATCGTATCTCAGGCTTGACTATCTTAACGACATTTTTTGCAATCATCAATAGCTATTGAAGTACTTCGTGTTGATATTATGAAATTTAACACTCAATTAAAACATTCATTGCTGTTTTATTATCGCACACTCCTAACTAGTTAAATGATAATTATCAGGCTTCTACTGAGCAATCAGTAAAGAATTTTATAATTTACGTATTATGAAATACTTTTTCAATAAAAACACTGACAAATTGCTATCACTAAATCAACATACGGCAGTCCCTGACAAAATAAACGGAACTTATAATTGACTGGCTATGCTGGTAGCTCGAGATCGCCTGTAAATTAATTTGCAGTCTTAATAACAACACTATTGCACAAATTTCTTAGCTGTACAATATAACAGTGATCTTAAAAGGACTTACGAATTGGATGATGCTATTCCGAAACGATTCATAACTACTGTAGAAATCATCCGTCGTATCTGCAATAAAGATTTTTTTGAACAGTTACTATCTAATTGTTTGCTCTAGATGCAGGTAAAATTATTTAATCTATATCTATCATCTGGTAACTAAAAATTATACTAAATGTTATATTCATTTAGTCAAAAATATAATTTACCTGACTATCCAAGACAATATGAAAAAGGAATATGAACAATCCCTATAAGTAATCATATTATAAGACTCGTCTTCATAACATTAGCAGATACTGATATAATCCAATTTTTATCATCAATAGAGAGTCTTAAATGAGGGCAATCATTTCCTTAAACGTAATCTATCTAACTCTATACCATACTTATCAAATTCAGGTAGATATGCACTCGTATAAATTCTAATACATGATACGTAATAAAATTCTATCTTGTACTTAGATAATTTCAATGAACAATGTTATTAATTTAACTGTACAAGTGATCAAGTAAGATAAACGAATATTCATAACTGTAATGATAAACTCTAGATTCTATATAGTAATAAAATTTTACTTGTAACTATAAGGAAACATAAACTAGGCTAATGAATCAGGAAACGAAATGTTTCACTTGATACCATTTATACATTAAAATAGATATTTTCACTTATAAATTAGACGTTACTCTTGCTTTAAAAATAGTTATAAGTCCCTTCGATAGCTTCACAGTAGATTAGCTACGGCAAGTATGTGATTTAATTTCCTTAGAAAGAACGCTGTAAATGGCTATTTTACCGGATGCATTGGGTCATTTACACGGATTGCTAGCATAGAATTTAATGGAGCTAGTCATCGATATTTTCATACTTTATATCTATTTACCTGAACTGCACTACATGCTGTAAACAAGTAGGCAAAGATGATGGTACTTCCATCAATAGCTAAAGGCCCAAATAGCCATGAAATGCCAAGCAAAGGCAGGAGGACAATAATAGCACGGAGAGTAGATCTAATCCAGAGTCAAACGTAAAAAAACTAGCTAGTGGCTCATTACTCAGTTACAGCAACAGCAAAGTAAGGCTCGTATTCATTCTAAAAATTTTGTATTTACTCATATTTCATAAAAATACTTCATTAATTATCTGTGCTAGTAATTTTCCATGTGTTTGAATGTAATTTCAGCGATATTTCTTAGTTAATATACGTATACATTAATATTCTTTTGTACAAGATTTATAATGATTATTCTATTACTTAGTTCGATTTTTTTCAGCTTTATTTGATTGGATATTAGGCCTGTTTAATAAAGTCTTGATAATTACTCCTAGTATAAAACAGTTCGTCTAATTCATAATAAAAAATCAAATGATTGTAATTATTAAAGTTATAGCGCAGAATGCTAAACCGTTAAGAGATTTAAATAAGCAATTACTAATAGTTCATAAACAAGTAGAAAAATTTAATATAGCTTTCATGATAACACAAAAAAAATGAAATAATTGCCACCATTCAAGCAAAGCCTTTTAAGGCACTTTTGTACGATTTATATGTAATAATTTCAAATAATAATCTTTACTTACCAATATAATTACAACTGTTGGAATAATGAATGCAAGAAGGGCATAGTTATCCGTTCTTAGCCAACAGCTTGAAGTATTTAGGATAGATAAAATGTAAAATTTTATAAAGGCGTTTAAAGTGGTATTAATGCAAGCTAAACTCTACATAACGAGACATTGAAAATACTTGTATCTAGCTGATATAGCTTGATGCTATTGATATTCCTGCTGATATTTGGTCTATACCTTTATAGCTAGTTGTAAGAGTACTGTCTATCTATTGATTCACTTACTATTCTTCCGTAAGATAGGCTTCTCCAGCTGTTGCTGCCAGAGTAACTCCAACAATGATCATAGGTATAGCTATAAAAGAAATTTTTATCAATTCAAAATACTTGTCTGCTACTACATAAAAATTGATACCGGGTTAAGTTACTGTATATACAAGTATTTAACCTAAACATGAAATTACAATCCACTTTAAACTAATGTTGAGAGGAAAAACGCGAACCAACAGTAAATAAAGCATAATTCCTTCTAGTAACATGGCCATGAAACTTGTTAGGGCAAAAAAATGAAGAATAGCACCAATAAAGCTACATAGAACCTGTCACGATTACGATGGGTGAACATTAATTAGGATTTATATCGTCAGTTTAATTCTTGACTACTGTTACAATAGTAAAAAAAATAGTAAGAACGAGTATTTAAAGTAATTCAACTGTATCGCACATCGCTATCTCCGAAATTCTGACGGCTAATTCCAACTAGTAGAATAATATGGACGAAAAACAGATTGATACTTAGAAGGACTCTAACTAGAGAGCGTTTCTGATTTTTCAAATCCCTATTGATCAAAGAATATTGCAATATAGATAACTGGTTAATAATTGATATTCTAATCAAATTGAGTTCGCTCTTCATTAAATCTTCCCATACTTTAATTTTCGCCATTCCTTATTATTTTAGCACTAGGTGATATTAATTGTGAATTAATTTTTCAATTTGACCTGTATAAGATTGCATAAACTAGCAATGTTATGGCCAATCCTATCGTCGATGCGATACTACCAATTTCGGAGATTGAATCTAGTATGAATTGCTGTCTTTCTGTAAGCTAAGATTATTAAAAACATGGAATCAATATTTTCTATAAGATTTGTTAGAATACGACGTAATATTGGCTTAAGTTGCGTTGCAAATGGATAACTATACTAAATGTACATTCTTCAGTATACTGTATAGCTTGCAAATACGAGCTCAGCCTAGATACTGTGTTACGAAATAGAAATAGATTAGATATTACTGTACCGTAGTTGATAAAGATATTACTTGACTTACGTTCGCGAATGACATCAGGATGGCAAAACTACTTAAATGATTGCACTGGCAAATAATATGACTCGAATTCTGAAAAGTTGACCAGCATCCTCGCGTAATTAAGACATAATCGCTAAGAAGAAATTAAAAAATATATCAGCGAATCTTAAAAATGAGCTGTATATTAAATGTAGCTTATCATTTTATAAAGTTTAGGCACCATTTGCATATCATATTTTATTTTAGGACTTTCTTTCCTGAAGCTACGACTACGGTTCAGAATAATATCGTCATCCATTACCGTAGAATATTTTGCAAAGCAGTAAAATATCGATCTATATATCTTTCTGGACGATAAAAATCGCAGCTGTAAATGTTTTTAGCGAATATAGCTACATTTTGTATTATGGGTTGTAAAGCAGTAAAAATATCTCGATAAGTACAGTGGTACTGTAAGGTGATATTGAGGATAACGGTAAGGATTAATTAATGTATAAATGCTATATAGATATTATACTAGACATTCAAAGCTAGGTAAGACTTAGCACAATATGTAACTATACTTAACTTTTCAGCTATATATTTTAATTAATCAAGCAGAATTGAATATGTAAAATTTCTAATGACCCATTCTTGGGTGAATTATCAAGTATTATTTAAATTATTGCTAGCTTACTAAAACCCCCCAAATAGTATCTTTTGCTAAACATTTCACTATCTCATTAATCCTTTTATTTAATTAAGGCACATATATTACTAAATTAAACATTGGTATTTATAGTATTAACAACATAATCAAAGCAAATATGGTTTAAATGCTAAAACTTACGATAATGAAGAACTTTCATCCCAAAAAGTACAATTCCATTGTCTTTTTTTGCTATCATTTACTGCATCCTAGGATAATATTAGAAATATTACTTTTAATCAATTTGCTAGGGCAAAGGTTGAAATTTGCTAGAAATGCGCGTGTAATATAATAATCAAACTTCAACAAAATCAATATCGAACATTGATTTCAATTACAATCTGAAAAATAAGTTCAATGGGTGGATCAAAGTGTGTATCGGTGGATAAGTTCGTTGATACCATCAATACGCTGGATGTTATATTAGGTTTTGCATTATTCCTAAGCAATAAGAAGAACTTCATACATAAAATATTTCAACTAAAGTTGACAAGATATTAACGATATAAGTTAAATTTAATGTAGCGATAGCTTTTTTAAGTTGCTATGTAAACTAAGATCTTTACCATAATTCATCAGTATTAAGAGACTTTTTAATAATGGAGCCCATACTACTATATCTTAATGCGACAATTTTTGTAGCTTTAACAAGACACATAAAAATTTAAAAATTGTAATAAGATTAGAATAAATTACTTTAATATTTAATTTCTAGTGCTAACCCAACTTTTAATGACTCATAACACGGAATTAATAAAATTAAATTTTCTTACTTTTGTTTGATAAGGTGATCGGCAAATTTACTTGATCGTTACCAAATGACAATGAATCTTTGGTTTTAGTGTTTAGTTTTAATTGACCCTCTTAGTAAGAGTTAATGTTGTAAAGTAGTAATTTCATAAATTGTGATTATCCAAAACGGTTTAATTGAACAAATAAAAGGAAATTGTGATCAATTATGAGCAATTTAAATGCATAGGTTTCTTAGAAATGTCGTACTATACGTACTTACCAATGTTTTCCTTATTTATTGAAATCTGATCGATGCTTTGCAAAATATTAAAAGAAAATTCTTCAATGACTTTATTCAGGTCTCTCAGGTGATCCTATAAACGAAATCAATTGATCATTTCATTCCTTCTTTACTATTTAAATATTATTAAGAGAAAGTAATAGTTAATCTTAGCTGTAATTATATCAGATAGTATCTAAATTTTATTAGTATTTTTTGGTTAAGACGTAATAAGAATGGAGAGCATTTATTTGAAATACTAAATTTCAACATTATGGTTTCAGTTGCAAATAGCTTGTCTTTGGATGAAACTATCAGCGTATTTATTTGTAGTGATGATTTATGTTTATTTTCAACGCAAGTGCAAAGACTATTGTGATAAAGTGATCTTCAAAACAATAAATCAAGAACTACAGTTTCTTGCAAATTTCACTTTATTACAGAAGTTAGGTTCGTCTAACTACCAAGGACTATCTGACTATCTGACAATCTACTTATTACAGCAAAATTCACGATTTATATACGATTAGTTACAGAATGCTTTTATTGTAACAAATCTTATCTTGCCCATTAAGTTGCAAGATCAGATCTAAATTTACTATCGCGCAATCTATTCATAAATCGCGCGTCTATTTAAAGCATTACAATACAATACTTACAGTACTAGCATACTTAGCGCAAATCTATTTATATCTCAGATCTTTATATAAACATCTTAATAGATTCGCTACAATACGTACTGTAAACGTCTTCTACAAATAGACTCTTACACAATCTTACACTCTAGCTTACAAGTTAAGTTATTCTCGTACAGTCTTATAATAGTAATCTAAGCTATATTTGGGGCTGCACTACAACTATTTATGTTTATTTATATAGTTAATGTGATTTCAAGCATATCTACCGATAGAATCATCTCAAGATCAATTGGGTGATTATATCAACCATTAAGTTACTAATTTGCTACTTACGCTAGATAATTGCGACCATGCCTGTAGATTGCTAGTATTAACAATATTACTTCCCGACTGAAAGTAATTCTAAGGAAATATTAAATAATCGATCAATGAATGAATCCATCTGTTAATCTCAATCATTATAGAAACAGAATTAATGATAGGGATTAAGATACACTGTTAAAGTCTAGTTTATCATACTCGTATTTTCTATATACAATATTTTATGTCCAGTAATTTCAATTGATAATATAATCAATCAGCTAAGTAAATACACTCTAATTCGATATTGCCAACTCTAAATAGCAGATTTCATTTTAAGATGATTCGCAAAGCTCGTACTTTTTGTTGAACTAATAGCAGATAGAGTAAATACTAATTATATTCGTAAGTACAAGCTAATAAATCGGTTAAAAATCAGCGAGTACAGGAATTGAACCTCAGTAATCATAAATGCCCGTTGCTTATTCATTGAATCTTTAACATGATTAACCAATGAAGACATGATCTGATTTGTTGTCGTTATGTCACCAGGAAGGATCGTATCTGAAGTATTTGTGACACCAGCCAGTGAAATAGTTATCTCTTCAGTGGATCGAGAATCATAAGTAAATTTTTCCGCCTGAAATGAAATAAAAACTATTAATTCAATGTAATCTTCTAGGTTTTAATCTATTTGACCCGGTAGTTTATTTCTTAATTAGAGCTAGTACGAGTTACTAGAAGCATCATCAAAACTAAATGGACGGATTAAACTAGCCTGGTTCTAGTATGATAGGTATTAAACCATAGCATTGTGTAAGAATCTTTATAGCTAACATTAAAATATAGTAACAATAGTCGTATATATTATATTAACACGTTAATATTTAGATATTTGAATGGCTATATTGAATGCTAGAACTATTTAAAATTAATTATAATACTCATTATTTTAATAAAAATAAATTAAATTTAAATATTGCTAACACTTCAAATAAGTATACGCATAATACAGCTTAACGCTATTTTATCAGTTAAGAATTTAAAACTTTATCTCATACCAGAAGTGTTGCAAGTATCTAGCGTATATTTTATATACTATATACATATGGCTATGATGTCCATTTTGTTATATGCTAAAATATATGTGCTTATCATCAACATTTATATGAGAAGACCTTACCAATACTTTAAGATCTAGAAATGCAGGATTAGTACAATTTAACAGATTCGGTGATTGCCATATCCCATTTTCATCACAAAAACGATAGATTCTCCCTAAAATGACAAAAATATGTATAATTCAGTTCCGTTAATGATGATGCCATTTTTGAAATGATCACTACATTAAGTTTTACGCATAGATGATACATATTATATTATATCATAGTACATTAAGAATTGTAATGTTTGCATTTATATTATTAGAATTTAAAGAAACAAATGTAATAATTCGAAAGAATCGCTATCAAATAATTAAGTCGTTCAAAATCTGGACTTACCAATAGTATCATTAACGCATTGGGTAATAGCTACATTATTACTGGCAGTTAAAGGCCATTCGATTCCAGAATTAACTTCTGATTGACACTTTGGGAAACTCTTATCTGTATAGGTAATTTTATATTGAAATAAAGCTGACGATCAATCTTTAAATTCGACCGTCTATTCGAAATGCTAATTCAAGAAAGAGTTAGCAAATATTTTTAAGATATGATTACATAAATGATTTAAATGCATGAATTAAATATGCATAAATATTTACCTATAATAATAATTTGTCCCTGAGCTTCTTTAGAATCAACTTGATTTCTTCCGCTGCAGATGATATTAATTTGATTTGTTTGCAGCTGTCTTGTACTCTTAAATCGCGAAATATTCTTTATTGTCATAGCTGATCTCAAGTTTAAGTCATCATTTTCAATGAAAATATTTTGATCTACAATGCATATAATCAAGTCCATGAAGTATGTTAATTAGATGATTCAGTACTGTAAAGACCATATCAGGTAAACAATGAAGCTTCCAGAAAACTGACTATTTAATACATCAAGATTAAGAAATTATGATTTACCGTCTTTAAATGGAATTCTTGTGTTATTGTCAGGCAAGTATTGATACCATGTAAAATAAATCGGTGTACCAATTCTAATATTCAGTGAGTTACGATCTGATAATCCATATAAAGCTTGACAGGTAAGATTAATGTAAATGTCGGTATTGAATGTAGTAACTGGCTGTAGTAGTAAATCAGGCATAAATAACGGAATGACTTTTAATACTGGCGACATAGCACTGACACTCAGTGACAGCATATCTGAGACGGCGGAGCACCGATAGTATCCCTCATATGAAATTGTCGCTCGATTAATAGTTAGGTAGGAAGTACTATCTTTTGAATTCGTCACTATTTGACAATCAGGACATGTTTCTGTTCCAAGTTCAATATTAAATGACCATTGGAAGGTAACATTTAACGGTATAGTTGAATTCAAAAAGCACTTAATGTTAACTTTGTCATTTTCGAGTGCAGAGCATTTACTGACCAAAATACCATTGGTTGGTGGGAATTCACATTGTAGAAAGGATGCAGGGGTAGGAATAAAAGAGACTTGAGGCTGTGAAGCTAGAATTATTCAATAGCATTTAAGGATTTGACGTATGCTATCAGAAAATATGAATTCCTAGTTAAAGGACTTAGTATCTGTCGCATTATTTGTATACGTTATTAGCTTACCAAAAACATGAATAGTAATATTACGACTTTGGCATCCAACAATATTACAGGCTTGACATTCATACGTACCATGATCGTCGTAGTTAATGTTCAGTACTGTATATTTACTAGTTCGCGCTAAAATGACTTTCTTATCCGACCGCCAAGACCAAATCGTATAATTAATATTAGATGGATTACTATTGGCGGTACAATCTATTAAATAACTTTGTCCGGCATTAATCTCAAAGATAAGGCTAGTGGGTGGTGGATGAACAAATATTGGACGATCTAACGAGGAAAATTTGCATATTAGTATCCATAAACATAACAACAAATATTAATTGCTGTTATTAATACTCATATCGAATTATTAATGAAACACAAGAGTGTACGAACTATTGTGATTTAGCTTATACTCACAAACAACATCGAGATATATATTCTTGCGAATGCTACCGACGTTATTTTCAGCAAAGCATGTGAATGAATTATTTTGGTCAAATAATTTAACGGTATGCACTACAGCTGCTTCTTGTAACTGGTCACTAATGATTAGCAAGTTACGATAGTAAATAGATATTGCAGGCGGTGGATTACCATACGCACTACAATAAATAGTAACATTATGATCCACTAGTTGAGTTATTATATTTTTTGATTCGTTAAATTTAGGAGGAATAGCTAAAGGAAAGGGATAAAGTAACACATTATTTGAGCCTTTAGAGTTTTTCAATTTCTGTATTGAAGTACTCGAAATCAACATACAAAATCGATGGAATTTTGATTGAACTTACGACAGCCAATAGAAAACTTGCTAAAATTAACTATTGCAACTTGTTTTCCATGGATTTTGTTCGAACAATATAACAGATCAATTGGCTTGATAAAACGATTCCATGTACTAGTCCAATTGAGTTGGCAATCACACACAACTGGGTTACTTTTTAGTCCTCTATGTACAATTAGTACAATACTGTTATTTATTATGACCAAACACTATAATTAGATTACAACATGACGCATTAGAAGTATAAAGTTTTACTTTACTGAATGTGATTGATTTAATTCTATTTGTGCATTTAACCATATTTTTAATATCATATGAGACATATTTTCTACAAATAGATAATATCTAGCGTGCTATAAGAATTTAAACTAAATTAAATGGTCTAGTAGTCTTACAATCGTGTCAACTTTGGCAAATCGAATACTGCTTGCGGAAAATTAACCAGTTTATTATAAGAAAGATCCCTTAAATAGTTTAATGAATGGTTGAATTTTAGAAATGCAATCTTGAGAAAGTATTTCAGTAAATTTTTCGAAATGCTTTAGTAATAGTTATCGCTCTTACAAGTCCTCAAGTTTCGTAAAATTATCAAATTGCCCATTTTCTAACCTAGCAATCTCATTATATTGTAATTGCCTATGAGAAAGAGATAAATAAATCACCGAATCTTCTTCTAGCTAGGTATAACCTAGATTTTCTACATGACACAATTTTATTTATATTACATTCCGCTAAAATATACATAATAGATCATATTTGATTAGATTAAGTCAGATAATTAATTTTTAATCCGCATTATATGCTTTTTATCGTTTTTTATCTATCTGGTAGTACTATTAAGTTAATTTTACGACGTATTAGTTGTTAAAATAGAAGAGCACACAAAATCTGCAATATCGTAACGGATAAGTGTAGGAATTCAAGAATCAGAAATATCTATTTAGAATGTAAATCTTTCAGTTGATTATACTACGATTTTGTGAGTAGTAGCTAGTATCTTTATGTATCATACTTCAGTTACATTTCATAATATTAAAGTAACTTACAAGACTGCAATATCAACAGGAAGATTATCAGGAAACTTCTTTAAGCCGTGTGATCCGCAATATGCACTCTTTTTCATATAACTATAATAGATATAACATGGAGATTGACCAAGACAAAGTACTATCAAAGGCGTGATTAGTAAAGCCAATTTAATGAATAGCGATGACCGTGCTTGGACATTACTATATTGATGAAGCATCTTTTTCACTGTAATCCTCTCTTGCTGCAAATAAATTAAAATGAGCAACTTATCTGTCCGTACCTCAGCTTGACGATGTAAAACTAAATGATATGATCAAGTAGATATTGTTGATGTAATCGTGAAGAGTACTAATGTGATCTCTAAAGGTAGCCCATTCAACAAATACAATCTTTTTATTACGTCATTAAAACAATGATTGCTTTTAATTAATCCAGATGGTATCAGTGTAGGAAACATATTTTCATAGATAAAATGGTATGGTATCAACCTGGATTAATTAGTAAAACTTTGGGTTAGATCAGATTAAGTTAGATAAATTGTTAGACTTACAGTAAATTGCAGGCAGACAATAGGTCCTATTATATCATCCATCAGTTACGTCAAATAAGTATTTGAATGTTGTTTTCAGCTTTATTGTATTGATGATTTACCTGGTCTATCTGAAATACACGCATAGCTGATTCTACAGCGTTGTTCTACATCACTATTCTAAATCGACTCTACATCATAACTGATTTTATGTACTGTGGCAACCACTATTTCTGATCAGGATTACTGCAAGCATAGTAATATTGTACAAATTATTACATTAGATTGTAAACTCGGTAATGGAAATTATTTTAATATTATAATTTGATACTTTCTGGACTGAGATTATTTTACTGCACAGTATTTAAATAACTATCAAATTCTTAGTTTGTTTTTTCATGTAGCACTCAATATTTTCATAGCTACATTTGCATATATTAATTAACTAATAGCTGATCATTGCTGGAACTGAACATAGCAGATAGTAATATTCTATAACAGTCGTAATGATTTCTATATCTAGTAGACCGTAGTTGCTACGCGTGCTATACAGGTCTATTCCAAATTTTAAGGAATAAATTGATTAAAGATGAGTATTGCTGGTACTTGAAAATATAACAGAGTTGAGCGTAGATTATTACGGTGCAAAGTAGTTGATAACTAATAAAAATTCCAGTTTAAAATTGATTGTTAAACTAGCTATATCCGGATAGCATTCTATACGAAAGATCTACACGGTCATTCAGTAACAACCTTTAATAGTAATATTGTTGTGTGGAATGATCGTGCCATTATAGAATGCGGCGTCCTCATGCCGTAGTCCATGCTTACAAAGCTAAATATCCCGAAATGATACTGTTATGCATTTGGCAGTTAATGTAGTGTACTATCAATATTGCACAGTATAATAGTAGTATTATGTTAATTACGCCATGCTTTGGTCTACTTAGATGCAGCCACTTTTTAACTTGACCTATCTTCCTAGTTTAGCCGTTGTGTAAAGAAGATTTAATACTGTACTGTCAAAGCTAAACGACAAGACTGGTTATATAAGTCTAATGGAAATCTACCGATCCAAATTTACTTTCTCATTGAGTAACCGCAAGCTCTTAAGAGGTACTATCAGAGCTGGCCGTAGTTTTAATTTCTTTCGTTCTATGCGCGATAAAATCAAAAACAAAACATTAAGACGGAAGAGATAGCAGATCAAAAAACCCATATGTTTTCGAAGGCCTCCGCTATGTTGAAAAAAAAAAATTACAAATAAACATTACTGAATGCTACTAATAAAAGTTATTAAAACTCTTAAACCTTGTATTCAAGGAATACTAAACTTTTAAACCAGAAATAGCCGCTTATAGGGGTACATGTAGGGGATTCATTAATCCAATTGCAACGCAAATGATTGTTATATCACAACATTACTATTACAGTCTAAATCGGTCTGACTAGAATAATCCCTAAAAGGCGAATACTGTATATAAGAGTACATGTTTAAAATTCATTCCCCAATATATATATATATATATATACTGTACATTCCTACAAATACTTTTTTGTTGGACAGGCTAAAGGTATTTTCTATTGTATTCATTCATTTTACGATGTACTAGGTAGTGTCTGAATTGATTAGAATACAGTCTGATAAGCAATAGAAGGTATAATGTCAAAGGCTATACTATTCAGAATTTCAAAAACTCTTTCCGACTTTATGATGCCAACGTGCCACAGGCTTGATGCCTGGGCTAGTGTCGCCATGTAATTTATATAGCACAGTACAAAGGGTAAAGGCGTCGCGGTCATGGATCATTCACATGCTAACCTCAAATTTAATTTACAATATTCGTACAGGATCGATTTTAGATTTTACGATATTGCATGCAGCACTCAGAGCTACTCGAGAGACCCCACAGAGAATGAAATACTGAATGATGTGTTAATTTGCTTACAGTTCACGGGGCACTTTCAAAGTATTAATAGAGTACAGTACAGCATGTTGAAAAGGGATACTCTTCAATAGCGTAGACTACATCCACTGTGGATTAACTTGCGTTACAGCATTGTACAAGAACTTTACATGGATGTTGTTGTTCTTCTTATTCTTATTATTGCTACTATCATAATACATGCAGAAATACAGTATATTCTTTTTTGAATTCTTTTGGAGTCGACATATTATTATTATTATTGTTAATTGAGTCACGGACAGATAAACTCCTACTGTGCTGCATTTTCCTTTAATAAAGTACGTGGTATCCAGTTTAATTTCCTCAAACTGTATACATTTATTTTTCATCCCTAGGCAGATCGTCAGCATGTTAATCCATGGACGGTACTGGATCTTGCTTGGCTTTGAAAGAAAGAAAAGTAGTTTATTATGGTATTGGTATCAGGTCCAAAGGACTACAATAGTGTCCCACCAGCAGGCGAACCTCTATTGATTATTTGTGGTTTGATCATGATGTGCTGTATTGACTATCAATGTACTGGACGTGTCTATCACTATCGGCCCACTATTGACAACACTTCGATATACACTATGTAACAAGAAAAGCAAGATTGTAAATTTAGATAGCACGGAGGAAGAAGATGTCTACCAGAAAATAGTTATGTTGTCAGTATTGACAACACTTCGATATACACTATGTAACAAGAAAAGCAAGATTGCAAATTTAGATAGCACGGAGGAAGAAGATGTCTACCAGAAAATAGTAGTGTTAGTGTTGTCAGAATTGACAACACTTCGATATACACTATGTAACAAGAAAAGCAAGATTGCAAATTTAGATAGCACGGAGGAAGAAGATGTCTACCAGAAAATAGTAGTGTTAGTGTTGTCAGAATTGACAACACTTCGATATACACTATGTAACAAGAAAAGCAAGATTGCAAATTTAGATAGTATGGAGGCAGAAGATGTCTACCAGAAAATAGTAGTTTTTGTCAGAATTGACAACACTTCGATATACACTATGAAACAAGAAAAGCAAGATTGCAAATTTAGATAGCATGGAGGCAGAAGATGTCTACCAGAAAATAGTTATGTTGTCAGTTGTCAGTGTTGTGCAGTCAACAGAGAATTTCGGTAAGGGGGAACGAGTTTTATCTTAGTAGTTTGTGCTAGCGTGTGAAACGCTCGCTCAATGCTTCATCTGCATGCAGCAGTAGAGAATAGAGAAGTGGCTGTGCAGCATTGCGTACAGTACTGTACAGTATATTCTGTACTGTACACTGTGACTGGATCACAGTATTAGTAGTGTACTGTACGCATTGTACTGTACGCATTGTACTGTACGCATTGTACTGTACGCATTGTACTGTCCAGTACAGTACTGTACAGTAGTACTGTACTGTACATTTTCATCATCTGCCAACTACAGCACTGTACAGTACAGTACTGTACACTGTACAGTAGTTGTTGGCAGACGACCCTACAGTACTCAGTACTGTAGGGTGCAGGTGTCGTGATGATGAAAAACAAAACAATTCTTCTTCTACGGTACCGTACGGATACCATTACAATCGGTACACACATACATACTGTACTGTACAGTGTACACATGTACTGTACTCGGAAAACCATAGACTGTAGCTGTACAAGTTGTATGAGTGCAGTATGCAATACGATGCATGCGAGTAAAGTAAAAAGTATAGAAAAATATCTGTATAAAGGCCCACTTTCAGTCTGATTGCCAGTGAAGCGCTATGAACTTGACGACTTTGAGTACAGTCCTGCACCTGTAATTTGTAGTTGGCCTACAGTACACTCTACAGTATATTGTATTCAGCGTTTTGAAGTTTTTCCACACGACCGTACAGTGTACAGTACCGTACTGTACTAGGCTGTACTGTACACTGTACAGTATTCCTTGACAGTACAGTACAATACTGTACAGTACAAGCATGTCACACGTCACAGCCATGGATTGTGTACGTACAGTACAGTACAGCAGCTAGTTTTGCCACCAAGATGGTACGTAAACATGACAGTCAGTTGTATCCATTTGATAGGAAGAAGATCTCGCCACGGAAGTGGAAGGAGAATCGCGCGCTTGCATTTTAACTTGCTCTTGTTTTCCATCGGTAGATTTCAAGTAGTGGTCGAGCGGTCGTCGTCGCTTGACTGACTAGTGTGCTACGGTGTTGATAGTAGTGTGTAGAAACCAGTCGGTTAGGCAGCACTCTTTAATCTACTCATCCTGTAGACTCAAAACGGCAAACGTTGTGGGCAATTTTGACACCAATTTTTTAGTTGATGTCGGTAATCAAGGAATGGGAAGGAAGAAGAAAGTCCACGGTAATTATCCAATACATCAATTTATCAGCAAAGATTTCTTTCTAACTTTCAATATTATTCTAGCTCTAGTCTATTATCATTTTTTTGCCTGTCTTCACTTTCTAGCGCCTTTTGTAGTTTGATGTGTACGATATGCTACGTAAGACAATGGAATAGCTTTCTCTCTTGTCTATAGTACTTCAATTCAAAATACAGTATATTACTCAACTATGGCTAATACGAATAGTAGTGGAAATAGATAGATCCATTTCATGTTGGCTTCATCGATAGCCTTGGATGGCTTTCTTTCTCTTTCGATATGCTTTGCAATCTACCTCAATCAATCGGATTGCAAAGAGTCCATTGACACTGGATGGAAAATCATATCTAATTCCATCTTTTGTAACTACTTTGTTGAAAAGAAAATGAATCTTGGATCAAAATGATACCTCGGACGCTTGGCGTAGTACGACCATAGTACAAGCATGGCTAGTAAATTGACAGCATTAGCTTTCATCATGCTAGTCAAGTTACATTCATTTCCATTCTAGCTCATCCATACATGATCATGTACAACACCAAAAGCGGTAGAAATGACCGACGAATAGTCATAGCCAATTCAATAATGTACTGTTTGGTACTAAATTGTTGGACATCTTTCTTATTTTCCTATTGTTGATTCTAGTAACTTTCCTTTTCTATACAATCTCAGATGACTTTTGTCTCAGTTGTAATAACTAAAAAATTGCTTTTTTATTCCATGACTGATTGGCTTGAAAGAGTACTGATGAGAAACAGTTTATGCCATCATGCGGTTAAAATCTCTCATTTTCAATTTTTTTTTTTCCTCACTTTTTTTTCCTTTCTCCCACTCTTGTCGTAGCTGACTGCAATAATGCTAGCGATAAACAAGAAAATCCGTTGGAACTCGTTTTCGTCGCTCAATACATGCGCTTAAATCAAGAAAAGTATAAATTTCAACCAGTAACTCCAACTGTAAGTCATTTAAAGTTTTTGTGTCTGTTCTTTTTTTGAAGAGAGAGGGGGGGGGGGGGGGGAGATTGAAATCGTCGACACGGTTAAATGAATTATGGTACGCAACAACTGAGCTAATGATAGTGTGTTATTGTCCATGAAAGATTCGCATGTTGTAAAAAAACGTTTATACAATTTACATTCAGACAGTTGTAGTTTTCAGTGCTAATTCAATGCCCGATAATCAGACAGTAATGTATCATAGTTTACGATATCGCCCACATACGTTACAACTATTAACTTCTTCCACTTCTAACCTTGTAATTGTTTCATAGCTTAAAGTAGGATAACATTCTAAAATTTGGTGTTAATCGATATTAAAATAGTTCAAACTTATTATCTCTGGAGTGCTACATTAATGTAAAGATGTTAATTTATAACATCAATACTATCGTTGACCTGAATTTTGGGCAGTATCAACTGTAAAGGCATCACGGAAACGATGCAAAATACTCAGTAATAGTTCCAAACTTATTCAAAGCCATTTTATCCATGTTGACAAATCTGTTGCAATACCACTAGAACTTTTCATTAACACTTTTGACTACTGTCCTGAGTGTCTTCTCTTATGTAGTCGAAAAGTGTTGCCTTCAATCGATGATATTATGCTGCTATCGAAATGATCGCATCCTGTTGGATACAATACTACAACTATTGCTATATCGGTATACTCCTGTTGATAATCTATGCCGTTTATGCTGCTTTTGTTGCCCTAATTCATGACTGTACCATGTGTTTATTAACTTGTATATACAGTACTTACCTACAAAGTAGTACTACTCTACATGAGAAAGAAAAAACTGAATCCTCTCTATCGTCATGTTTTTACATCTGATAAGGATAAAGTCAATTCAACTATTACTGCTACGTCCCTTTTTTTGCTCAATATTATTATTATAAGTGTTGTAAAACATGTTTATCCGTTCCATTTTGATAGGAATTGCTGCATGCCTTGTCGCTGTCGGATAGTTCGGTTATAATTGACACTATTGTCAAACTACTAGGAAGTATTTCTGCCCGCGACCGCGAGACAATGTAAGAATAGATAATTAAGATATAACTTTTGTCGTTAATTTCAACATATTATGAAAATAGCCAGCTTCTGATTTTCACCATAACATGTCACATCTTGAATGTATTAATCTACAACGATATATCATCAGGATTGAATAACGAAACGCAGATTAGCTACGACTTAATTGAATAGTTAAAATCAATGTTATACTTATTGAACTAGTATTGTCCAGCTCAATTTTGTTACTACATATGTGATCTTTGATTGAAACACTTCAATGACCAAAAATGTGCTCAACTTACGATATTGTTAATACGCATATCAGTCCATTTTCAACCGTTATGTGCAATGTGTAGTTCCCTTATCGTAGATCTAGTTTAAGATTGGATTTAAGAATCATGATGCACAGTATAATCTTTCTTGAGCCATTTTAATGTACAGTATACTGTACAGTACTGTACACTTTCTTGGCATCAAACGACAGGCTCTACTGGACTCTGACGTTTACTGTAGAGCGTAGACGATTTAGCCCTAACATCAAATAGTACATAAGCAAGTGTAATCCTTTTGGCTTATCACTTATGTTAATCCGTTGGTAGAAAACGTTGAAGCAAAGTGTAGCAATATAGGCGAACGAGTAATTTTATCCTTGTATATAACTTAGTAAATCATCATGGCAGTCAGATTTATCTGAAGTGCTTGAAGAGCAAACTCACCTTGGAAACTTATTGAAAGAGAAAAATTTTCAGCAATTGAAAGCTAACGACAGAGTAAGTGATACATTGTAAATTATTTTCCAACTAAATATTCTGAAAGCATTTCATTGCTTTTTGTTTCTTTTTCACGTCCCAATTTTTTTTTTTCCCCCCTTAATACCGATGGCTTATTTCTCTATCCTGTCTAGTTCTTAATCCTACTGTATAATTTTTTAATTTTCTTCTGTATCTGTTAACACTTGCTTTCTTATTTTGTCATGCAAACCCTATCTTTTGTCTCGTCAATAGACCACCACTGTTTACCTAGTAATCTACTGTCTTGTCGTCGAGTTTACAAACATAGTAGTATGTTAATGTAAAACAGTCGAAATTGAGAATGCCTAAGATTGTTGCTCAAGTTATTCCATTTCTAGCAGCAGTCAAAGTAGAAAAGTGCGATCTACTACATCAATAGCACAATGTTACTGAACTTATTTGACTATGGAATCATGATGAGTTGTTCATGTAAAACTGCTTGGAAATCCTTTCAGCTTTACCAGCAGTATCATTTGTCCTATGTATTTCCCATCTATCTCGACTCTAGCATAATCTTGCTGTTCTCAAGTTTAATGAATATCAACACTATCCTATGCAGTTATTATGAGCTAGCGTATTATCATTCATTGTCTAGTAGTCATTAGAAGAAAAAATTCAAACTAAAAATGTCGGAAAAATTTTCTTTCTCCATCGTCTCGTCCTCACTTGTCATGATTGCAACATGTACTATAACTATGATGAACAGCGGGACACTAGTACCGTATAGATTGTACCCTGATGTATGGTAATATCCAGTATAGCACTTTATTGTCACGGTCGGTCAACCTCCGGATGGTAGGACAGACAGGACTAGACAATGTGCTCGTGACCAATTCTGCTGAACTATCATACTACGGAAAATACCGATAATGCCTAGTATTTTCTATACAGTAGTATAAAACGTAAGCCATCGTACGCCACCACCATGACACCAAATGCAGACAGTCTCAATGTCTGGCCTCTAGCGGTCTACTCAAGTACGCGGGGAATTTCATGTTTTGCTCATGCTCAGCGTGATATTAAAGGAGGGAAAAAAGGATCTTGATGACTACTGAAGAAATAGATGGGCTGCCTGTGATTATTTTATTATGAATAAATTAACTCCACAATATTATTAAGTCAACATTAAGGTAATTTTAGACAATTTCAATAGCTACAAGTTAAAAGAACATCTAATACTGAACGTTTCCACTTATAACGTAGAGTACAAAATAGCACGATTTATCTTGAATTGCATTTTTGTACTAGTATTGAACAGTCTTCATCGATCGAGTTGCTATGGAGTAGAAAGGTATATACAGTAGCTGGCAGGACAATATTTTAACTGATTTGTACAATACGATACTTATAGGCTATGTAATATTGAAATACGATCAACTGATGGCGTCTAGAATTACATCAGTGTGTGTGTGTACTTTCTGTTTGTATTGTCTTTAGTAGTCTTAAGCTTCCTGAGCAAACTACTCCACCAATTTTCGTTACAAATTGGATGTATAGAATTTAACTTTTGCATAAACATAACTGCAAATGGATCGCTTTTCATTGATTATCTACAATCTTAAATCAAGTTGTTGTCGATAAAGACAGTCATAAATGGCTCGTCAATTAAAATTTTGTGGATAGATGGACTAACTTTACTGTCAATAACGTCTACGGCGAAATGAGGATAGTACTGTACAGCATTGATTTTGTACACATAATTTGTTCATCCTACGTTTATAGAAAATCTGACAACGATAAATGAAAATCCTATTCATGTCCATTTGATTCCAGCATAAAATGCACGATTTGTAGAAAAATTGAGGAAATTTCTTAAATAGACAGACTATTGATGGTATTAATAATATTTATTACACTTTTCTCGTAGTCATCATCAATAATTTGCATGTTGTATTGCGTTATTGATATGCAACTTGGATTACTACAGTACACAAATGACAATTCATTTATATTAGAATTATCAGTAACCAATCTTGTAAATATACAACGAATCACTTACACACTTATAGTATACTCCACGTGGCTGTTATAGAATAATATATTATTACTATTATTATTATGTAATTATTGTTTGCTCTACGCTAGCTAGTTTATCATTTCCAAATTTTGGATACTTCTTTCGAACTTAAAAAAATCCTATTACTGTTTACCAGTTGTCTGTACTTGAATTGCTCATATGGTTGAATATAGAAGCGAAATCGGAAGACTTGCATCAATTTGCAATTGATAAAACGAACGGTGTTGCTGTAAGTTATCATTTATGTCAATTGTTTGGGTGAAAGAAGGAAAGATATCTTTACCTAGTATCTCTACTTTCTTCCTGTAATGATAGTAAATAATTTAAATTCGATTATTGAAACAAGGAATCGAGCAATGTATAACATCAAAATTTTTATAATTGATTGTAAATTAAGAGGGTCCAACCTGTTGGCCATGATTCGTCCGATAATAGTTATTGGTATTTAGGAGGTAAGTCATTAATATGATTGAAACAACTAGACATAAGCTTAATGTAGTACTTATAACGGTAATTGATATCCTCTGACGTCTTGTGTACCATGTTGAGATGTTTATTATCTTTCTTAATATTTTATTAATGCATTACCTGTATAATGTACTGCAAGAAATGTCAAATCCTAAAATCCATTACTCTACTGTACTTTTACAAATTACTTATTAACGTTTCTATCAAGATTATTTTTGAAAGATTTTAAGAATTAACGTATCACCTTTGATTTATTAACCATGTTAGGGAGTAAAGTCTTTAAACAATCAGCTTCTAAAAGAAGTCGTAATAAGTAAGATGTCAATTTATATTATAACATCTTAGTAATTGATATTACCATTAAAGTTTCTTATTGGATTATATAGATGGGAAGTGATTTGTGCTACTATTGACGACTGGAAATCAACATCGAAGTAATGCTATCTCCAGTTTTCATAACCTATTTCATTTATAAAGTACAATATCTTCTCTACTACTAGTATTAACAACATGTTTCCATTCTAATAGAAAATTTTGTCGACATTCTGGAGAGAAAGAAAAAAACCTAGGTCAAGCTATGAGTACTTTAATTCCTAAAGTTACAAAAATTCTAGAGGTAAAACCACTGGTACTATCAAGTAGATGCTTTATCTAACCTTTTTAATCGTTTTATTTTTTGTTTATGATATAGAGTCGAAAAAAAAGGATAGCAATTTCAACATCAAAGCCAAATAAAGCTAAGATGACGCGAGTAAGTTCTAGCTTTTATTGCAGTTATCTTAATTTATTTAAAGAAGAACTGTTATGCTAAAAAGCCATAGCCTAATGGGTCGCTATAGAATACTATGTTGATATAGTTCAAATCTGGAGCCCTTTGAGTTGTCAAATCCGTTATCGTCATCAGTAACATTTTTTGTCATCATATTCACTCTAGGAACGAAATAAAAACGCTGATACGCAAGAAAATGCAAAAGTTAGTTAAAGCTATCTCTTGAAAATAATTTAAGCCTAATTTCACTATTTTGTTACTATTTTCCATAATCCATATAGTTATCGTCTGTTTATTTACTCATAGTAAACTTATATATATGACAGCATCTGTATAATTGTCAAATAGTAAATGAATAATTCCTATATACGTATGATTGATTATGCTTTTAATTGTTTATTCATTTCTCCTTTATTATAGAAATCAGAGAATGTACACCAACCTCAAAAGAAGGCAAAAAAAGTATATAACAATTTATCACTCTAACTGTATTAACATGATAGTTAAAAGTATCTAATTGCAATTACATTCTAATAGGGAAAAGCTGTCAAATTAGTAAAAGAAGAAGATATTGAGAAGCAGGAATCGACAGACGATAATGTAAACAATCTTAAAATGAAGTATTAGCTGAAAGAAAATCGGATCATATTTGATGGATTACTTTGTTGTACCTATAGGAATTTTCCGTTCCCGAAGATCTTTTATTTGATGCATCTCGTAGGAAACGTAAATGTGTCTTACAAAAGCAAAAGCAGAGTAAGGTTTGGTGGGATGAATTGTCAGATAGTGGAGAAGTATCCGCTAGTAGTGAAGGTATATTGTCATCAATTTCTTTTATGTAGCAAATGTTTACTAGGTACTTTTAGGAAATATCAGAAATAATAGCATGTAGTACTTTCTATTCCTGGAGATTGATTTTACGAATATTTTGTAGAAGCCTCTGACAGTGAGGGTGAAAAAAAGTCAAAACGAAAAAAAAATAAAAAGAAAGAGAATGATGTATTTGTTGAAGATACCGACAAGGCTTACATTTTCACTTCTAGTATTGCTAATGATGCTGCTGAAGCCGTCGATGAAGGACTATTTGATAGCATCATACATTATCATCACGTAAAACACGGTCAGCCAAAGACTAACACTTCTATATCAACCGCTAATCAGATTCCATCTACTAGCCAAGCTAATTCTAATAGTCAAAATCATGGACACGATCGTTCAACAACAAAAACGTCGTATAATCCAAACAGCTCAAGTCATAGAGGAATAATTGGTATTAAGATTATTTTAATTTTATTTTATTTTAACCTAAATCATTAAGTAGTGTGATATTGATAATACAACATAGATGTGGTAATTTATAAAAGTCATACACGTAAATATTGAAATTTTTTACTTTCAATTCAGATGAGTATCAATGGCATCCATATCACTCTGCTCAACAACAACAAAATACTGTACATCAACAACAGCCAATGGTCATGCATGGACCAATGGAGGACATGATGCTTGGCTATGGAATGTATCCTCATCAAACGACAAATCCCAATGACATTTATCAACGCCCATCGTACCAACCGGCTTCGATGTATCAACCACAAATAGGTGAATGGAGTCACCAAGGCCAGTTGGCTTCACAAAATGCACCGATACAAAAAATGTTGCATGGTGTAAATTATCCTGCATCTCAGCAGCGTATACCTCAAATGATGCCTACTCAACAGCAAACGTCGCATTATTTAGGTAGTAATGAACAAGGGGGACCTTTACCTGGACTTTTATATTCTACACATTCACCTCTGCATCGTCCTGCCGAACAGATATTATCTCGGGACCCTACGAAAGCTACAGGTACAGCATCAACAACACCTGACAATAGCGCAACCGGAAGTCAAACGACGAGTGGAGTACAAGACAGCCCTAATATCGTCCCAACTACTACAGATTCTCAATATTACCCAACACAAGGTATAAATCAACAGCCTGTTGGAAATAGGCTTTCGCAAAGTCAGCAATGGCAAGCCTATCCGATGTACATGCCCCAAGATCAATGGCAACATTACCAACATACACAAATAGGAGGTATGCCTGGCATGCCTTCAGCAGGTTTTGAATATCCTGTTAATCCATCTCAATTCTCAACTACTGCTAATGATCCTAGTATGCCGTCAATTCCTAATTCTAATGCTCATCCTAATAAATATGCTCAAGCTATTGATAAGGATCGACATCGTTCTGCGCAGCCGTTTTCGGTTGAAGGATTTCTATCGACTAAAGATGGTAGTTACCAACAGTCATCTGCTGTTGGCCAAAATCAGCTAGCACCATCAACCTTTCATTCTCAATCTGCAACCACAACTAATACATCTTCGTCTTATCCATACCATTTGCAATATCAGTCCGGATATGGAAACAATCCCAATTTTTATCAACATTTATCGAAAGAGCCGAGCGGTAATTTTACTAATGCTTCATCTATGGCACCTAATAATAACTATTCTTCTTTACCAGAGGTTGCTCTGCCAAAAGAAAATAACACTATGTAAAGGGAGCATCATAAGGGACTACTACATTGAAAATTTACGATTATAACTAGATACTTTATCTAATATCAGCGCTTACTTTTTTCATCTCGATTGTTGCGCTATTATTCTTAATTTTATTTTCTCGAGGCGCAGCCTCAAAACAACTTTTTCGAAAGTTTGATAGGTGTACATGGTAATGGTTTTAGTGCAGCTTTTAAATCTTAGCACTGCTACTAATTCATGCTATAAAAAGTATTATAGTGTATGTTATTCGCCCTCATCAGTGGATCGTTTCTCGGTAATTTGTAACTTATTTGTAAATACTTTGAATACGATCACTTAATTTAAATCAAAGCAGCTATATTGTAATATTTGGTTCTTTGGAAGGCTGGTAACAATGTGCCAACATATAAAAATCTTATAGAATTAAGCCAATCATTTTTTAAGGCCGTATTTCTCACAAATTATTGCAAATAATAATGGGCACTTTATCCTCAGTATTTGTTTCAACGATTAATCACTAGATTATTTTACACACAGTATTGTGAAATAGAATTTAAAGGTAATATACAGTACACAATATTGATGTAACTGCCGTGACGTACAATATATGCGCCTCTAAAAATCTTCGACTAAGAGTTAAGTATTACACAGCCTTATCCTATAGCAAATCGACTGCAATAATCATTTTCCTTCCTTTATTATTTCCAATAAATCGTTATATAAATTATATAAAATCGATCTTTAAGATTTAATATGGTTGTCGATTCTAAATCTAAATGAGAGTGATCCCTTGCGATCGATATTCATAATTCTATAGTCAAATTAGTGATCTATTGTTGAAAAAACAGTGCACAGAACAAACTATAGATTGATTAATCTTTTCTAATAGACTTACTATCATGTAGTGTCAAATTGTGACTATATACAATACCCTAGATCTCGTAGCAATGTAAAATAAGGTAAATCAATTCTAAATCGTAAAACTGACATCAAAATCATGCTAAATGTCGCCATTGTATAGCATATAGAGGCTGCATGGTAGTTCAAATTACTTTTAGTAACACCAGGATAGCAATTAAGAGCCGCAAAGACAACCTGTAGAACAATAGACACTTCCACATAACACATTACGACAAGCATGATGGTATTTAGGTCACATAAATTAGTAAAGGTATCTGAGTTTGAGTCAGGTAAATAAAGCTTCATAGGTATACCGTAAGTACAAGATTCGCTCTCTTGACAAATACCCCGTTGTTTTAGATAATGAAGGAAGAATATCGATACTAGACATAAGATATCTTCGGTCAAATTTTTGTAGTAGTAGATGTCACTAAATTTAGAGAAAAAAATTTAAATTAATTATCTGCAATTAAAGTTCCCTTAATAGTAGGCGTAGTAGTAGAACTCGAAAGGAAGAAAATTAGCGCATCGAACGTTAACAGTGCTTTATAAATTACACGTAAAATCCGGTTATATAATTTGACTTTACGCGTAAATGATCTCAAAAATTGTAGTACTTACTAATGGTAATGTTAACATAACTTCTTTTCAAGTAATATAAAAATAGTAAATGAAAAGCAGCTACAGCAATTGCCACAAAAAGTCCTTGGCGAAGACGACCCCAAGTTCGAGATAACAGTACAGTACCCTAAACGTAAACAATCGCTAAAATTTAGTATCCATGTAGGTTTAGATTAAATTACATGATATTTTATTACGTTAAAACAAGCATCACCCAAGTCAGTTACCTCAATATCTACTAGTACAATAATTGATAGAATAGAATTTGTTGGTGTAATGTTCATTTCTTAACAGTACTTACCATCTTAAGAGAGGAAAGTCCACCAAATAATAACCAATTTATTATGAATAATGTTTGTGAATCAGATGGATAAAGAGTCGTCGATAGCAAACACAGGCATGTGCCAAATAAAGCATATCCCTGAGAAGTCAATAATAGAATTTTCAATCGTTACATCAATTATCACTTTTGGGTACAATTTGCTATCTATTCATGCGCTATTATAAATGCACGAAATGCTTTAGATTATCTACCGTTAACGATAGCATTTCGATAAATGAGATCTTGGTGCTGCAAAGAAAAGCAATAGCATAATAAAATATGGATGCTCCAAACCAATAGCTAAAAGATATTCCAAACGCCGTTCCAAATAAGGTCCCCTCGCGCTATTACAAATTAGTATAAAAATTGTTATAATAATGTGCTTGCCTGATCGAAATGTTACCATTTATACCATTAATATATCATTAAATATAAATAGATAGAAAGCTTTGTTTAGTACTGCATGAGCATAGCGTATAGCTAAGTGTACGAGATCGACCAGTTGTATTTCAGTTACTACTTACAACAATTGTTTCTGAGCTTTTCATTCCAAATAGAAGAACAGCTACTAAGGTAAAGACCAGCATTAACGGCCCATACAGTTCACTATATATAGACTAAGAATTTGAAGTAATAGTTCAAAGTAAGTTGCTAATAGAAACACAGAATGGAGGTATTATAAATTATTAAATGACAGCAGCGATACTAGTACATTCCAATAAAATAAAAATCTCAATTTCCAATTAAATAATTATACACGTACTTATGATACAGCGTTTTAATATGTTACTTTGTTATAACTCGATAATTATTATCGTTGATAAATAACACAGTATATTACAAAGACTATCTATTAATCTAGGAGAATGCTCGTAATCATTGAACTGATTACAGATAGATTAAAAATTGATAAAAGATTTATTAAGGTTATTCGAAACACAAAATATTATAATTTATCGCCATATTCGAAACTTGCCTGCTGCATTGAAGATGGTTTGACAGGGACCAGAGATCGAAGTAATCTAAATCAATAGATATAAAAAAAATAAATTTGTTGCCAATATAACGATACTTTCAGTATAAATAATACAGTAAATGTTCTTTTCCTACACAGGTTAATTCTATAGTAAGGACTATAATCAAAATCTATCTACTGCCAATTCCGCTTGATATTAGTCACTCTTGCAATGATAAAACCTATGCTCTTACATTCGTAATTAATTAAGCAATAACTGACCTATCACGAACTTGAATTGGTTCTACATCGAAATATGGCCTTAAAATATCAATGTTAGCATAGAAATTGAGAGCATTGCGTACTTGTTGTTGACCTTGCTGTAAAACCTATAACATTAACGAATGGATAGAGTAATAGATAAGATAATTTTAAATACGTATCTCATCACTACAGTAAGTGACTTAGTAATAATGTTACAGTAACAATAGTGCTTCCGAAAATATAATTTTTCAATCGCAATGAATGAAAATACTACAGTATTATGTTGTAAACCATTGCAGCCTAATTTTTTGCTTAATAGCGATTCAGTATCACAGTAATGTTATATCAATGATAATTATAATCGTATTTAAAGATTTTCTCTTATTTGCCAACAAAATCTGAGATGAAGAAAAGTTTAAGGATCAATTTAACTTATTGAAATACATTAGACGTCTAAGTGTATGTAGATGATTCACGAAAATCATATTATCTAGATTAGAATGATACCACAGAAGTTTTCAGACAGATTAACTTATAATCTGTGTTGACATGACAGGTACAATTATCATTCAAAGCAAATGTTGAATACAATGTATCGTACCTGAGTTGCAGCGTATTTGCCAACTTGGCCTGCAATGTCGGTACCTTTGTCATCATAACTGCTTTGACTGTAAAAGAAAATTGAAATGAATCGGGAGTAAGTAAAAGACAGAAATGGATGCTAACTTGTATCATTTTGTTTTAAAATAGAGTACTGTTATGATTTTTAGGCTATCAACTATGATCAATTTCTAGTGCAATACGGTATCCAATTCAATACAGCATGTTACTACTATAGAAGACATCATACGACAGAAAATCATTTTTTTTACCTAGCCGATTTGTCTGTATTGCCCTCGGTGAAAAATTCTCTGTCGCCTGCGTTTTCGAGATCGATAACAACGGAAGCCTTTAAAAAGGAGAAGAATACGTATATCCAGGAAAGGAATGTTAACCTATTTACAGATAGTATCTAGTAGAATCTATTTTATTTTACATTTTAAAATCTCCCTTTTAATATTTCATTGTAATATTGACACTCTTTTACCAATTTGATCCAATTTTTATATCGTACAAAGTGGTGATTTAAGCATTGGCACTGTACTGCAAGAATAGCTTTGGTCAACAGCAATAACTATCCTCAATTAACTATAAATCAACAAACCTCTTCTTTGGTCTGCCCTTTCATATTGGCCAAGTATTCATTTGTTCCTTGAACGATAGTTCAGAAACTATATCAATGTTCAATTTAGAAGGCAGTCGTAGTAATGAGTTGGAAGCCTGGCCTGTCGTGAAGTTGAAATATGGATAAATTGAATTATCTGCGTATGCCACAAAATAGACGTTGCTAGATAACTTGTAAATTGTCCAATATTGTACCTCTACAACAGATAAACTTATAATTTTATTGATGTATGTTTATAAGGCACTGCTATATAGTAGTTGAATTCTTTTCAGTCCTTGGATGGATCAATATCAAGCGAGAGAAAGGCTAGAAGACGATTTGGTTTCCTTAGTTACTCCGTTAGTGAGGTACAGTTCTGCAGATGCTGAAATATATTTTGAATTTTCCTTAGACGTTGTGCTTCAAACTGGACTAGGCTACAGAAATTACTGGTTACACTATAGTACATTAGTACTGGTTTGAGTAGTATACGTGTGATACGTGGTTGAGCTGCCTCAGTTTAGCGTACCTTATACGAGAATATTAACTGCGCTAATAAAATGAATGAATACACTAGTAAATTGGCACTGGTTTGAGTACTATATCTATCGTGCAAATTGGCTGCCTCTGTTTGGACTTGAGTTTAACATCTTAATGCGCTCTACTGCATATTTTTATGCACAAACATTTGTAAAGGCCATGGAGAGTCACTTAGGTGCCATTGCTCTCCTTCTCTTTCATTAGTTTTGTAAAAATACAGTAAATATCGACAATCTATATACTAACTGGTAGCCACTGTGCTATACTGCATTGCGCAATACTAGGATTGGACCTCTAGAGTACGCTATACGCGGTTCGGTACTACAGCAGTAAAAAGAAAATCGAACATTTCTTTTCAAAATACTTCCTCGAAAATGGAAATAATTTTGAAATTAAAATTATTTTCATATCGTAGTGGTCAAGATTCGATTATTCATTATTTCATATTATAATAAATGCATGCAATAGATATTTTAAATTCTTTCCTAAGCAGAATCTCTACTCTTTTTACATTATGTACAGTAATATGCACTTGTCGTCTGCTATAGAAAACCTGCCTGATATGCTAGCCCATGTAAAAGAAGCCCCCAACGATGACATTACTTTTGCTAGTCAGTCATCGCTTACGGTCATCAAGTCATGGATTTGTTGCTAATGGGTATGATACGGCGCCACACTAACACCGGTGATATACGGTACCCCCACCATATTCACGTATTACAACAAAGTGTAGTGTCACCGATATCACAAATCGCTAGCAAAAATGATGTCACCGGCGTATCTAATCCAATTTCTACACATTACCTACGTCCTGGAATTCATTCCAAATCGGATTCCCGCTATAGTTATAAATAGTCCTGGCTTTCCCTATTTCGATTTGATTGATTGTTAATCGATAATAACTCTGTTGTTCATACTAATTATATAATATTTCTGATTTGAAAAAATAAAGATGTTGATTGATTTATTATTAAATTGGTTTGAATTGGATATGAAATACAAACGCTTATGCCACTCAACTCAAGGGACTACGTCACCACATTACGAATTCATCACTATGGATAATATTATTACTTTTATAAAGATGATCGAGTAATCGATTCTAGTTTCTATTTGATGGCCGACAGCAGTGAGGTAACAGGTGCAGAACGATCATTATACAGAAATTATATCATACGAGCCCCTCGCGCACCCAGTCATACCTTAGAAATGAACAAAAAGAAACAATCTTCTCACCGACTATCGTGTGCTACCAGTCTGTATAGAGAAACTGGAAAACTCTATTGTACACAGTTCCATAAATATTGTCCTCAAATAGCATTTACAATTCGTATGTGCATCTCGTTTAGCTATTCTATGCAGCATAATATTGTCAGAAACTACTAAAGAGAGAAGATATACAGTACTGTATAGTGTATATATAATAGACTTGACATTAGTGTAGTCGCCATAATCATTGTACTACGCATGTGCAACTGAAACATTGCTGGTCATCGTATCCAGGATACCTAAAGTTGAAAGATGTCGGTATGTGTTGAAGGAGATAGAGATGAATATGAAATGATGATTCCATTTTCTGTTCTATCAAGCACGTTCTATTTCCTCTTCAAGAAATCAATAGTAACATAATTATTGCCTTTATTTCAGGTTTCAAAGCATTCTGAATCCATTAAAGTGGCCGTACGATGTCGGCCATTAAGCAAAAAAGAGATAGAAGCTGGAAATCAAAGGTTCAATTTTAAAAAGAAAATTTTATTAGAACTAACATTGATCATGAAATATTATCATTATATAAATAGTTTAGATAAAACTCCATAATCTTTTAAACGGCTTAATACACACATGTAATAATATCGATCGATTACTTTCTTATAATACCCGTATACACATCCAGTATTGATGACTACGGTCGAACGAATAAAAATCTTAAAATATTTTGGTAACAGTACTTTACTGTAATCTAATGTGATTCGCAAATCTTTAACGTTTTTTACTATAAATGTATTGCGTTAATGACTGAAGTAGAAAGGATAAAAACTCGACAAATAGTGTGATATAACTTTAATCTAATCTAATACTCAAATTCATAACTATTTTTTTATAATATACATATACGAATATTCACTGGCATACGAGTATAGTCTTAGTGACTGGCGCAGAATGGTTAGAAAATTTCTAAAAATACTGCAGCCTAACTTTAACCTTGTTGACGAAACCGAGTTGTCATTACCAGCCAGTTAACGTTTTACGTTGTAATCTAATATTATGCTTATTGTATAGTATTACATTTACCTTGTATCAGACATGATTGCCCTATGTACATGATAAAATTCCTACCTGAAAAATGCAAAAATATTAATTGGAATAGTGTCACTTTGTCTACGCAAGTGGGCTATTGCTAAAATGACAGAAAGATAAATAAACTGCCAATACATCTCATTTTATTACTAGAAATAGTGAAAACTTACATAAAAATTTTGACGGGTATAGTTAGCTCTTTGAATAGCCCATTTCTGTATAGTATTATGTCTTGGTAATCATACATTGTCAAGTAAACTATCCTTAATTTCATCTTTTTTTTAGAGATTTCCCTCTGATATGAAATTAAATTTAATAAAATTTATCATATCGTCACTATCTATCGCTCGTAGTTGATAAACATGAAATACACTAGTAAATTAGAGTACTATACAACGTAAACAGTAGTTCCTTTCATGGGTAAACATAATGCCTTGTTTTACTTTTTATTGCTTTTTAATACTTCTACGTACAAGAATTAAATAGCTCCATTAAAATTTTCTAGTAACTTACCCCTTGTTTATAATACAGGATCGTAGAGATGCACACCAGACGTGGTGTGATTGAAATACGGAATCCAAAGAGTGCCCCTACAGATGCACCTAAAACGTTCACATTTGACAAAGTCTATGATTGGAAGTACGATTGCAACCTCTAACTGATTTTTAAAAATCAAGCTATAAACCATAATAACTTGATTAAGCTTTTAAATCGACCATACATTGCCTAAGTCATTATAATTTGTTCTAGTTCAAAGCAAGCTCAACTCTACGAAGATATTTTTCAAATTCTAGTATCATCAGCGCTAGAAGGATATAACGGTACTGATAATATGATTAACATTGTCAGTCACGGTAATTTTAACATCATTATGTTAAGCTAACGTAGATACAATTACATTTAAGTTAACTGATATTTATACTACTCTAAAGGGACAATATTTGCTTACGGGCAAACGGGTACTGGTAAAACGTTTACCATGGAAGGTGTTAGAGGAGATCAAGAGTTGAAAGGTGCAATTCCAAGAAGTTTTGAGCACATTTTTAATCATATTTCTGAGTCTCAAAACCAGGTAATTTAATGCTTATTTATTTCTATAAACTTTGATAGAATAATATCATCTATTAACGATAATAAAACATTTTACTTATCATGACAATTTTAACGATAATAGCAATTCTTAGTTCGGGCATCCTATCTTGAAATTTATCAGGTTTGATTTCTGATATGATTAGCCAAAGATATTTAGTATTATTGCTTTTGTGTTTTATTTTTTTTAATAATTGATATGAAATGTATCTGAATTAGGAGGAAATTCGTGATCTTTTGTCAAAAGATCAATCAAAAAGATTGGAAATAAAAGAGCGTCCAGATACCGGAATTTACGTCAAGGTTATAGTGATAAATCGATTTTTATGATTTTAAAAATATCACAAAGATGCATTTATGCTTAGTGTGCTAACTATCATACGCATAATAATTTTACTTCAATTGGCTATGATTATCATAGGATCTTTCGTCATTTGTCACTAAAAGTATTAAAGAAATTGATCATGTCATGAGTGTAGGCCACAAGAATAGATCTGTAGGGTAAGTTCTTAACAATTTTCTATAATTAACAGGTCTTTTCTCGAAATTTTAACTAGGCTTTTTCCATTCTAGGGCAACTAATATGAATGAGCACTCTTCTAGATCTCATGCGATTTTCATCATCACTATTGAGTGTAGCCAGGTACAACAGCTACTCGTATAGTAATATATAGTAGTTAATCGTAAGTGAACAAATACGATGAATTCAATGTTTAAGACTTATTCATAAATCTATGTAAATTTTACATAAGATTGGCCTTGACGGTGAAAATCATATACGAGTAGGAAAACTAAATTTAGTTGATTTGGCAGGAAGCGAAAGGCAGGGAAAAACTGGCGCCAAAGTACGTTAATTGTAATTTTACTCTATTTTTGCAATATCTAAAATGCATAATTTACTCTTTCGTTGTCTTACTAGGGAGAAAGATTAAAGGAAGCTACCAAGATTAATTTATCTTTATCGGCTCTTGGAAACGTTATATCAGCCCTTGTTAGTTTTATACCTTTAATATGCGGTAACGAATTAAGTGTATTCGTATAATCATTATAACGTTTTGCGAATGTCATCCAGGTTGATGGTAAAAGCACTCATATTCCATATCGTGACTCAAAATTAACGCGTTTATTACAAGGTAACTTATAAAATAATTTATTTGTAAAATTTTTTATCTTTTCTCATTCTAATTACCGAGAATCTATTTATGATTACTAAAATAATTGTACGCTTATATAGATTCACTAGGGGGGAACGCAAAAACGGTCATGGTTACCAATATCGTTAGTAAAAATTATTATTTAATCATCACTGATTGCCCTATTTATTCTACCTAGTTATGCGAATTGCATCTGATATTATATAAGTAGACATACTATGTATACTCCAATTTTTAGGGTCCTGCTGATTATAATTTCGACGAAACAATCACTACATTAAGGTTAATTCAGTATTGTTGAAATATTTGTAACTATATGCCTAAGAATAGAAAGTTCTTAGAGTATCTAATCACAGTTATACTTTCTTCACCTATTTGGTACTCAAAGATATGCAAATCGTGCAAAAAATATTAAAAACAAACCACATATTAATGAAGATCCTAAGGATGCACTTTTACGGCAATTCCAAGAAGAGATTTCTCGGTAAGCTTTACTGTAATGTCACTAGTTGAAATTTATCTTTAACCATAGACACCTATTGCCATAGCTTAAAGAGTGCTTTAGAAAATAAGGGTAAAGTCCCGGGTAAGAAACGTTCCAGGCGTCGTAAAGGTATGACAATGGCTGAATTTCTTCACTTAAACGTTTTTAATGTAATTTTAATAATTTATGATTACTTTTACAAAAAATATCAAAATTTAGGTGAACAACATGAATTTGGCAGTGATGATGATGAGGACGAGAATGAAGATGATGAAGAAGACGAAGAAGATATCGAAAATTCGATAGAACAGGAAAAGCAAAAAATTGAGGAAGAGAAGCAGGCTTTAATAGCGAATGAAAACATGCTAGCAGAGGTAAGATCATCGTTATTGACATATTTCTCTGTTTAGGTATGCACTTGCAGTTCACCTGTCGTAGAAGAAATTTTTAATATTTAAACATATCGGTATTGCACTTGCAATGCTACTAAAGATGAAATCACCATTTTACGATATAATAATTTACTGTCTCAATATGAAATAAATCCGCAGACGTTTTCTTTCTGAAAAGATTAGTTCAACTTTTAAATTTTGAAGTCTTATTGTAGTACAAAGAAATTCTTTCAACATAGTAATCTCATATCTTCATAACTACAATCACGTATATATGTTTTTCATACAAATCTTGTCTAAGTATTTTTTAATGACTGTCGCTCCGACTACAAACATTTATAAAAATTTAACCAACAAAGTGACTAACAAGTAATTATAATCCATGATACAAATTCTGCAAGTTAGATACGATGTCGTTCCCTCATGCTATTGCCATTTGTAACTAATGAGGACTATGTTACATAACTTTTAACGATCATTGTTCATTACCAAATGATAGGAAAAGGAACGAGTTCTAGCGGAGATTGAAGTTAGAGCTACTGAATTATCAAAGCAAAAGAAAGAAAGAGATGCATTATCATCAAAGATCAAAGTGAGAATGCTGCCAAAATCTGGAAGCATTAATTTACTTTATTTCATTGCTGTCAGTTTCATGCGAATGCATGCGTATTTTCTTTGACTACAAATATAAAATTTATAGCTAATTTCGAGATTTATCTCATATCGATTGTATATGATATACTAGAGATGTATTAAAATACCGTAATTGTTCTTATTATACATATTATGCAGGTATAATTTTAATAATCTACGGTACATTTCAACCAAGGTTACATGATATAGGGCCATGCGGCTTGTATAGTATGGCAAAGTAGTTAATCACTATGTTAATTTGTCCTTGTAATAAATTTCTTTCTTTACTATTAGAAGATTGTAGGGTAGTTCTAGCGAGTTTGAGGTTATCTAAGTTTCTCGCTATAAATTAATCGAAAAGAGTCTATAATAAACATCGTCTTTGTTTGAGATGCAAGCCATTTGATGCAAATATATGTAATCAACAGGTTATGGAAAGTAAATTACTTGGAGATATGACAATCCAAGAGAAAACTATGGAACAGGAGAAAATGTTGGAAGAAAGGAAAAAGAAAATTGAAGAATCTAAGGCAAGATTAAATAATTAAGTGCATACGAGAGAATTCGTCAGTTGTACACCAAAATAATCGGAGTATTATTTTCATTTGTTAATGTCAAGTTTATTACAAAACTACATTTGTTATCGTATATATTTAGGCTGCTGAAATGGAAATGCAGAAGAAAATAGAAGCTAAAAGTGAAGTAGCGAAAGAAAAGCAAAAAAACGTTTTAGAATTAAAGCAAGAAGTCTCTTCTAAAGTTAAAGAATATAAATCGGTATGGGCTTCAAGCTAAGTTATTAATTTCTTTAAAAAGTCATAAATCTACCATTTTTACAAAAGATATTCTTCTTATAACTGAGAAATTTGATATATGATTTGATTACAGCTATCTAGTGAACTTGAGAACGTAAATAAAGAAATACAGCAAGCTAAGGACGAGTATATTGAAAAGCGACAAAGACTAGAAATGGAAATGGAAGAACTAAATAAGCGATTAAAAATGAAGTAATACTTCTGCATTTGAGCCTTGAAGATAATTTATTCTTTACTATCACACCCTTTCTGTAACGTTTCGATGGAATATAAGTCTGTCGTAGACTTTGCCAAATTTTATTATAATTATAAATCAAACACGCTAAGATTAATTATACACGCAGGACACAGTTGAGGAATTTCCTTTTAAACTATTATTAACTTGATTACAAAATCCTACATAGCATTCACTACACACAAATTAATCGCTATTACGTACTTAAATATTATATCTAGTTATTTATAAAATCCTCCTACCTTTCTTTCTACTCGAAACCAGTCAATTTACAAAAGTGATTACTTATGCTATAATGAGCATAAAGCCCTAAAGAATTAAATAGTAGATGAGCCGGCATATAAAATACTGTATTTTTAGAGCAAATGATGGAAAAAAATAGTTATCACATAATTATCGAATAAGTATTACGAGTTTAAACAGCTAGACTTTCATGTTACTAATAGCTAAGAATTTACTTATAGAAACGTTCAATTAATACTATTAAATGTAAAAATTGTATATTAACAATTAAGTTTTTTGAACTCCAATTACTACGTACGACGCACAAATTGTCTTGTTAAAGCAGTGTGGACTAATATTTAGATGTTCCAATAGAAGTTTTCATTAAAAATGCAAATTTCTATTGTAATCTACGCGTGTTAATATAGTGCTGTATTCACCTGATAAAGTAACATTAGCCTTTTCTCATATTAAAGATACAATTAATGAACTTAAGATCAGAAATTTTTTTCTGTTAATAGGACAACAATAATGGAAAATTTCATACCTACAAGCGACAAAGAGAAAATAGATAAAAGAATTCAGTGGGATGAGGCTGCCGATGTTTGGAAATTAATGCCGTACACCGACATCGATGAGTAAGTTTATCCTTCCCTTCTCGTCTATCAATTAAATTATATATAATAATTATTATCTCTAGCTGGCTATAAGAAATATTATAAAATTCCTGTGTTTTGAAATCTTCATGTTTTTCCATCAGGATCAAATTGCCACGTCCTATTTCTGCTCATGGTAGCCGTACACCAATCACATTATATGCTCGAAACGCATCAGTTAATGGAAATCCTAGATTTCGAGTCTGTATCTAATTTTAATTTTATTGCATTATTACACATGGTTATGAACTTTCCATAACCTGACTGTATTACCCTAAATGTATATACATACGTATTTGAAAAATATAGTGTATTCTTATCAATTTATGTTTTTCTGAGCAGGCAGAAAACATCGTTAGCATAGAATTAGATATGCCTGCACGCACTACACGAGATTATGAAGGCCCAACTGTTGCTCCCCGTGTTCAAGCGGCTCTTGATGCTGCATTACAAGACGAAGAAGATCTCACCATTGACGCCGGGTAGGCAAAATAATTGAACGTCGTGGCAAATATAGATAACAGAACTAAGGTATTTGCATATCTTGATAGAGTTAACAATATAACTTATTTAATTCAGGGAAATAATGCAAAAGAGAAGTGCTAAATCTAAAACGATTAAAGCTAAAACAGGGTAAGTAAATTTTATCTATTATCTTAAGATTACGCCATGAATTTTACTCGATTCACTACCTATATTATTAGTCTAAGTAATTTAAATATTATCGTTTTGTACTTATAATAATAAATCACTTTTTTTGATATAGAAAAACAAAGAAGAAAAATTCTAATGATTCTAATGCAACGGAATATCCGAAAGCTAGAGGGCTTATTAGCAATGCTGGACGTTACTAGTCTACAAATTCGACAACCCGTAATATTGAATATATTCAATATTCATATGGCGATTTCAGTATACTGAATGTAATCAACTAGTCTTTCTATATTTACCTTGTATAAACTGGATTCTTATTAAATTTAGCACTGTATTACTAAGTGTGCGAACAAGTTAACATTTTCCATGATTCTTTAGTGTATAAACGGCTTGCTATACTGTAAATATCATTCTAGGATACTATTTGATTCTTTCGTCGCTAAGTCAGGATATATTTGCCCAAATATATCGAATTCACATAACATAACTTGTGATTATATATAGAAGTCTTAATTATTTACTATTTAGTTGCCATTATTGTTTACTGTGATAACAATTATTGGTATAGTCTTGTGCAAGTAAGTCAATTAAGATATTCGCTAATACTGACTGTTACATGAGATTGACTCACGCGAAATGCCAAGGTTAGGTCTATGAATCCCTTCACAAAGGGGATAATAACTTCATAATGTACAATAAAATTCTGTTTAGGAAACTTTAGTGTCTACTTGGATATCTAATAGCCATCGATATTTAAAAATAAAGTCAAACTTACGCATCTAACAGAAAAAAAGTGAGAATAGCCGTATAAATTTGCAAATTGCTAGGCCGATATTAAACCATGCGATAAATTATATTAAAATAGTGATTATCATGGTCATAGTTATATTTATCCTGCTGTTTCTACCACAGCTAGTATAAGCTAAAAGTCTGCTATTGAATCCCGCATTGCTGATTTCATTAATCTACACAAAATATTTCAATCAGTCTTTACTTCATCTCAAAGAAACAAATTCGTATTTTAAAATTTAAATTGAATTACGGTATCGTTAATTTATTTTTTTCTAAGCATTTACTACCCTAGGTAGCCTCCGCAATATGTAAAATTTCGAATTATTGTTAAATCGTAGAATGGAACTTTCTCGATCTTCTAATAATACTATAATTTCTATAAAAATTCTATACAGCATTATGCGCTAGGCTGTATGTGGCAATGCATGCATCATCACTAAAGTCTGGAAACATAAAAATTATTTTGTTTATGATCTGTACTATAGCAGACAATTAATCGTACGCTAATTGAGTGCTTTATTTCTCAGCCTGTCCGTCATTTCTTGGGTAAAAATCTATAGCGGCTTTGTATAAATAAGTTTAGAAATTCGAGCCTATGATACAGAGCTAACAAAAGCGTTCTAGAACCAGTAAACTGTAGGTCAGATGTATATATATCGATATAATACGGGTATGCTATACATCTTATAGCTGACCGATAACTATTACAAAGTTAAGTTCATCCATAACTATAAAAGTAGACAATATATAACAGTATTTCTGATACACATACTAAAGTATGAATCCTGGTCTATTGTATAGGAGCGTTCTCCGGGCTCTTGATGCTATAGACCAGACGCCAAGTAAGGGTTCAGGTATAGTATATACTATGTCATCAGGTAACTGTGTACGTTGCTAAGCAACAAGGTAGTTACATGGATAAAAATAATAATAGCATCGTTAATTAGCATAATATAGATAAAATTAAGTAGACTATATGTAATCGATTCTACGTTGAAAGCTCTATCTGATTTGTTTATTTCCTATCGCGAATTACTAATATATACAGTGCAAGAACTCAAAATAGTATACCAGCAAGATTTTATTGCTCGTGTTACGGCAAAATTGTTAAATATTTAAATCCGATTTTAGAGACTACTTTAACTGTTGCAGACGTATTAGTTAAGCATGACAGAAGTACAAGATAATCCAAGTAGTGAATCATCGAATGCTGAGAAGAATAAGCAGCAAACCGAAAAATCAATGGCCAATTCAGCATCACCTTCTAGTTCTAGCAATAAGACTATTAAAGATGACTTTCCAAGGTATGGTATATTAATACTTGCTATGCAAGTCATGATACAATTGTAGTTAAGTAGGTTATGCATACTAATTATTCTTTACTACGGGCAAAAGTATACATTTAAATAACTAGTGTGAGATTTACCCAGGCATTAGATCTGATGTTGTACTGTGATCTTAAAATATTATTCAAGAATGACTCCAAAGCGATTAAAGGAGATTTGTAAAGAGCTCAAACTATATACAACTCCAGAATTGAATGATGTGCTCTATCTTCATTTTAAAGGTAAATTATTAAAGTTTCAACGTACACACATCAATTGATAACTTTTTGAAATCATTAAGATATAATATAAAAATAAAATACTTTGCATGATCACGTTAAGTGTACTTGGGCAACGCTTGCTGCATAATATTAAGAGTTGATTTACTTATCCAAGGTTTCGGTAAGATTGAAAATTTGGAGCGTTACACAGGCTTAAAAGCTCTCTGGTTAGAATCCAACGGAATTTCCAAGATTGAAAATCTTGACTGCCAAACTGAATTACGCTGCTTGTGAGAATATTTCTAGCTATAAAATATGCTCAGGCTACATGCTCATACAGTATATCGTATATGCTTTCTGCTAATTTTTAATTTAATTGCCGATTTACTAGATATTTGCAGCAGAATCTACTCACTCAACTGGAAAACTTAAGCCCACTGGTAAATTTGGATACTCTGAATGTCTGTAACAATTGCATCAGCAAAATTGAAAATATCTGTAAGTTCGAGTCTACATGCAGATATTAAATATTGCATTATTACATTATTGATCATCAGTACATTACAATACTCTACCTAAATCTCTCTTAGATCATATAGCTAAATACATAAAATTTTTTGCTGTATATCCGTTAAATTCAGTCCAAAAGTTTTTAATTTGAGTGAAAGCGTTAAAACACTTAAAATTCGCAATCTTTCTTTATAGCATGTCTACCAGTACTATCAACCTTGCAAATTAGTCACAATAGATTAGAGGATGCTGACAGTCTTCGTGAACTAAGTCAATGTGAAAAGCTAAGGTAAACCTCTAAAGTCTGTATAAGCTATTTTAAAAGTTATTGGTATTGACGAGCATCCGAGATCAAGAAACTAAAATACAATTTTCACAATAGCGTCGCTGATCTATCTCATAATCGCATTAATGATCCAGACATCGTTAGTGTATTAGAGCAAATGCCAAGCTTGGTAAGATTTCTTGTGTTATCCCTTTAAAATTCATTTTTGAATTTACTATACTCACAATCTACAATGTAATAATCAGTTAAAGGAAGAAAAACTAAATTATTGATTTTAGAGAGTACTTAATCTTATGGGCAATCCTGTCATCAGAAAAATTCAAAACTATAGAAAGACCATGATTGTTAGATTGGTAATTCTATTGGTCTCTATATATATATTGAAATTGTTAATAGATATTATTCTAACATTAACCTATTTTCAAATTGCTATTCAAGAAACAATTAACCTATTTGGATGATAGACCAGTATTTCCTCGGGATAGAGCTTTAGCAGAAGCATGGTAAATTAAACATATTTTTTGATTGTAGCTTAAATAAGATAGGATCTCGAAATGAATAACGTACGAATAGAAACGTGAACTTGCAAGTAAACTGTAAGACTCTGTTCTTTATATTGAGTCATAATTAACCTAGATAAATTGGTTTTGCTTAGGGCAAGAGGTGGTCGAGAGGAAGAAATGAAAGAAAGAGAATTGTGGCAGACCAGGGAACAGAAACGAATCATGGATAGTGTTAACGGTTAGTTTTTAAAATACGAAAACAATTATCCAATCATCAGTTAGTAGCACTGTTATTTTAAATACATTAATTATTAATTAATCTCTATGTACGTAGCGTTAGCTGATATTAAGCAGAAAAGTTTATCAAAAAAGCAAGAAAAAGAGGAAAATCAATCGACAGACAAAACTGAAGAACCTAGCAAGCAGATTATAGATTTACAAGAAAAGATAGAGAAGAAATCGACTTTGAATATTAGAGAAGAAGAAGATACCCAATTAAGTGATGATGAAGAAGATATTATTGAAGTTAAGATTGGTCATAACAAACGGCAAGAAGAAGCAGAATCTATCTTTTCATCTCAACCGACAAGAAAACCAATAATATCGGAAATGGATTTAGGTATGATCTATTGTAATTGTTAAGTTATAAAATTATCTCATAAAATACGCGTATTATAATCTCATGTATCTTTGTGTCTATGAAATAGAAAATCCACCTCGGATACAAGAAATCAAAGGCAATACTGCTTTTGTTACAGAATTACCAGGTAAAATGAAATCTAATTAAATTTTCCTAGATAGTCACATCGTTATTTATGTCATACGGGTAGCAATTAGGACTACAACATTATACGGAGTCGACTCAAAATTTATTTAGTAGCAAGCAATGTTGCGACCCTATGTTAATCAATAAAATTATGCCATAATGGATTAAATTGCATAATTTGGATAGTCCACATATACTGTTATTATAATTGGTTTAATAGCCTAGTCAATTTTTGTCGACATACTGTAGTATTGAATATGATCAGAATATATTTTTACTGATGATAAAGGATAACGATGATAATATTTAATCAAAAATCAATAGCAGATATAATTTCTAAATGTTAATAGTTTCCAGCTATTCTTTGAGTTATACAAGGCAATAATAATTGATTACAACTATATTATATAATTTGTCTTCGAAGCCGTATCTGAAAATGATATAGAAATAGTTTTGCCGATGATCGAATATAATCAATGACAAATTATGAGAAACATAATTACGATACATATAACTAATTTTATAATACAGATTTAGTTATTTACGTATGGTACGACTTAAATTATCTGTATATAAGTAAGATATTTAATCCTGTAGTTAAAGGTTTAGACACTCAAATGGTACTTTCAGAAAGTGAATTAGCTAAAATTATATCGTTTATGAACTAACTGTATAATTCATGAGTTCAGGTTTTAAAATATCTTGAGTTATTATCGATTTCAATATCATCATTCCGTTAATATTCTTTCACGTTATCAATGTTGTATTTTCCTTGGAAAAGTATAGGATTCCAAAAACTAATTTTAATTTCAATCTTAATATGCAATAGATGAAGAATCCATCGAAACAATCATACTGGATGATAAGGTTCCATTCTATTTGAATTTGATACCGCAATAAATATCAGAATGCTTTTACTATCTTATATGCGCCATTTGAATAATTAAAATTATCTATGAATAGAACTATATACCAATAATTACATATTTTAATCATAATTTAGAATGTACCAGAATTAGAGGACGTTGACTTTAATGACGTAGAAGCAAAAATATTAGATTTAAAAATAGATCAAGGCAGTAAGGTAATCAATAATTCGGAATGCCTGCTCTAGATACGATTTTGAAATATAAATTAATGCCACAAAAATGAATAAGATGCGATAAAGTTAAATTTTAAATTCAACATAGATTTATAATATATCAGTCAAAGTTTGATTTATCTTTTACTTATTTAGGCAACTAGACCCTTGATAGAAGTATTAGACAATGATTCTCTAGAGGTAAGTTTTAAACTTAAAATGAAATCGTAATCCTAGCAGTATTTCAAAATTTATAATAAGGTATCCAGTTTTGATAAGTAGAGATTTTTCTCTCTTAAAGCTTAATGAAATTGTTATTTTCATGTTTGATTAATTAATCGATCGGTTGTTTAGAATAGTTACTATCATAAAGAGTCGATCCTAAATAACATGTAACATATTGATTATGATAGAATGAAAACACTCCATTACCGACGTCATCAGAAAAAGAAATAACAGCTACTGATAGTCGAATTCAAGACGTAGCTGCAACTGTGGGATCAACTTTGGAAGATCACTCTTCAAATGATTTATTAAAAGAAATGCAAAAGAAATACTATAGACATTTAGAGGAGTTGGATTAATATCTGGTGATTTACAAAGATGTTCACCTGATTAAGTTTAAAATAGATATTACCTCTGATCTTGAGGTATTATAAATATTGATATTACATTAATAGGTAGCTTAAACTTATGAAGTGTAGATTGAATAGCTAATGATGACACAGGGATGCTATAATTCTAAATCACCCGGAATAATCATCCTAGGCTAGATTTTTCTAGCACGATTATACATCATTCCTATCCAGAAGTACTTTGATAGTAACTCTAGTCAGGTACAATAAATTTGATATTTATCAAACATGTCGAATACATTGTCCGCTATTAGGAATTGGCTACAACCTTGCTAAACATTTGGTGAATCATTTATCGATAGGCTAATTAAGAAGATAAATGAATAGATAAATATCTATAATCTAGCGTAAGACTGTAAGATTAGTTTATTCTATTTATTTGTTGGCAATAAAGTTCTATTTGTTTTCATTAACGCTACGGTAACTCATTATAAAGTCTGTACAGGGATCTTTATGTAAAAAATCCTTTACCTAAACTATTATAGTTTTAGTTCATTTGTATGCAGAATGCATTGGATTGATACTAAATTTCAGTTAGGCAGAAAAGATTCTATTCAATTAGGATCTGCTACGACTGCAATGTATATTTTATATTTGAGCCAAGCAAATTAATCGATACAATAGAGTGGGTCCGTTAACCTCAGTAGCAGGAGTATTGTCCTCTAAGATCGGAGTAGGATTCATTTAAAATGCTAAAATAGTTTACATAAAGGCTTATAGGATAGATATATAGGTCTATGCAAGCTTATTGACAGTTATTTCATATCAGTATTTACTCGGTGTACCTTTCAAGAGAGTGCCTCAATATCTATGCTTTTTTCAAACAGTTTCAGCTCAATTGCATCAGAAATACAATTTAATTCTACTTTTATTTTAAGAGTTACACTTATATTTGCATGATGTAGTCTCTTGAAAGACTGGAAACTAGATACGTATGAAAAATTAGTTCTTGCTACTCAAAACACACAAAGAAGAGCAACAGCAGCGTTTGTATTATGGGTTGCTAAAATTTAGGTAAAATTAGATAAGTTATCCCTTTAGGATTCAGTTATAGCTTACAAAATATATTTAATAAAATGTTTTATGTTTTAAATAGATTTTTAATCTACTAAGCGATTTAATGAGTCTACAGTTTAAAAGTTTCATACTAGACATAAAAAGTTCTAGTTTGTATTCACAACGACACTTATTTCGCCAAATAAAATTAAAGATTTGGAAATTGCCAATTCTAATTGCTGATCGTACGTGAATGCAAATTAGATTATGGCGTATATAAGTAAGCAAAAATATTGTCCTTTTCTCCATCAAAGTTTTGGCGTACCTAAGGTATTTAAATTGGAAGGTATTAATCATTTCTGCAAATCTAACACTATCTAAAGATCGATGTATGTTTTACATATTTAGCCCTAACCTTGCAGTTAGCCGTCTTAGCCATACCGCTCACTCGCTTTACAAATTCTTCGTGTTGCTCCTTCTTTAACTCAAGAATATATCTAGTGGATTAGCGAATAGAAAACTTTCTTATAATTTACGGAATTTAGTAACTGATATCATAGGAATCGAAAATGCAAGATCTAACGATAAGACTGGTTGTGATACGGATTTTTGGCTCAAGCTATGTTCACAAACTGATACATGCAATACTGGAATAATACTGTAAAAGCCCAATGTAGAGTGTATCGTATATTATAACTAATGCAATCAACTTTTCTCGGGTAATATAATACTGTATTCATCAGTCTCATTAAAATTCGATTTTAGTGAGCGATCAGAAAGCTAAGAAAATGTATTTCAAACAACTTTATACATTGCAAAGAAGTAATGGATATTGTGTTATACAGTCAACTAGATACATCACTTTTATTAGTGAAATAGAGAAATAAACGTGTAAGCGATTTAGTTTATCCTTATATGAAATCCTTTGCAAACTATAGTCAATGTCCGTCCACATATATCGTTAGCCTGATAACTTGATAATCTATTATTATTATTATATATAGCACTAATGATAAATTTACTGATAAATTTTATGGATTTTATTTAATTTAATGATAGTACTTGCATTTTTATGAGCATTAAAACGGTTAGAAGCAATCGATAAATAATCATGACTGCAATGTTAATAATGGTTAAATAAATAAATGTAAGGTCATATCTATCTTTCGGAAATGATTGGTGGATATAATCTTGGACTTACTTTGCACTTTCACACACAATCAACGATCCATGAGCTAAAATTGGTTGGATATCAGGCTTAAATAGGTGTACCATACTACATGAATTAATGTGTAACATTATTGAAACCCCACCAAATTTTTGTTGCTATAATTAGATCAACAGAACTTAACCGAAATGCTTGAATAACTAACCTGTTTGAGAAATAAACTATGTTGAATAGTTTATTATATTTACTTTTCTTGGGCAAGACTGGAAGTGAGTTAAGAGGTAAGAAATAGATCTTGAAATTTTGCAAGCCTAATGAGAAAAATACATATATTTATCAAAAAGGCTTTAATTATTAACTGAGTAAGAAAGTAATGATACTTTCATTAATTCACTTTTTATCCTACAATTACTGACTAAAGTTATGAAAGGAAAGATACCGTCTAGATATTATTTGATTACCTTTAAATAAAGCTTGATTGGATTCTTCCGTGCTAGCAGATATTGTTTGATCACTGTCTTCTTCATCTTCATTTACTTCTTGAATTTTTCCTAGTTGATCACTTTCATTTTCTGTCTCTGATTTATCTTTAGGCAGTTGATATTTCGTGCCATAAGCAATTTCGTGCATGTACGCCATTATATTATACTGAGTAATATCTTGGGAAGTCTGATAGATTATATTATAAAAGAATATAGTTTTACTGCTGTTCTCTTTTGAAAGTTAGTTAAAGCAATATCTTGTAACGACTAGATTATTCGGAATGAATTATTTAGTAATCCTGTATATAAAATGAAGTTTCATAACATGGCTGTGAGATCTTTTCATCTTATCATATGCAATTACCTTCAGATACATATCGTTTGTTTTTTTGAAGAAGCTTTCTTCTTCGCACTCAATCCCAAATGCAATATAAGGGCTATTAACAATATCTCCCCAATATCCTCTTACATAATGCTTTTGCCCTTCCTATATTTTGTAGAATTTAAGTTGATATTTATTAAGCTGCATGGCTACGATATTAGTCGCGGGGAAAGTAGTTATTCATATTGATGTAAAAGTTTTACCCGTTTCATGATTTCTCCTGATGCCAATGATTTATTTGCTATGTTATAATTCGCTTCTCGAATATCAAATGCTATACCATTCTCTCTCCAGTTAGAATATTCTCGTGAATTAATGATATTAGCCTTTGAATGTAATTTCATATTGTAATCCCAGTCGTAAACGTTTTGTCTAGAGTCATAACGAGCACCAAGATGTTTTCGTAATCTATGATCCCTATTATAATTATGAATACATAATGATAATTTATACTTTATGATATCATGTTACTGCATGTACACAATATTGAAGGTGTTGAGCATTTGTTGGCATAACATTTATTGAACATGATATTACTAACCACATTTCAGTAACTTCGAACAGCTTCGGATTTTTCTGCCTCCAAAATTTAAATATAGCTTCTAGCTGATCCCTTTCAGCAAACTGATTTTAAAATTAAAATGAGATGACACAACTATATCATAATACTTTATATTTGAAAATATTAAATGACTACATTAAAAATTACTTTCAAATTTGATAAGTCTAAGAAGCCAAGGCATTGATTGAGATAATTAAAATTCGTAACCATCCTAAGATGATGTCAATCATATATATTATGAGAAGCTTTTAATGTAGGTTTATGCGTTTTACTACAGTATCATTGTAATCAATATGCAACTGTATTATAACACAAACTTGATGAAATCATCGGCTTTTCGACACAAGTATTCTTCTGTTTGACTTCTAATTAAAGTATTACCAAATATTTCAAGAAATAATTCGGTCTTTTCTATAAGTATAATTAATATAGTGTCAGATTTGTATCTAAACTAATATCCATTGATACAAACAATACTTGGTATGGGATATTTGAGCATACCTTGCAAGCCGATTGTTTCGGGTGCTTCATAAATGAGAGCTAGCAGTAGCATTTGCCTTGCTAGTATCTCTAAATTATTCTCTACAACATAGATCTAATTCATAAAAAACGATCGATTCTATTATAAATTGATTGTAATTAATTTTAAGCATTTTTTATTAAGATAGAAAGATATAAACTAAGGTACGTTTATTTTTCGATTTGGCCACCGATAGCTGTGAGCAATAGTTTTGATGATATGTCGAGGATCTCCTGCACCAATTAGAAGCACATTTACGGTATCCGCATTTGATTCTATTTGTAGAAGACAATATAGCACCTTCTGATCATCATTTTACTCCTGATTTACCAAGCTAGGTGGCCTTTTATGATATCATACAAAATGAATGTAGAATCTATTTGGAATCTAGAAAAATTTTTTACCTGAGCCGGTAGAACTATCATTGGCAATATTAAAGTGTTCTATTTGAGCGTTGAATGCTGCAGTAAATGTTAATTGTTAGCTATTCTAGCTTTGATATTGCTTATGATAGCAAGTCAAATATACAGTGTTGTTAAAATAAACTATTTATCAGCTATTCCAGAAATAAATTATATTGTTACCAATGCATTGTAAAATCAATATCTGGAAATTTTATAATTTAGATAGCTGCTATACGAGTTATTCGAATAATTTACTTTATCAGTTGTTGAGTTAATTACTATGATTAAATTTAAGAAAAGCTATACTTAAAATATCCGGAGGCTATACAGCATCAAATACAGCAAAAAGTTATGATCTGTTTTAATATTAAAAGTGTTTAATTAATACAGTACTATAGATTTTTGCACGTCGTAGAATTAATTGCTAAAATGAAGTACGCGTATTGAATACTGAATACCCTTTTTGCATATAAGAATTATTTCGCTGGTCAAATTCGATGTATTCGTATTGTAACATACGTGCACAAATATTCAAACTAGGATACTAACCAATGGCTTGAAAGTCGATAGCTGGGCTAAATCCCCACCAAGTTATCCGCCCGAATGAATCGAGCATGATCTTGCTACTCGAGTATTATAGCTACTGGATTCGTGTGTTCAAAACAAACCATGGATAAATAACATATATGTACAGTATACTGTATGATCGAATTTTCAATTGACTGTATTAATTAAGTTTACCTTAGAATTTCAACAAGCGTCTAAATGATCTATGATGCATATGCAGAGTTGAATATTTATACTGGTCGAGTGTTAAGTATGCTGTTTAAGGTTATCCGGGTAATACAAGACCACATATGTTTACGTGCAAGGTAAATAATGAAATCAACGTTTATTTTGACCAAAAAATGACTTCCAATGGGCAGCTATCAAAATAATAGAATAACTGTACAGAGCTATATGTTCTTCTAAGTATTCTTGGTTCAATTAATCGTATATTAACTCTGTAGCTAACCAGCAGTGGCAATTCTAGCGTATTCGATGATGGTTTCCGTGGAAATCAATCGCGCATGCGCAACTCGGATCTTGCATAGTTTGCTTACAGTGGTGAACTGTATAGGTACCGCTCAATCAGAAGAGAATACTATATAACACTGTATGAACAGAGAATTAGATTTCTGGTGGATATAGCGTAGCTTGCCATCATTCTCAGCTTCAGTCTAGAAAATGGCGTCGTTGGCCAGAGGATGCCTAGTTAGGGTAATGAAGCATTAATTAAAACTCGTTAGACTCATTAAATTAACTTTTATGAAGGAGGATAATCGGATTGCACTTGATTGATACCTCTGTAGACAGAATGATGATTAGTAATTCGTAATACGAGTATTATTTGCCGCACTTCTTCATAACTCAGGTATGTTCCAGAAGTTCTTCCTATCATCTATTGCAATGTGTCAGGCAAAGTTCTTCCGCTTATTCTGGTAAGTAATAATCGCGCATTTACTGTCTTATATGGTTATTCAATGCATAATAGGATCTGTCAATATCAGTCTGAAAGATTCAGGTTGATACTAGAAGAGATTGAAGATTTACAATTATACGCGTAGAGTTGCAGTTCAGCAGCTCGGAGACGCATCGAATTTTTACCCCCAAAATTTTTACCAAATTCTCGGTTAGACAATTTTTTCCTGATGATTATATCCACTAACTGCAATTTACTGCGTTTGGTAATGTTTCCCATTATCATCGGAAAAGTTATAACTAGCTGAGAGTTGGTAGCACGGTAGTCGATTCTGAGGCTCATCTGCTGTCCCTGTTAAATTACCAGCATTATTTATTTGATCGATCAATTGATTACAGTATAGTAGTGAATAATTATTTATTGTACTGTATAACTACCTGTGGATATTACAACTAGCTCGCTGTAATTAATATTATGCTTGTGTATGTGATATTGTATATCATGGCTTTAGATATCCATATGCCTAGTCCTGATACCAAAATTAAGGACGCCACATACGAATCTAAAGACTACTTCGCACATGGCGAATACACTTACTATGATGAGGAATTTGAAATTAATAAACGTCGATTGCCACAGCCAAGCTCTATTACCAAAGAAGAGTCATAAACAGTGATTAAACTGGATGTATTAAACGGATACAATGTATCCAATAGCGGAAGCCTTCAACCTAATGTCGTTTTGATGTTAATGAATTGGTTAATTACAAATTGCCTGTAGAAGCAGCTGCACAAATGTCATGATGGTATTGTCGCTTATTAATTCCTTTCAAAATTAATTAACAACAGATGAGCAATCAACGCCTATGTACAAAGTATATGTATAACGTATATGCATAGCATTGACTTCACCTCTCTGCCTTATGAGGAAAATTAATGCCTGAGTATGCCCTATCAATATTGCATACATTCTTGCCGGCTTGTAGAAATGAATAAAAAATTATAATGTTAAATGGAAAGTACTAGTATTGATAGAATAACCCTGGTGTCTTTAATCGTAAACAAGATGCAATGATGCTATACTAAATTGATTTTAGCTGGTACGATCAACGTAGCTATCAAATGACTACTATATTGTGCTGTTAATTTGATACTGAGTACTGTAGAGTATTATAAACTGTGGAGCTACTTCAAACTTAAGTCTGAAGTTGATAGTAATTGGTAGTCTTGAAATGGTCAATTTATGAACTTAATGTAGATGGCAGTTATGCTGAAGGTTTCTTAAAAGTGTGATAGCTTTCGTTGCAATACAGAATAGTGGGCTACTAGTATGTAGAAATAGTGTATATCAATTGCTAAGCACTGTAGACATAAATATATCTTAAACCCTTACTGTAGAATAGCTTAATTTAATCGTTTCTGAGTTGTTGTCTCTATTTTTCTTAATTTATTTGGCTGAGCCAGGTACTATAAGCAGTTTTATACACAGTACGTGCTGAATAGTGGTGCTCGGAAAAGACTACTGCACTATTGCAATTTACTGAAGCTATATCTTGGGGAGTCTTTAATTTGTATAAGGTCAAGATCCTCCATCCAGCTCTATAATTGAAGCTAATTTTTGTTGCATGCTATACAGTATCTGTATAGCAATTTCACTGCGCATCTATTTAAACAGTATTGAAAAATCTCAAATGTGATATTGATTACATTTCGTGGGCAAATCGTCAGACAGCAGGTCATGAGCCTCATAACTAATTGATCAAAACCTAGTCATTTTGTAGCTAACGTTACTTTAGCTATTGTACTTAACAGATCTGCAGTCAGCAGCAATATGAAAGCTCGGGTACGGAGCTTGACTGCAACATATTATCCGTATTGCAGAATTGTATTAGTAGCTGCATAATCGATTATTTATCTGCTACTAATTGTGGTTTTAGGCCAGTAGATGTAAGCAAAGAAACTTGGACAAGCTGGTCTACTAGCTGGCAAATTATATCCGCAAATACATGTTGGCAACTCTCTCAATTTATCTGGCGTATTGATAACAACTAATAATTTATTATATCATGACTACCATCACCTTTAACTCTTTATGACCAATCTGGCAGTAGTGTATACTGTTACGTATACAATAGAGACACCTGTTATATCGATATTACCGGTGTAAATTCCTTTAGTTACCCTTCTATACTACCTTATAAGGAAAAGGAGAATGAAAATCTTATACAGATGGCATTTAGCTTAGCGAATTTCAATATCAATATCAGTACACCATGCAACCTAATTTTAGGTGGAATAGCGCACGATTACAAATATCTTTAGATTATCTCCAATTCTTTTGTTTAAATCTCCTATGATTAAAGGTGACGGTTTAATTAATGTTTACTAAATTTCAGCATTACTATTACTGTTAACACTTTATACCCGTACACTGTAGTGATGCCTTCCGTACTGATTCTAAAAATATCATTTAAATTGATTGACTGATTTAAGCGATCGTGAATGAATCCTAAATATGATCAATGCAATCTTTGCAATCATTCTTACGATTTCAGCTGTTTCTTAAAATACAAGAACAAGTAAATTTTAATTATAAGCGTTTAAAAGAATAGCAGCAGAAATGTGGTAACTGTGAGGCTTTTTCCACTGGTAGCAAGATCTTCAAGATGTGTACGATTAATAATACATAATAGTACATTGCCGGAAACGTAACTTCAATCAGATGCTCATTGCCAACATAGAGAAGTCTTTAACAGTAGCCTTAAACTCGCCGGTACTTTTAATCAACAATTAAAAGATCTTAATACCGTTGCATATCAAAAACTTAAACAAGAGGTTACAACTGCTATAATACTAATCACAATTCATCGTCTACTACCAAAAGTAGCTTTCAACGCGTAGTAGTTACTGATTTCATAACAGGTAGCATCGTTACGGATTTCTATATAGTTTTTAAAGAAAATTCTAAAATAAATCCCAGTGAACTGGCTAATGTCATTTCTACAAACAATTTGATTATTCAAGGACAATCCATACAAAATGTGACAATTACCGATTTCAATGAGTGTGCTAGAGCAACCGATAATACCTGTAATAGCAATCAAAATTGTATTAATTTATACGGCACATATACTTGCCAATGTAAGATAGGTTTTACTGGTTCTGGTTGTGTTGATATTAATGAGCGTACGACTATTGAACCGTGTGCAAATAAGACTGTATGTTCGAATACTGAAGGATCTTATACTTGTACATGTCGAACAGGATACCAAGGCGATTCATATTCTACTTCAGGTTGCAGTGTTTCCTGTAGTACTAATTACTGTCTTAATGGTGGAACCTGCACATACGAAAACAGTGGGCACATATATATTTGCGACAAGGCTTACACTGGAACAATATGTGAAACTCGTTGGAAACCGGACTTTCGGAATGGGAAATTGCTAGTCTTGCTATAGGATCAATTTTTGGAGCCATTATAATGGTTATAATGATTATAGCTATCTACCGAATAGGAAATCAACTAAAATTGACTAAATTAGAGTATAATATAACATATCCACCATTGAAGGAAGAGCATGCTTGTATCGAGTTAGAGAAATCAAATGTTGCTAGTTCTCCTCAAGAATACGACGATAAATTTAATTTCTATTTTTAATTAGCGTTATGTAGCTTTTTTATCTTTTACAGTATAGATCTCGTTTGAATTATCTTAACAAGTCTTTTACTAACTTTGTAGTTTGGTTATTTAGTTAACGTTCATGGTTATCCATCGTTAAATATTGCTATTGATCGGTCGGAATTCCATAAGATATTACGATTATTTGACGATGTTTTTTAATAAATTAATAATTAACTTTAGTCTCAATAATCCACTACAGCATATTAATATTTGGTTAAATTGGTTAAATTTGTTCCTATAGCATAGCCATACCGTACAGTATGTTTTCACAGGGACAATTCAGATCGAATAACGCAAATGTGGGGTACGAATAATTAAAAGTGGAATAATTTAGCCTAGAGGAGAGAGAAAATTGTTGTTGATCACGTACAACTTTGTTAATTTGTAAATTAATTAAGACCTATGAACATAACTATAATGGGCACACCGCATCGTTTCGACAAAAACGATACAATCAATACTCGTATCTTGAA